CGTCCGTCTCGACGCCGGGGAGGGGCGCGGCGGGGCGCGGCGGGGCGGGGGTGGCGAGGACCCCCTATGGCTCCACCCGGACTCAAGGCTCAACCAACACGACAGTCGGCCGGGCCGCCCAGGCCAGCCTAGCGGCCCAGCGACCCTGGCAAAGGCAAACCTTGGCCGGGCTGCGCGGCACTGCGCGGCAGTACGAGGCTTGGGGCTTGCCGAGGGTGGACGAGGAAAAAAGTTCGGGGAGGCCAGGGCTAGCCAGGGCGGCTTTAATAATACACGCGAAGCTTTTTATCGCTCTCTGGGAACGAGGCGAGGGCGCTGCCGCGGGCTGGCTGGGGACACGCAGACGCACGCGTGGAGGGGATGTCACTCACTTTCACGCCTTGAGCCCTCTGCTTCATTTGCGTGAGGCGAGGGAGAAGGGGCAGACGACAACAACAACAACAACAAGGTTGGTTCTCAGAGGCCTTTTGGTCGCTTTGGTCATGGCTGGCGGCGGCGCTATTTTTCGTCGGAAAGAAATGCGCGGCGTGGCGGTGCCGGCCGTGCCGGGATAAGGGTCGTGGCCCTTGGCGGCCCTCGCGGCCCTTTGGCCAAAGCCCTCGCGGCCCTCGCGGCCGTCCGCCGTCGCGACGAGCATTCAAGGACCTTGCGCGCGCTGAACGCGCGGCATTCAAACCGTCACCCGCTCGTCCCACAGTCAGTCCCAGTCCCACCAACACGCAGACACTCGCTCACACACACACACACACACACACACACACACACACACACACACACACACACACAGCGTCCCAATCACGAGCTTCCACCAGCGTCCGTGACCTTTGGCGACGCGACGCACAGTGGCATGCCTCGCCGCTTGTCGTGTGTTTAGGCGTACGTGTGTGTGTGTGTGTGTGTGTGTGTGTTTGCCATGCACTTGCACTTGCGTGGTGTCGTTACCGATAATTCGCATGGAAAACGCTAACGATGGTCGCGCTGAATACAATGAATGCAACCCGCGCAATCCCGATCCCCATAATGGGGACACGTGCTCACGTGTGCTCGCGTCTCGGAATGGCGGTGCGAGCGGCGGCGCGGTAACTGTTAGTGCACAGTAAATTGAAATGGCAGAATCCGTAACGGTTCGGTACAGAAACCGCCAGTAAATGATTCTGAATTTGGTAGTCACAGAAACTGACTAAGGCTCCACAGAAACTGGGATGGGCTCACAGAAACTGCTAAGGGGTTGCGGTCTTGCTGGCCAACCTAACCTCACTGTGTCTCTGGATGCTTTTGTTGTTTTGGACATTATTTACATATTTTGATGAGTGTGCATACTTTTTCTTGCTTTGACAAGTCTATAAATTAATATTTTCCTTACGCGGTACATCTACACTCTTTATTTCCGATAATATAACATCTCAAAGTCGCGAGGTGGAGGGAATCGGAATTGACGATTACGGTGCAGTTTTGTCCGGATTCCGTGGCGAGTGCACGGATTCCGTCGGCTGTGTGCAGAATGGGTTTGCCGTTGGCGGTTTTGGTGCAAAACCGCCCCGGATCTATTTACCTGTCGGTTTCTGCGATTTGGGGCTCTCAGACCACTACAGATTCTGCCATTTCAATTTACTGTGTGTTGACGCGGCGAGTGAGTTCGACCCGATCCGAGTCCGGGGATGTCGCTCGACAGGTGCGGTGGGGCCCGGTGGGGCCCGGTGGGGCGCTGCTGATGCGTGGGCCCGCGCCCAATAAGCGCCCCCCGGGGGGCCTGTCCCTGGCCGCCCCTGGCTCCGCGGGGCCCCCGGCGTGCCTCCCACATAATGCGACATTCCAGAGCGGATTGGAGCGGGGGACGCTGCGTAGAGCGGAGGCTGAGGCACGGCGGCACCGGCCCTCTGGGCCCCTCTGCAGACTGATTCCGAGGGTCGCTTTCGTCTCTCTGTCTCTCTCGCACTCACGGGACGTTCCCTTGTGGGCGCGAGAGAGACAGGGCGGCGAAGACGACTCTCGGAATCAGTCTGCTGGGCCCCTCCATGGCGAGCAGGCGAGCATGGAGCCACAGCCCCGCGAGAGGCTCAATGCGCGGAACGTGACCCGAGGGCCGGCGGCGGTGTTGCGCGTCACCGTGCCGTGCCCTGCCGTGCCGTGCCTTGCCGTGCCGTGCCATGCAGTGCCGTGGCGTGGCGTGCCGTGCCGTGCCGTGCCCCATACATACCGACTGGTCAGTGGCCGTGGCCGCCGTGCTCGCCGTGCCGCGGCCCGCGAGGACCATTTCAGCACTCCAGGCCCGCCACGTGGTACGTAGTCAGGCTGGTGGGGCCGGAGGGGCCCGCTTGCTTCGCTTGCTCGCGGGGCCATTCGGCTGCCTCCTGGTGGGAATGCAAAAGGGAGGGGGAGCTGCCTGAAAGGTAGGCAAAGGGTCACTCTTTGCGCCTGTAGGTAGGCAAAGGGTCACTCTTTGCGCCTGTAGGTAGGCAAAGGGTCACTCTTTGCGCCTGTAGGTAGGCAAAGGGTCACTCTTTGCGCCTGTAGGTAGGCAAAGGGTCACTCTTTGCGCCTGTAGGTAGGCAAAGGGTCACTCTTTGCGCCTGTAGGTAGGCAAAGGGTCACTCTTTGCGCCTGTAGGTAGGCAAAGGGTCACTCTTTGCGCCTGTAGGTAGGCAAAGGGTCACTCTTTGCGCCTGTAGGTAGGCAAAGGGTCACTCTTTGCGCCTGTAGGTAGGCAAAGGGTCACTCTTTGCGCCTGTACACTGTTAAAAGAAACTGTAGGAAAACAGCACATTTACCAACGAGTGATTTGTTTTTAAGCAGCACGTGTCATCGGAACTTAAAACAGCACAAATGCTGTTAGGAAACAGCAAGTTTCATCATTGGAGAAAACAACAAATATAGTCGATTTCCAATGCTGGAAAACAGAACATCTTGTTTGTAAAATTAATGATATATGCTGTTTTGGAACGGTATCCTGTCATTTAAAAACAACACCATTCAATTGAAGATTTGCCGGAGCATTTTGCAGCTCACGGCTCAAATCAAACTCCAACTATGTCAAAATAAATTCTGTTGTTTCTGAACAGCATTTGTGTTGTAAAGTTTTTTAGCAACACTTCCAATTTTTAAACAGCGGTGAACTGTCCAAGAACTGCACGAACTGTTACAAAACAAATGTCTTGTTTGAGCCGTCAGGAAACTCCTATTTCCTTTTTGTGAATAACAGAGAGACCGCGTTGAAGAACAGTGCTGTTTGTAAACAGAAAAGAGCGTTTCTGAATGACTGCTAGTATTGGATAAGACTATTAGGACCCTCGACATTCTTTTTGTAAATGTATAACAACTTTTTTGTTTGAAAACAGAAAAGTGTTGTTTATGAACAGGTTGGTGCCATTTGGAAATGGTAATTCTGTTACACAACAACTTATTGTCAGAGATCAGATACAGAGAGCCATCATCCCTTTTTACAACACTGCTGTTGGATAACGACTCAGTCTCCAACAATATGCCGTTCTTCTACAACAAGTGTTGCTAAAAAACTTAACAGGATATATGCTGTTAATTAACAGCATCTTTTCTATCAGTGTAGGTAGGCAATTTTTTGCCACAACACGCCCACACCCTCTGGAGCCTCCCGTGGCTGCCTGGCAGGCAGTGCCAGCGACTCGCTGCGACTGCCCCGGTACCCTCGGTTCGCCTTTGGACATCCATCGATGCGTTGGATGGCGGGCGCCGTGATGGTTGTAGGCGACCACCGACGCGCGCGTGTCTGCTGCCCGTTCACCGAGCCGGCGCGAGGCAGACTGATTCCGAGAGTCTTTTTCGTCGCTCTGTCTCTCTCGCACCTGTAAGGAGCACCGCGCGAGTGCGAGAGAGACAGTGCAGTGTACCCGCTCGCCGTGCGGCGCGGCCGAGTTGGCCGAGCCCATCATTGCAAAGAGCATTTTAGTGCACCGCTGCGCTGCCTGCCAGGCCTGCCACAATACACGCCGACCAGCCGACGAGTCCAGCCAAGGCCCCGCGGCGCCCCGCGGAGTGACGGAGACAGAACGAAGGCAATGGTGCGCGACCGAATCCGCGAGGACCGCGAGGCCCCGCCGGGATCCACATCCGACTGTCCGCCACTCCGCGCCACGGTCAGGGCGCCCTGCAGTGCTTCGTGCACTGTTCGAAATCAGCCTGTTGTCCCCCGCAGTGGACGCACCCCCGGCTAGCCTCCTCAGGGCCACATAGCCTCATCCTGCATTCCCCCAAGGCTGAAGGCTGCCACAATCCTTCCAGACATCCAGACGGCCTTCTATTGATGCCCCCAATAACCCTCTTACCCGTCGCCTTTCATGGAAAGAATCAGAACCCAAATGCGCTCAGCGATATATATTTGGGCCTCAGTCACGTGGGATTTCCCTCGGCGTGAGACGCGCAGCGCGCAGCGACGCGCAGGGCGGCGAGGGCCGAGAGCCTCATTCCCGCCCAGCACGCCCTGCACGCCCAGCCATCCCACCTTTCCTTTCTCCCCCACACAATCACTCTGCTCCTCACCTTCCTTTCCCCTCCTGGCGTTCCCCAACGTACTCCTTCCTTCTGTATCCCCCTCCGCGTCCCGCCAGTCCCGCCAGGCGGTCCCGCCCCGCCCCTCCCCCTGCCCCGCTCGCCACCCCTCGCCACCCCTCGCCACCCCTCTCCCGCCGCTCCTAAAAATTGAGCTCACTTCAGTGCAGCCACGGTTCCGAAAAATGCGCGCGAGTTTTTCCAGCCTCCCTCTCTCTTGCACCCCGTCCCCGAAGCGGGAACGACAGAGAGAGACAGAGCGCCGCGCCGCGCGGGGCCTTCCCGGCCTTCCTTCGGACGCGGCCCAGCGAGTGACCTTCCCCACCCAAACATAGCTGGCCGTTGCCAACGTGACGCGCGCAACAAAATACCGAAGCGCGGTAAATTGACGGCGTTGTTTTCAGGTCTAGTTGCTCCACAATCGGACTCCGATTTTCGGTTTCAGCACATGGAGTAGCAGCAACACGCCTAGGAATGGGCAGTTTTCGAAGCGGGCGCCGTTGTGTGGGGACGCGCCGAGCGGCGGGAGTTGGCAGCAGTGCCCCCTGACTAGTATGGCTACTCGCAGTGCTGGCAGGAACTCGGCCGAATACGTTTCAGTGAAATTACGCATGCCGTGAGGGAAACATCTATCGGGTGAGTTAGAAATTTTGCTTCGGATTCCTCTCGCGGAGAACGATTTGACACCAGCGAACAACCTTCCACCATTTCTTGAGCTCCCAGGACGCATTTTGGATATGTTTGGCTTGCTTTTCGACTCGGTCGGGAGTTAGAAAGCGAAACCCAAATAAACTGATTTTGTTTCTTGGGATCTGTTTCGGAGTTCGAAAATGTATGGAGGTGGTTTGCTGTTCGTTCGCCGTGAGGTTTTTCCTAGCGATTTCTATCGTTTTCGTGTGGTAAAAATATTGTGAGTGAAATTTCGCGCGGAATTTGATCCCGTGGAGCGTCTGCAGCTGCACGGTCACACCCACCTCAAGAATCCAGCCTGTCCTGTCATCACTCGCCTTTTGGATTACGGATTACCCATCGTCGCCTCAAGACTGACATCTTTGTGCATCGTACATCGTGAACAAATTTTGTGCTGTTTCGTGGGTGTTAAAAAGTGAACATGAACACCAGCCATCAGTGATAACGAGTGAAGTGCCAATTCATGTCAGATGATACCAGTGATCATATGTTATGGTTTATTTTTTGGTTTCCACTATTTTAACCATTGAAAACGTTTGAAATCAAGTGAGTTTTGTTAAAAACGAGTGAAGTGAAGTGAATTCAAGTGCTGCAGATGTTCTTCTGCTCGTCGGAATTTTGTGGTGTGAGGTTATGGCTTGTTTTCAAACAATGTCAGACCGAAAGAAGTGAGTTCTTATTGGATACCAGTGTCATTGGATTACCATTATTGGATTACTCGCCGTTGGTGTATTTCATCGTACCGTGAGTAAGGTTGTTCATGACTTGAACATTGTATTTATTTATAAGGTATTTGTGGTAACTTCATCATCGTATTGTTTCAACTGTTTAGTTATTCTCAAACGCCTAAGACATGCCCTTCATGAGCCTATTTTTATCCCATTGAATCAGTATTTTCATTTTATGCCTCGTCTAACAATGTTACATGCCCTACCCTTATTGAACCTCAATTATTTGATATGACTTGGGTCTCTAGATTTATCATTCACGGTCCCAAGCCACTCTCAAACGATGTGCAAATTCATAGAAATTGTCAGTTGTTTGTCTTCAAAGCAGCCAAAGATTAATACTAGTTATGTCATGTTTGTCATGTTATGTTAATATTTTAATGATTATTTTGTCTACTTTCAAAGACCATAGAACTTTAATTAAACACTTCTATTTAAGTAATGTAGATTTAAACAAACATGACATATTAACAAGCCATTCCACATCAAATAACAAAATACAAGGCCTGCCTTAGATTTCTCTCAATGTTGAGAAAGAGAAATAACTACCATGCATTTCAGAGAAAAATAACTCTTGGCTTCCTTTAAAAGAATATCTGTTCAGGCATCTTGAAACTAAATTTAAATTTGGCCCCAGTGGTTACATTTGTTCATAAGTTTTAACGGGTACCCGTGACCATGATATGAGAATACATTTAAAATTCGCTGCCCCAGGTCAATGGCAGTGGCACCTTATTATCGTGTGATGTGGTTTTGTAGTCATTGTTTGATACATCTTTCAAAGATTTGCTTTAGTTTGCCTCAATAGCTTAATCGATCTTAAAGTGACAGAGATGACTTCATCCCCTAAACTCTTGTTTTTATAGTAAGCTGTTTTCTTGTGCTTTGATTTAAATACATTTTGTGTAGAAATTATACCTAAGATAAGTGGATTAGTTCAATAAGGCACAGCAAAGAACAGCCGTAAAACCATTTTCAATACCTTTTTATTCATTCATTAACTTGTGATTTTTCTTACCCTTTTTGACATTTTTGTCCTTTGAACTTCATGTCATATTTATTTCTCTTGGTTAAGTCAAAGGATTAGCTGTTATTCTTTTATCTGTGTTGTTGTCCACAATCCCTTGTGAGACTACTAGAAATCAATCATAATATATTGCACATCATAATGGTGTATCAGATCCTTTGATCCTTCTCAAAATTAGCTCATTTGTGATAAACATTCGGGTGGATTAGTGTTTTTCAATTGACCAAATGGTTCGGTTAATAGTGCAGGGTGCCATTCAATTTATTGTTTATTGAGGAGGTCCTAGTTGACACAGTCAATTTTTGTTCTAAAATTTTAACTGTTGCTGAGGTAATATCATGTCCCTCACATGTCAGCAGTTTTTTATCTAACACAAAGTTTGTATGTATTTATTGTTAACTATACTGTCTCAGTTTGGTTTTGTTTGGAGAGACTTGTGTACTCTTTTTGCACATCGAAGGTATCTTTGTACTTAAGTCATCTTATGGTGTTTGCATTGAATGTGCACTGTATAAGTTGTATCGTAGCTAAATATCATATGAGTGAAACAAATGCCATTGTCATAGAACTCACTCGAAACATCTTCAAAACTTAAGAAATGCTTGTAAGGCTTGTATCTAAATATACAGTACCTTGTAAATCAGAGATAGTTACAAAAAGGAAGATGATTAAATCAAATAATCATGAAATTGTTTAAATTTAAGATTCTATATTTTAGTCTTGTCTTATAGCCTTGCTATGCCTTTCAGTGGTGTCAGTACATGCTTCTTATACCTTTTTCTCCTTTTTTCTGTTTCCAACAGAAAGGTGAAAGAGTGTATGGACAGTATGCCAAGTAGCAGATGACTGTAGCTGAGGTCAGTCTTGCCTAGCAACATGAGTGAGGTGGCGGCAGCACTGGCTCGTCAGCCTGATGCTGCTCTGCTCAAGCGGCAGAAGCTAGGCTGTTCTGCATCCATCAATGTTCCACCTGTGCATGGCAGGCCCGCCCCCAACCCCGCTCAGCTCCACATGCGGACAAGACTGTCCAACCACCAACGGAACCTCAGCTTAGATTTCAGGTATGTACTGTGATGCTCCGAAATATGTCATGCTGACAAGTAAAACAGTTCTGTAGAACTTGTTGGCACTCATTATTCAAAGTCACTGAGTTATGCTGTATGACAATATCTTGAACAGCATGTGATTTTATGTACTGGTTAAGTGAAACCTACAACTAAAATACTGTCGGGTATTTTATTTTAGGTCTATGGGCATTCTCCTACCCCCTGTGTCCCAAGTAACTGCTGGGCCTAACCTTACTGCTCACCATCGCAACAGAAGCTTAGATAGTGCACTACAGAGAATACCAGAGGTTGATGTCACTCCAAGTCCTGAGTGTGATGCCGACCGATCTGTCACTGGCAGAGTGCAGTGTTCCTCTGCGGTAGATAAACCATGTGTAAATGGAAAGGTAATTACAATACTAAGTTTACAACTGTTCAATCCATACAGAAGTATTTGTTTTATGTGGAGAGAATGTCTGTATGCTGATTTGGTTTCTCATTTACTCAGCCCAACAATAGAGAAGACCTAACAAGCTTAGGGTCAGACGACTCTGGCATTTTGTGTGGCTCAGACAGTGATGTCAACACTGCTACCACCCGTGAGTCAAGTGTAGAGCAACTGGCTGCCCATAGTAGGGAGAGTCTAAGCGACCGTGAGGCAAGACTTAGTGATAGTGACCACAGCAGAGAAAGCTTCAGTGAAAGGGAAACACGACCTAGTGATAGCGACCATGACATGGAAGGGGATTGTGACCTTTCAGAGGTATGTTTACATCAGAATGGAATACTTTTTAGTGTTTCTTTGAAATCTGTGAATCTTAAGGAAATGTTGTTTGAATTCTAGGTTGGTATGAATGGGGGAGAATGTTGTGATGCGGAACACAGTTGTGATGAAGCCTCAGAATGTTCGATCATTGCTGCAAATAACTCTAGTGATCACATCAACCCTCCTCCAGAAGCGGCCAAGAGCTTTCTATTAAGGCTTTTTGAGTCTAAACTATTTGACATGACTATGGCCATAACATACCTTTTCAAATCAAAGGAACCTGGAGTACAAAGTTATATTGGTACGTCTTTTATGTCCATATTTTGTCTTTCTGCACTTAGTGTGACTTTATTGAGCCATCATGTAATTATTGCTTTTTTAATTTTCATCAGGTAACAAAATGTTCAGTTTTCCGGATGCAGATGTAGACTTTTACCTTCCTCAACTTGTCAGCATGTATATTCAAATGCATGATGTGGCAGAAGTCATTCACCCTTACCTTGTACATAGGTAAGTACTGCAATATGAACTTTCCCTGTATGTATTGTTTTTCAAATCATCACCTTATGCCATCTTTGTTTCTGTGCAGATGTCGTCAATCAGCTGATTTTTCTCTCAAGTGTGCTTGGCTCCTTGAAGCATATTGCTCAGATGCACCAGTACCCTCCAAAAAGAAGTCACATGGTACAAAACTTAAGAGTGCTATTCTTGCAGATCAATACAGGTAAGTGTTAAGTTTTGAGTTGTAGAATTTCTACAAACTTGGGTAACAATTTAATTTTTTTATTGTTTGGTTTTCTTTAGACCAAATGCTCAAGAAAGAAGATCAAGACCAAGTGTTGTTGATGCAACACAAGTCCCCTTACCCCCTCCATTACCCCCCATGTGTGTCTCCAATGTCACATATTCAGGGAAGAAGACACACCAGCGGTCAAGATCTGATGCCACAGGTCTCATTCAAAGCAATCGCAGAGTACTCAGTGCTGGTTGGTATTTTCTCATTTTTCTGGATTCCACACATTTCATATTCATAACATCATTATAACCAATTCTGTATTTTATTGCAGTGAGTAACAAAGTCTGCCTAGGTGATATGAGCTCAGGCCGTGCCTTTGACAACGGGTGCATTTGTTTTGAGTCCTGTCTTGGAGTAGTGAATGACCTCAGGGGGAGAAGGACACATTGTTCTTGTGATGTAAGAAGAGTTTAATGTTGCCTTTAGGTCCAATTTTACCATATGGTACTAATGGTTTTTGTCATATTTCCACAGGCGCCTAGGTTAGCTCCTCAGCTAGAATTTATTAAGGGCCTTATTTCAATTGGAAAGCTCTTGAGTAGTATTCCCACCAAAGAAGGGAAGACAGCGCGACTCATGGCCGAAATCAATATGCTCAACCTCAATCTGCCCGCCCGAGTTTGGTTACCAATTCATGCCAATATTCCTCATCATATAGTGCGAATCCCTCCCCAGGCAGCTGCAGTACTCAACAGTAAAGATAAAGTAAGCTTTCTCACACTATATTAGTTTTAATCACCATGCTGCATCAGATTTTAATTGATGTTGTTTATTTCAGGCACCATACATTCTTTATGTTGAAGTTGTGGAAGTTGAGGATTTGCACTCTTCACCTGTTCCTCCCAAAGCAATGTCCTCTTTAAGGCATACACGATCTGAGGAAAATATAGCTGGTACCAATGACTCTGCTGTGGACCGCCCCTCAAACTGTGGAGCTTTTAGCATTTACAGTAGCCCCGACGAGGAGACAACTGGTGACTGCTGGAGCCAGGAGGATGATGAAATCTCTCAGCAAGTATGTTCTAGTTCTTTCTTTTCCATTTTTTTCTTTGGGAAACTCCCTTCTTTTCAAAGGTTGTGTCCTACCTCTTATTGGTAATTCAATGTCTTTTTCAGTACACACAACTGCGAAGGCCTATGGATAGAGATACCATATCACAGCTATCTCAAGAATCTAGTGATTCTAGAGAACCTCCAGTTTTAATTGCAGCTGGCGAGATTCGAAGGCGCTTATCTGAGTCTCTGCATGACTCTCAGCGGTCAACTTTTACTAGAGATGCTGAGGACCCATCTGCTCATGTGTTAAAGGTTTGTCATCCCACTAAGTTTTGCTGTCAGCAGTTCTTAAATTTAAATTTGTTCCTAAATTTATAAACATTTTCTTTCAGGAACCGTGGGAAGAAAAGGAAACTCGAGTGAGAGAAGCTTCACCCTATGGACATTTGGCTTCCTGGCGCCTTCTATCTGTGATTGTCAAGTGTGGAGATGATTTGCGGCAAGAGCTTTTGGCATCTCAACTTCTCACTATGCTTCAGCGTATTTGGGAACAGGAAAGGGTACCCCTGTGGGTTCAGCCATACAAGTAAGTTGTCCTTATTCAATTTCTTTATTTTTTTAACTTTCTAAATTTCTAAAATAAATTTTACTTGAACTAACTTTCTTTTCTTTCAAACTTTTTCTAGGATCTTGTGTTTGTCAAATGATTCTGGTCTTATTGAACCAGTGTTGAACACCGTCTCATTACATCAAATCAAGAAGCATTGCCAGCTCTCTCTCTATGAATACTTCCTTCGAGAATATGGCCCACGTAATTCAGAGGAGTTTTTAACAGCTCAGAGAAATTTTGTTCGTTCATGTGCAGCATATTGCCTCATTTGTTACTTAGTGCAAGTAAAAGACAGGTAACAACAACAATTTTTGTGAAGCAATGGACTTGTGTTTTGTTTAATTGAAGGGACAAGATTTTAATAAATAATCCTAATTTACAGGCACAATGGCAATATTTTGCTGGACAGTGAAGGGCACTTGATCCACATTGACTTTGGATTTATCCTGTCGCTGTCCCCGCGTAACTTGGGCTTTGAAACATCACCATTTAAGTTGACACTGGAACTCGTAGAAGTTATGGGTGGACTTGGGTCGGATATGTTTGAGTATTTTAAAATATTGATTCTGCAAGGGCTTGTAGCTGCTCGCAAACACAGTGACAAGATTCTTTCTCTTGTGGAGATCATGCGATCAGGTCAGTAATTAAGTAATACTGTATGATGTTTGTTTAGTTTATTAAGTATTAAATTTGAAAAAAAAAATCCTGTATTATGATTTTTGATTGCAGGTTCTCAACTACCTTGCTTCAAATCTGGAGCAGCCACAACGCAGGGGCTTAAGAATAGGTTCCACCTAAATCAGACTGAAGAGCAACTGCAGCTATTGGTGGATGGGCTGGTGGAGTCCTCAATACACTCACTATCCACTAAGCTCTATGATGGCTTCCAATATATTACCAATGGTATCCTCTGAGGTAAGTTGATGTTATTTCTCACATTATGTGAAGTTTTCTTCACCTTCACATCACTGGACCCCTTTTTCTATTTTGTAGGTGGTCTGAATCCTTGTCTCATTCCCTCACTATCATCCTGTGAAAGTACCCACCCAGCTTCCACATCTGCATCTTCTGCCCCTCCTGCATTGATCTAACAACCAAATCAAACCATACTGAATTTCCTTTCCTATCTTCTAACTTTTGTTGCAATTTTTCCCTCACTGCCTTTTGTTTACTTTTTGTCAAGGTCTTATGCTAGACCTAATGCTGCTTTTAATTTTAAAGAATTTCTGTGTAGACTGAAATTTTTTCTAAAACCATGTAAATTGTGTGTAATAAATTATAGTCCCCTTTTATATGTTCATTTCTGCTGTACTCATACTCATAATTATCCTTTTCTCATATTATCATGTGTAGTGCTTTAGTCGAATCCTATCATCTGATTTTCACCTTGTATATTCTCTTTCTCCTATCGACTTGTCTCATTATTCTTCATTTCATTATTGTTTGAGAGTTGTTTCTGAGTCATTTACCAGTTGCCTGTCACTGGGTACAATCAACATCACTTTTTGTTGTATCTGTTACAGCAATGGATTAGCAAAGTTATTCCCAGTGAAGAGACTGTGAAGAACATCTCTTCCAATCAGCTCTCTGTTTGAAGGGAGGGTTGTGAATTGTTCCTTGCACGTTGCCCGTTGCAAACACAGACTTCATCAAGAAGGACGACCGTGTGGCCGGCCAGCTGATCGACTGAGTGTTTTTTTACTCTGTGAACATTGTATGATTGTAGATATAGATGGAAGGAATTGGCAAACTGAATGTAGGGCCGTCTGACTTCCACTTTGTCATCCTGTTTGTACATAAATTTAGAATTATTTCTTAAGTGTCTGAGCAATATTGTGAATGATTTGTAAAGTAACAATATATATATAAACAAACTAAGAATAAGAATGAAACCGAGCCAGCGTGTCCTATGCCGTGAAGCTGAATGTAGAAGTCAGCCATGTTTGTAAATATGTGGATGCTGCCTCCAATGCTCTTCAAATAACTTTATTTATGAACTCTCCTCTATTCTTTGGCTAATGTCTTTTCCTTTATGTAAAGCTTTCATGGTAATTTCCCATGTAGTTGATGCTATTGTTGTTGTTGTTTTCTGATAATGAATCATGTTTATAACCTGGCAGGTTTGTCTGTTACAGGTTAGATTGCTTGTTTCATCTGTTTTAAAAGAGGTATCATTTTGAAAAAAAAATATTTATGAAGAAATTTATGGAATTACCAAATTCCTCTGTTCATCTTAAATCAAATTAAATATGCCTCTGACATGATTGTTTTAAATTTACATTTTAAATGAATGTGAAACTAATTTTAATCTTTTAAGTAGAAGAGCTTTTGTAAGACTGATGGGCCATGTGTGAAATACCACAAATTTTGAATTGTGTGTTTTGTCAATATTTTTTTATCTTGACATGTAGTTTATTTGTGTTCGTGGTAAGTCCTTGACTGTGACTTTCTATATTATCTCCGGTTCCTTTCTGCCTGTTGATATTTCTTCCCTTTTTTTTCTTTTTTTTTTAAGGTTTGAAAAGATTTTCTCAATGTCTTCTTATATTAAATACCAAATGTGCTATAGTGAATCATTTGATAATATTTCATCAGATTTTGTACTCTTAAATTAATGAATTGAGTGTGTAATGCTTTTTAAACATCGCTGGGAAGAGTAGACAAGTCTGTCCTATATGTTGAAATTCCAGTAGATTTTAATACATCTGCATTGTGTTCGTCTATTCGACTCTTTTAATCCTTCGCACAAGGTGCCCCTAAGGCTGATCTACAAGGTCAAGGTTTCTTTACCTGTTTCTTGAATCAAAATTTGAAAGATAATCTATTGTGGCATGGGTTGGTTGTGAGGTACTTACTATTTATTTTACTTTAATTTTTTAACTTCCACCAAAAAAGTTCTTGCGCTATTAAATCTGCGTGGAGGAGAACTAATAAGATGAGAAATGTGTGGCCTTTGTTATGCTAGTCGTTACAGCATGTATGTATAGAATTTTTAGGTAAGGTTAGTTTTACAGGTTCAAATAATTGAGATGAATTATCTTTTGTTGAAATTCATTACATCACCAAAGTATCCTATGCCACCCATGCCTCTTCTTGTTCGCCATTTTCATCCATAAAAATTCATTGTATAGTGCTGTCATTCCATTTGTATTTTAAGAATTACATATGATTCTATGTTAAAACCTGCTGATTTATTTTTCCTTACTATTTTAATGAACTACATCATTCAAATGTGGTGGCGTTTCATCTTGGGAGGTGATTCTTCTGATGTTGAGCAGTCTGAAACAAATGCAGCTGTGCTACACAACCACACCAGGGGTACTACTACCTGTAACATACAATATTGTGCTCGAGTGAAACTACAGAAAAAAAAGAAGGGAGGGGGGAACTACATGTGCAGTTGGTGGTTGAATCTAATTTTAAACAAATCCATACTGACCAGATCGCCCTCTAGTAAGAAGGGGAGCGATAGAGGCAGCCACTTGTGCTGTAGGGCGAGTAGTGTTACGTGATGAGGTCATCTTGTTTTCTGTTTGAGCCTTTTCAGCGTTCTCACTCTCTATTTCTTCAACCTGTAGGTACATGAATTGTTACAAAAGCCATTTTCCTAATCTTTTAACAAGTTTATATTTAAAAAAATTTCTACCTTGTGATCAATGGCACGGAATTGCCACAACCATTTATTATTGTACAGGAATGGTCTATGATCAAAGCGATTGTCGTCCGGTGAATAACTTTCAGCATGAACAGATGGTGTTACAACTGTCATTTTGTGCCGATTAATGGCATAGCACCGGAAAAAGTGTTTCACCTTTTCTGCAATCTGCCAAAACATATATTCAAATTTACTGGGAGATGTATCCACATTTTCAAGCATTATTTTAGAAATACTTACCACAGCTGGTGAACAGAAAGATCCCCAAAGTGACATCAGCTTGCAGAACATAGAGTACGGTCCACAAAAGAATTGCTTCCGAAGACGGCCATATTCACTTAACTCTGAGTAAGTCATACCCATGTCCTGTTCATCAGTTTGAGCAATTTTCCCACCTGGTGCAAGAGGTTCTAGTTCAGCAGTGGGAGGTGCTGATATAATTTCTGCAAGAACCTTCAGTTTAAACCTATATTGAGGAGGAAGCAAAATTGAGAATTGAAAAAAGAGGAAATTATCAAGATATTAGCGAAATTTGGTACTTCGGCTCACTTTTCTTGCATGTAGAGAAGAAATCCGCGAAGATCTGTCTTAGAAATTCCCCCAATTGGGTTGACATCTGCACTTGAACAATCATATTTGGTCAGGTATCCCCGCAAAGCTTCATCAACATTGGCCGAACCAAGTACAAGGAGTCCACCAGAACGACCCCTGGCCCACAACATGAGTTGGGCAAAGAGGTAAGCCAAAACCATCCTTAAGCGTGCCTAGGGGAGGAGAGAATAAAATTTACTAAAGGAAGCAACACACCATGCACATTGCTATCTTACAAGTTTCCACCTGAATATTTTGAAGAGCCAGTGACTCTCTGGGGCTACCTCCATGTGAGCCAAACTTTGGCACAAGTCCAGTCACTGATGTGAATATTCCAAGAACTGCTTGAACTGCCAAGTCAATTGTAATCCCTGTATGAGAGCTAAACAGTAAAACAATAGTTAGAAAAACAAATCAGGTTCCATAAAAACTGATAAATAACTGCTTGAGAAAGCAATTTTATTACTTGTATTAAAAAGGAACAAAAATACCTTCCAATTTGTTGAGCCAAAGTTGAAGCTCGATTTTTAGTGTCTACAGATGAATTTTCACTCCCCATGTAGCATGTGAAAAAAATTCTGCTACACAACTCCTGGGGTTGTATTGGAGTATAATCAACATCACAGACTATTTTACGAACATCAGCCAGTACTTGATTATCTGTGACGATTTTAAGATGCCATCCATTAGCAAGAGAGTACATTGCAATATTTAGGAAGTTTCATTTGATAAACTGTAAGTGTACACACCACCTGATTTCACAGCATCTACAACCATACAACACATGGAATAAACCACACAGGCTGTTGATGACGAATCAACTCCTCCACTTAGAGGAAGGAAGAAGCCACCCTGCCCTGATCGTCTGAAATCAAAGACATTCAACGACTTTGAAAAGATCTATCATCCTTCATGGAGTAACATCAGAACAATCAAATGCGAACAAGCTCCATATAAACATGCAGGAACAGTGCATAACAGACCTTAAATAATCCCACAGCCAACAGGCAGGACCCAATGCAATTTCTTCTTCAGGTGTGTGATAAATCCAGTCAAGAGGAGCATTCACAGGGCCAGTATCATTTGAATGTCGACCCAAGACCATGTTAACAGAAATCCGAGGATAGGATGGAGAAGCAGCAGCCTTGAATGCTAAGGAACGTTTGGAATTGCGAAATGTTCTTATATCTTCAAGGTCTACAGTTGCAACTGTTACTTCCTGAGGGATAAAAAGAAAACATTCACAAATTTGCATAAATAACATTTCTTCCCCCCCCCCCCCCAAAAAAAAAAAAAAAGTCAAATGAAATTCAACACCTACCACATCTTTTAAGGAAAACTGTTTGCCTCTGCTTACAACACAACCATTGACAGCAATACATGAGCAGCCATTAAAGATGACTCTCTGTCCATCGCATCCTCTTAGGTTACTGTACAGGTAACAGCCTCCAGCCTGGAAACAAACACAACAGATGTAGACAGATAAGAATTTACCGAGTATCAGACTTTACTAAAGGCAAACTGGTCATTTCAAATGACTACCTTTGAGGTTGCAGACTTCACAAGGTCTACAATGACATTGCCTTTTCTGAGTTCAAAATATGACCCTGAACCATTGACAATAATCTCTACTCCATCCTCCGCAAGACCTATATGGGTACTGGGTAAAACAAATTAACGTGAGAACAAGTGCAAGATGATGTATGAGCATAAAGAAACAATGTAGTTAATTACTTACCTGTGGGGATTCCACAATTCCTCACAAATTTCAAAGCCTAAACAAGTGTCAACAGTAGAAATAACAGCATCTCCAAATGGCACCACAGTTTGCTCTGTGTACACTGACACAATTCGGGGAAGGCAATAATCTTCAATTTGACGTTCCTGAAAAATTAGGAACAAAACAAAACGTTTTTTTAACAAATAAATCTAAATTGATGGGTGTACCTCAATTTTATATCTAGACAAAATACAGTACATAAAATTTTGGCTGGTACTTGCTTTTTGCCATGGGGTAAACCATCTAGATTCACGGTAGTTCCCACTATCACAAAGAATCATTTTTGGTCGGATCAGCAAAATCTTCCGGTTATAAAATACAACACGACAATTATAAGTGACATTTCGATGCATTACAGGCATGCCCACATCTATGAGCATGTCTTCAGCAACAGGGGAGATCAATATTTCTAGCAAAGTCTCCCAACTGTGAAGAAGTGTATCACTCTCCAAAAAGTGATCTTCACAGCTATACCCACTAAAATAAATGAAAAACAAAAATGGGTTACTTGATTATAAGTAAAAATTATAGGATATATAATCATAGAACAGTAATATTTCATCAAAAGTGCATACCATAATTCAAGTTCAGGCCCTGTCCGATAAGTAGCACCTGCTTCTTTAGCCAAGCGGATACTTTCTAAAATTCGGGCTACATTTCCAGCGAAGTCCAATGCCCACTGGTTCAGGGTAGACACCGCTACAGTAACCTTGCGTCCCATTATGCAAACTATATTGAAGAAAGAGGAAAAAATAAAATGAGAGATTAGCTTGGATTTCTTTTAAAGCTAAAAAGTGTTGAAAACAAAAAGCACTTGGGATATAGGAAAATAAATTCAGACAAGAGTCCTCTGCTCATAAACCTAGGATGGAGTTTGAACTAACTGAAAACCCAACTTCGATATGGGGGAAAGTGATGAGGAGTAACAGGTGCATTCGCTAGAGGGACGACAAAAGTTCCACAAGAAACAAAGGATTTAAAACAAAAATAGATGAACGCTGTTGATTTTAACAATGCATTCACAAGAAATGATCCATGAAGTGACTATATAAAAGAGTTTTCTTACATTTAATAAAGAGTTTTCTACATTTAACAAATACCTGCGGTCGGGTTCAAAATTAATTTAGTGTTCAATTAATAAATTCAAACTGAGAAGAAAAAGGCATGCCAATATTTCAGGAAGACAGAAGAGAATCTCGTCTGATGAGCAGATTAACAAGACAGAGCAGAGAACCACAGTGAAACAAACACTACAAAGGAGGGTTATTGATAGGCACACAGGTCCTGTAAAAAGTGAAAAGTCAAATAGCTTCACTCGACAGAACCGATCCCGGTCAAAGACTAGATGGAGCAGAGTTGTCGAAAGGGGCGCTGCAGAACAGACACCTTCGAGAGGCGTTGGATCGATGCAGATTTGGTTGCTAAGATCACCTTTCGGCTTTCACCCTTCACCCATGTGATGCTATCAACACAAACAACCCCGTCTACCCCCTCACCCCTTGCCGCTTTATGAACCCCCACCACTACACAGCGAAGTGCTCTCCAAACTTGCCAACATTTTCAAAATGTATACCACAAAAAGACATCACTATTTGGGCACAAAAGCGATGTCTTACACCTAATTTTGCGTTTCCACTTTTCACTAAATGTAAAATAACTTATTATACGGCTTTATCCGTATCCTATTCAACTACCTCATGGTGATGTCTTTTCTTGTTTGTGTAGTGGTGCTGTGGTTGGGATTTAAACAGTGATTCACCGCGAAAAGTGCCGCGCAGTCGGAGCCGAATGCACAGACTCAGCTGATGTTGGCAGTGTAAGATTGTCGCAGCACAGGGATTTTTAACACTTCTTGACGTTTCTGAGGCTAGCTCTCCTTAGAGCTGTTCTCAGAATTTTCAGTTTGATTTTTTGAGGGTAGGTCTAACGCCGCATTTCTATTTGCTGTTGTAGCGCAGCGAGTGTGCGGCCGTCTTCGGAAGACCGTTATCTCTTGTTTCTCTGTCCACTTTCTCTCAATCGGCCATTCTTTGGCTGCTGTTGGATGCCCTTTCCATCCTCTTCCTTGAAGGTTTGCCTGTAAGCACTCATTTAATGTCAAAATTATTGTCCTAGTGGGATAACCCCACTTTGACAACCAACTGTCATTCAATGTGTATTTTACATACTATTGGTTCTAACCTGAGTCTTTACGCCCAGTATCATTGTTCAAAATCAATTGCACTCCAATGGATTGTACAATGGCTTTTTGCATGAGATCAATTGCGTATTTGTTTGCGCATACTACGCCAAAGTTAGTCTCCTCTGAAAGCAAGTTTTCTTCCTATAGTTAATCTTATATTTTAAATATAGTCTATCCCCCTCTATGTTTTGATCTGGAATGCTTGGTCGGGGGTTTTGATGTAGTTTTATTTCCGCAGATGACGAGTTTACGCAAAACACTGCACCCCCTGCAATCCGCTGCTGGAGACAAAGAAAACCTGGTTGGACCGGGAAGAATGTTGAGCATTGTTGACCGTGACAATCTGAAAGCAAGCTTGCGGTAAGTTAATTTATGGATGACAATGAATCCATGATCTGTTCTCTCATTTTTGTTATTTGCTAAGTGAATTGTTGTTTGACATTTTTCATCTCTTTTCTCCTAGGGAAGTCAATGAAAATGACAAAACCCCTGATCAAGCCAAACTTATCAAGCGTAAGAAAACAATCAGTAAAGGTGTCCAGGCAGGCAAGGAGAAGACAGCATCATCTTCAGTTACTGCGGAAGATTTAACTACAGAGAGTGATAATGTCAGTGAGAACTACTGGCATAGCCTTGCTGAGCAGCGTCGTGTAGCGTTGGAGGTGACGTTGAAAGAGAATGAGGCACTCCATAAGGAAAATGAAGAGCTCACCAAGAAAGTTACACTTTTGGAAGAGGAAAATAGAGTTGCCAAAGAGCTGCTGCAAGAGTCAGAAACTCTGGTTGATGTCCTCAAGGTAAGACTTGCCCTTTGTTTTCTGCTGTTCAAATGATATCAACTGATTCAAAAAAGTTGTACCTGTCTCCATCTTGTCATTAACTTTTTTCTAAATGATTCAAATTAACTGTTCTTTCATTCCTAATCAAACTTTTCCTTCTTTCCAGGAAATGATTGGTGGTGGTGATGATGCAAATGAAAGTAGCATCATTGATAACTCCTATGAAGTATAAGCTCCTATGTATAAATCCACAGATGTAGAAAACTTATGTGTTAGGTTTTGTAATCTCATGATCTCCTTTCTCATTAGATTGTTCATTCAATCATACTACTGTTTTTGATTTTGTTCACCAGCTCCTGTTTATCCTATGATGTCCTCTTTTGAGGTGAATAATTTTTAATTTCACATTTTCTTTTGTGTCATGACTGAGCTTATTTGTTTTTCAATTTTAGTCCAGGCTTTGAACATTTTTTATTCCATTTCTATTAACCTCATACCATTCCTTTAATGAACTAAATTGTGCGACCAAACAAAATGTCAATTATTTTGAGTAAATAAAGAAGTCGAAAGCGCCATTTATTTATTTGTCCACTTTCGTTAATTCAAAATTGCCTCGATATTGTCGAAAATTGACATAATTTTGGCACCAGACACCTGCCGTTGGGAATTGAGAACAGAATTCAGGTAGAGCGCCGGATGGGTAGGCAGCTCCTCGTACACGCGTGGCCCACGCTGGCCAACCCGCCAGGCGCCGAGCCAGGACTGGACCGATGAGGCCAACTTCAAGGCTCTAATGTCTGGCAGTCTATTTTCGACCGTCGCCAGTGGGGGTTGTCAAAGAGAGTCCATCGGCCGACGAGCCCAACGTACAACTGTCCTTCATAGTCAAAAGGCGATCCTCTTCCCAAAAATATGGAACGTGGTCCTGTGTTTTCAAACCTCTAATGTAATCACTCACAAGTTGTGTGGTTCAGTGAGGAGGGTCGAGTGGGTGCAGTCATTCCCCTCCGTCCTCAGTCCGTGCATGGCGCCGCGCCGTGGCCATCGAGTGACTTGATAACATCCCAACCAGCCGCTGCTGCGGTGGCACTGAAAAGAAGTATAGGAATAGCCCAATCACAGGTCGTCCCTATCACTCGGTCTCTCGTCGGGAGGTTTTTTTACCGGAAATAACATCAAAATTTCCGAAAATCTCCACTGTTTTTCGACATTTTGCGCAAAAATGAAATCGGGTAAGAGCCTGGACGACTTTGGCTCTAGATTGGACCTGAAACCACTGGTTGAGAGGCAAGAATGGCGTCTCAGGAATGACTACCGGCGTCTCAACTTCAAGCCGAAACTGCTGCGGACTGCGGGAAGGGATCATCCGCAGTGGCGCGCACGTTTTCACGGACTTGTGCCGGGCATGCCCGGCATGCCGGGCCTAAAGGTGCTGGCCGACACCACAAATGCTGGTCCAGCGCGTCCGGCGCGCCAAAGCCCCGCGGGGGCCCGTCGGGCCTGGCGGGCTTTCCGCCGGCATCGCCAGCCGGAGGGACCTATCACCAGTCACCCCGGCCGTCTGCGGGTCCGCGACTGCAGGTGGCACAGCATGAGGAGGCGCAGTCTAGGCGTGGCCGGTTGACGGGGAAGTCCGACCTCGGGGTTACGCGAAGTACTCGAATGGCAAAATGTCGACTGATCCGCGATGGGTGGCGGGCACAATGACCAGGGGAAAAGTGACGGGGCTCCGCTGGTGGCCCGGGTGGTCCACATGGCCTCCTCACGGTGGTTCTTGGTACCCGGGAGGAGAAAGCGACTTGGTGGCGCCAATTCATTCCCGTGTCGTTTTCGCGTGCTTTTTGGTTTATCGCCGCAAATTGGATTCACTGGACCCTTTGGAGAGGGGCTCCTACGCCATTTGGCCCAGCCGGCCGCGCCGGGCGCCCGCAGGGCCCTGCAGGCCGGCGACGAACCCCACGCCGGGTAAGCTGTTTGCAAAGTTGCGGGGCGGCAGGTGCTTTTTGTGAGCCGGTGGTGGTTTGGGGCTGTTGCCGCTTGTGACACTGCATTGCATGCTGCTTCCCACTGTCGGTGCAAGCGGTCGCGGCCCCCGCGCGCCAAACCCCCGACTGCACCTTGCGCCGCCAGCCGTCCCCGCTAGCCCCTCCGTGCCGCGTCGCCGCTCGTTCCTGCGGCCTCGCGACTGCAGGTGGGCACAGCATGGAGGAGGCGCCGGTGCTCGGCGTGGCCGGTTGTCGGCGAGGTCCGAGGGTGTGCCGCGGGCCGCGGGGTTGGTGTGGCCATGGTGTGGCGGCGTGGCCCGCGGGGGCGCCTGGGCCTGGCGGGCACACTGGCCGAGGGGAAAAGTGACGGGGCTCCGCTCAGGCTGGCCCGGGGGTGGTGTGGACATGGCCATGGCCACACGGTGGTGCCAGGGGAGGCGCGGGGGAGAAAGCGGCGATAGTGGCGCCAGTTCAATTTGCGTGTCGTGTCGCGTGCTTTCGGTTTATCGCCGCAAATTGGATTCATTTGGCCTTAGGAGAGGGGCGTCCTCCTCTCGTGATTTGGCCCAGCCGGCCGACCACCGAGGCGCCCGCAGGCCCCCCGCAGACAGCCGGCGACGAACGACGAAGTGGGGTGAAGCTGTTTTCAAAGTTGTCGATGGCGGCGTTGTTTCTTTTTGTTGAGCTTGTTGTTATTGTTGTTGTTGTTGTGACAGTGGCATTGCATTCTGCGTTCCCACATGTCGGTGCGTTGCGTCGCGGCACGCCGTTTGCGCGAAACCAACCCGACTGCACCTTGCCTGCCGCCATGCCGCCCCGTGGCGCTGTCGTGCAGGCGTGCGTTTAGGTCTCCGTCAGCGACCCCCGGCGCAGACACGTGATTCCACCACGTCGTGTCGCCGCTCCGTCTGTCGCCCCCATGGGAGTCTCAGCCGCCAGCCCTATGGCAGTCTAGTGATGCACACTGGGCCAGGAGACTGGCGCAGGCGGTCAAAACTCTAGACGCGTTTTGAGCTCTAGAGTCGTTATACAGCACTCGAACCGAACGTTGACGCCGCCAATGGATTCCTCTTTCGGAGAGCAATCCATTGGTGGAATCACACGTTCGGTTCGCGTCCCATTCAGCGACTCTGGAGCTAAAACGCGTGCGGTATTTTTGGCCGCCTCCACCGGCCCTCTGGCCCACTGTGCTATGGCAGCCTAGCGATGGGGCGCGCGGCTCCGCTACGGCACACGGAGGCTTCGGATTGAGTAGCCCTGCCTTGCGTGCTACACTCGCCGAGAGGACCATTATGTCAACAACACCAGCCAACGGGTTGGGTACGGTGAGGTCAGGCCAGCCGTGACCTCACCAAACCCTCTGCAGCGCCCTGGCAGCGCCCTGGCCGCCCTGGCGGGACTCGGCTTCCAGACTTTCAGTCTTCCAGTCGGCGTCGTGGCGCCGAGCGATACACTGCTTCACGTGCTGGAGTGGCCGGCCGGGGCGGCGGGGACGCCGTAGGACGGGACTGGAGACTCCAGTCACTGGAGTCCAGTCACTGGACGGCCGGGACTCGTGCACGATGCTCGCGATACCTGCGATACGACGCGAGGCGATGCAGGGGCGGAGCGGGGCGGGGCGAGGGGCGGCGGGGAAGGGACGGGCCTACTTTCACTGGCAGCACGGCGTCACGGCGAGCATCACGCCTTGAGCCTCCCACCGTAACCCGTCCCGTCGTTCCGTCCGTTCCGTCGTCGCGGAGTCCGGCGCGACCAGCGGACAGCATACATAGTGGTCTGGTCTCTCTCGCACCCCCGCAAGACGCCCCCGTGAGTGCGCGAGAGACAGCGCGACGAAAGCACCATGCGCGCAGCCACCAGCCGCATGCGGCCGCATCATTCCGAAGAATCGTTTGGTTGCTGCTCTGCTCGGCTCTCTCTCTCGCACCCTTGCATCGCGCCCAAGGAGTGCGACAGCGGTAAAGCGACAACACGATCCTTTCGGAATCCGGCGGCAGGGAAGCGAAAAGGAAACGCGAGCGCGGCGTGGAGTCGAACCCGCGTCCCGCGTGACGACGACAACGGCCTACGTGGTGGCCCGGAGCGCAGACTGATGCCATCCCCTCGGGCGGCCTCAGGCCGACGCGGGCCTCGGGCCGCCCCGCCCGACCGCCCCGCCCGACCGCCCCGCCCCGCCCGCCCCGCCCCGCCCGCCCGCCCCGCCCCGCCCCGCCCCGCCCGCCCGCCCCGCCCCGCCCGCCCGCCCCGCCCCGCCCGACCGCCCGCCCCGCCCGACCGCCCGCCCGCCCGACCGCCCGCTCCGCCCGACCGCCCCGCCCGACCGCCCCGCCCCGCCCGTCGCGGGTATCGACGTGCAGCTGCCACGGCATCCCGATTACATATCCGTTTTTTCCGCTTATTCTTGTTTTTGTTGTTCTTCTTAGGCATGGCGAACAGTACACACGCCCATTCACTCACGTACGCACCCGTGGCGCGCGCATGAATGGAATGGCAGCCTTGGTCGGGGCGTGACCTGCCCGGTAGCAGCGCGTGCGTGCGCGCGTGTGTGTATGCGCGTGTGTGTATGCGCGCCCGTGTGTGCGAACGGGGGTGTACCAGAGTGAGCGGCGGAGGCCGGGGAGGTTCGTTGCCCCGCTCGGCTGCGCTCGGCCGGCGGCAGCGCGGCAGCGGCAGGCCATTCCGGGCCATTCTCACGTCGGTGCAGTTTAGCTGAGTTTAGCAGGGCATGAGGCCACTGGGCCCGCGTCGCCCGCGTAGCCCGCGTGCGACAGACACCATGACACGCGTACTACGTGTCTAACTGCACCTACGCCATGGCGCCTCGAGTGGGGCAGCAGTGCCGCCCGAGGGCGCCCCACCCCACCTCGCCCCGCCCCGCCCTACCCTGCCCCGCCCCGCCCCGCCCCGCCCCACCTCTCTACGTGGTGACCGTCCAGCGCCATGCAGACTCCGTTGGCTCCTCCAGCACCACGAGACCACGAGGCCGCAGTATACACCGATTCCGAGTCGTTTTCGTCACTCCGTAGTATGGGTGCGGGAGAGACAGAGAGACGAAAACGACTCTCGGAATCAGTCTGCAGCATGGCCACTCTCAGGTCCCTCCGCCGGCCGGCCCGGCAGGCAGCCAGGCAGCCTGCCCGCCCTATCGGTGTTGTTGACGCCGTGACGGTTAAGACACTGTTAAGACCATCGGCACCGCTTTCACGGCGGACTCGGGCGGAGCGGACAGGACGGACACGTCACAAAATTCCATTCTCGCGGGTTTCGTAACGAGCCACACCACGCCGCGCTGCCCGGTGCCTCTGATTGGTGCCCCGGGTTCAAACTGCTCTTGATAATGACCGGCAGTGGTCCCTGGCGCTAGCGCTGCTGGGGCTGGCGGGGCTGGCGGGGCTGGCCCGGTGGGGAGGGCGGGGGAGGGGCCCGCCGGGCGGCAGGGTCAGTGCTCAGCGGCCGGGGCGGGGCGGCATGAGGCATCTAGCCAGCCAGCGCCTGCAGCGGCCACTTACCGTTGCACCCCGTCTGATACAGTCCGTCTGAGACAGTCCGTCTGAGACAGCCCGTTTGAGACAGCCCGCGTCTGAGACAGCCCGCGTCTGAGACAGCCCGCGTCTGAGACAGCCCGCGTCTGAGACAGCCCGCGTCTGAGACAGCCCGCGTCTGAGACAGCCCGCGTCTGAGACAGCCCGCGTCTGAGACAGCCCGTCTGAGACAGCCCGTCTGAAACCGCCCGTCTGATGCACATGAAAGCCACAGCCGTAGCGCGACTTGTCGAGGCGACGCGGTAGATATAGACAGAGGCCGTTGTCGGCGCGCGCCGCACCACGCGATGCAGCAGCAGAGCGCCGGGAGGCATTCAAAACATCGCGCCGCCCGCCGACGACATCGCATTCCCGCCAAACAGCCAGCCGACGTGCAGGTGACGTAACGGCGCTGTACTCTGATTGGTTGGCATAACGGCACTTGGAGTAGCAAAGCGCCTGCCAAGCGGAGGATGGGCCAGCCCGCGTGACACGGGTGTATTGCGGTGCTGCCTACCCGACGCATCGCAGGCGCTACGCAGGCGCTGCTACGCAGGCGTTGAGGCCGTGGACAATGCCAGCGCCGCCAAGTCCCTCCCGTTGTCTGTGGCCCCGGTGGCCAGTCGCCCTGCCTGTCGAAAGGGTGCCAACTCCAGCCTGGTGGATGAGTCAGTGGCGGATCCAGACCCACCCTGAGGGAGGGCCAAAGTAGCACTTCCTGCCTAAGGGGCAAAGAGTGCCTCTTGGCCCACCTTTTAGGCGGAGGCCAAGTGAGCCCATTTTCTTGTTGCCCCCTGCAGGTGTGATGATGCAGTATGGCATGGTGGCATGATGACGTGGTGGAATTGTGGTATGGTGGCGTGGTGGCATGGTGACGTGGTGGCATGGTGGCGTGGTGGATGGCGTGGTGGCATGGTGGAATGGTTGTGTAGCGGCATGGTGGGGTGCATCGGCCGAAAATCAGCGTAACACGCCAGTTGGTTTTTACTGCCGACGTTGGCGACAGCGACCACGGAACTCCTCGCGACACGGCTGGCGCTGTCTGGCGCTGCGCGATGCAGGCCGTGATGCTGCACGAGCCAGGCCCTCGGCCAGGCCGGCCAGGCCGCGCGGACCGCCTGGCTGGCTGAGTGAACCCCTTCTCCCTCCTTCCCCCGGGACGTGCGGCGCGGATTGCGCAATACACCGCGAAGGTACTTTGGAGTCGCGCAGCCACTCATACTATGCGCTCACCAATCCCCTCCCCCTCCCCGCCCCAAACCTTTTCCCAGAGCCCGCCGCGCCGCGCCGCCAAAGCGCGCCAAAGTGAAAGGAGACAATAAGGCACTCGCAAAAATAAAGAGGGATACGACGGCGGCAAACGAGCTGTCGACTGATTCCGAGAGTCTTTTCGTCGCTCTGTCTCTGTCGCACCTATAAGGGACGCCCCACGAGGGCGAGAGAGACAGAGCGACGAAAACGACTCTCGGAATCAGTTTGCAGGTTCAACACGCGCGCGGAGAGCGGTTTGCGAAGAGCGGCGCGAAGAGGCGTGCGGCGTGTCGCCGGCCGATCGGGTATCGTGTGGAGTGGCGGCCGAGTGGCGGCGAAGAAAGTTTCGCCTTCGCCGCGCGCCAAAGTGTGCGCGCGCGCCGGCTGCACCTCCACGATGACGGCGGCGGTGGCGGCGCCGCGCGTGCTGCATCAATGTCATGTCAGCGGACTCATTCCGAGAGTCGTTCCCGTCGCTCCGTCTCCCTCGCACCAACGAGCGACGCCCCATGAGTGCGAGAGAGACAGAAGGACTCTCGGAATCGTCCGCTGGCGGCGCTGGCGGCATGGCGGCATTGTTGGTGTGTCGAGGGACAAAGCGGCGGCGAGGTGCCCGAGGTGCCGCGATTCCCATTGCGCGCGTGTTTCGTGTTTCGCAGTGTGTCGGCCTGTGTCCGCGCCGCCCAGGCTTTCGTCGTCGCCTCGGCCGTCGCTCTGTCTCTCTCGCACTCATGGGGCGTCCCGCAGGGCCGCGAGAGAGACAGAGCGACGAAACTCTGCTCGGACTCACCCCGCGCGCCCGGCGGCGCGCCCCGCGCCGTGGGAAACGGAGAGACACGATTTACGGCGCGGACGGCGGGCCGCGGACAGCCTTTTCGTCGCCATGCCTGTCACGGCGGCGCGAACCACCATGCCGAGCGACACGTGTGTGACACACTGTGACACACTGTGACACACTGTGACACGCGCTGACAGCCGAGTCATTCCGAGGAATGGTCTCGTCGCCCTGTCTCACACCCTTACGGGGTGCCCCACGAGTGCGACAGAGGCAGAGCGACGAGCCCATCCTTCGGCATCGCTCGGCAGGTGGCTCGCGCATCGACCCCCCTTTTCGCAAGGTCGTAACCTCTTTTCTCCTTTCCAGACGCCGCCAACATTCCATGCATGGAGGATGGCCGCTTCTACAGGAATCCGCGACCAGCGCCTCATAGGGTGTGGACCAACGGCGAGTGCTCCAAATACTACCTGTGCCTTGGTGAGTGCGCCGCGCAGCCGCCGCGCGCGGTCTATGGTCTATGGCGCCAGCCGCGCCAACCGCGCCAGCCTTCGACCACCGCTGTCGTTTTTCACATGGCGGCGCCTGCAGCTTGCAACCTCATGACTCTGAGCTCTGTCTCTCTCGCACTCATGAGGCATCAGGCACGTGCTGTGCGAGGAGAGAGAGAGGGCACGGCGACTCTGCAGCCAGCTTGACACATCTTGTTTCGCAGACGGCGAGGTGTTCGAGTTCAAGTGCTCGGCCGGGCTGCTGTTCGACGTGAACGCCAGCCTGACACATCTTGTTTCGCAGACGGCGAGGTGTTCGAGTTCAAGTGCTCGGCCGGGCTGCTGTTCGACGTGAACCGCCAGATCTGCGACTTCAAGATGAACGTGGACAACTGCGACGTGGTGGCCGAGGCCGTGGTGCCGCGGCCCCTGCTGGAGGCGGCCGAGTGCGCCCAGGGCCAGCTGGGCTGCGCGGACCGCTCCTGCCTCCCCGCCGAGTACTTCTGCGACGGCAGCGTGGACTGCCCCGACGGCTCGGACGAGGGCTGGTGCGGTACGTCCACCTCCTCACCTTCTCGAAGCCACCCCAGCGAGGGCGGACAGGCAGACCCAGGGACGGGGCCAGACCCCCCCCCCCCCCCCACACACACACACACCTTCTCGAAGCCACCCCAGCGAGGGCGGACAGGCAGACCCAGGGACGGGGCCAGACCCCCCCCCCCCCCCCCCACACACACACACACACACCTTCTCGAAGCCACCCCAGCGAGGGCGGACAGGCAGACCCAGGGACGGGGCCAGACCCCCCCCCCCCTACTCGCAAGGGCAAAGGGTGACTTTCTGCCCATCTTTCAGGCGGCTTCACCGCCCTCCAAGGGAGGCGCCGCCTCCTGGATCCGCCCCTGCGCCCCAATCGGTCAGCATGCCTTGTTGCACGCCAAGGAAATGGCCCCGGCGAAACTCGTGCACCATAGAGACCGCCCACAAACGCATCAAGTATCGTCGGGGTCATTCCCTGTTATGGGTTACGTGGGCGATCCTCTCAAATTCCGTCATTTTATTTAATCAGTTCCGGGCTCGGTCGCTGGGGCGCGGGCCCAGGCACGCCTGCAGGCTGCTTCCGAGAGTCGTTTTCGTCGCTGTGTCTCTCTCGCTCTCATGGGGCGCCCTGTATAGGTGCAGAATAGACACAGCGATGAAGCCGACTCTCGGCCACGCCGTCCGGGGTCCTTCGCTGCGCCCCTCGCCTAAGTGCTTCATTGTGTACCAGAACCAGATGCGGTGGTCCAAATAACGCTGGGAGAGGAAGTGAGAGAGAAAGCGGGGTTACGTGGAGTGGGCGTGCCGCGTGCCGCGTGCCGGCGTGGACGAGGGGGACGGACTGGCAGGACGCGGCCGATGACGCGACGCCGTGGCGACGCCGTGACGGTAGTGACGGCACACGGCGACCTCGCTGGGACTGCGGACTGATTCCGAGAGTCGTTTTCGTCGCTCTGCCTCTCTCTCGCGCGCGCCTATACGGGGCGCCCATGAGTGCGAGAGAGACAGAGCGACGAAAACGACTCTCGGAATGAGTCTGCCGCTGGGACTTCCCTCGGCATGAGTTCGCTGCCGCCATGCTGCCGCCATGCTGCCGCCTCGGCACTGCCGCAACACCGCTCGCTAAACGCCGCGCTGGTTGCAGACGTGGACAACGACCCCAACGGCTCGCTGTCGTGCGACCCCCGGTCGTGCCGCCTGCCCGACTGCTTCTGCTCGCGCGACGGCACGCGCGTGCCCGGCGACCTGGAGCGCGGCCAGGTGCCGCAGATGGTGGTCGTCACCTTCGACGACGCCGTCAACTCGGAGAACTGGGACCTGTTCACGCGGGAGCTCTTCACGGACGAGCACCGCAACCCCAACGGCTGCCCCATCCGCGCCACCTTCTACCTCAGCCACCAGTACACCAACTACCAGCAGGTGCAGCGCCTCTGGAACGACGGCCACGAGGTGGCGGTGCACTCCATCACGTGAGTAGGCCCGACGGTAAACTGATTCCTAGGCTCGTTTCCGCCACTCTATCTCAGCGGACGCCCCGAGTGCGAGCGAGATACGGCGACGAAAACGATTCTCAGAATCAGTCTGGAGGATCGGCAAGACACTGGTAAACATGCCCACGATGCACGGGTGTCGAGAGGGTTGGCGAGGCCTGCGTTGTCTCGCTCGGTAAGAGTCCTACCCCCTTCTTTCTCGCTCCCACGCGGAAGTGCGACAGAGACAGAGCGGCGAAACTGGGAGGAAAGGAAGGCACCTGCTAGAGGCCTACGTAAATCCCACGCCCCCCTTCTCTAGCTAGACATGCAGAGGTAGGCAATCCTTTCGACATGCATCGTAGGAATTTGGGCCAAAGGATGCTCGCCTTGCCAGTGCAGTATGGTCCATTCAGTGAACCCTGTCCTCGCCGCGCTCAAAGGGAAGTTAAACAGCCACAGCCCCACTGGGGGCCTCATGGTCGGAGTGCTGTTCCGGTGCGTTATAAGGGTTCGATCTTTTGTTTTGCTCGTTGTTTCGAGGCTGTTTGCCACACTCATGATGGCACCAAGAAAAGGCCTGCAGCCGCGAGGACAGGATTCACTGAATGGACCATACCCTGGGGTGCACGTGCTTGCAGGCACCGCGGGCCCGAGGACTGGTGGAGCCGCAACGCCACCATCGAGGATTGGTTCGACGAGATGGTGGGGCAGGCCAACATCATCAACCACTTCGCCGGCGTCCGGATGGAGGACATTCGAGGTACCGTCCCACCGTTCGATCCAATTTCCTTTTGACATCCCGTCCGCGCAGCACAAAGCACAGTGGGCCAGAAGACCGGCGCCGGCGGCCAAAGTCGTCAAACATGACTCGAGCCGAGCGTGTGACCTCACCAATGGATTCCTCGTTCGAAGAGCAATCCATTGGTGGGGTCACACGTTCGGTTCGAGTACCATTTAGCGACCCTGGAGCTCGAAACGCGTCCGGGACTTTGACCACCTCGACCGGTCTTCTGACCCACTGTGCGACGTGAACCCAAGTGACCGGCGGCTCCGCCATGGCTCGGCTCTGCTCGGCTCCCCCAGGCATGCGCGTGCCGTTCCTGCGCGTCGGCTGGAACCGCCAGTTCCTCATGATGCAAGAGTTCGGCTTCCGCTACGACGCGTCCATGGTGGCGCCCTTCTCCGACCCGCCGCTGTGGCCCTACACGCTGGACCACAAGCCGCCGCACAAGTGCGTGGGCGCCAAGCAGCGCTGCCCGTCCAGGGCCTACCCCGGCATCTGGGAGATGCCCCTTAACCAGGTCACCATCGAGGTAGGCTCAACTTCGCCCAACTTCCCTGAAGGCAGTGTCGCCCTACGAGTGGTCGACAGCTCGCACGCTGCAAGGGTAGAAAGGGTCGCCGACCCCAGCCGGTCCACTGGGCAATATCTGGACTTAGCTCTCGAGAATTAGCCCTGAGGGCAGGCCTGCATCGTGGGAGTTTTTGCCTACTTATGTTGCGACACTGCTGGGGGAGTGATGGTGACGGGTGTGTGGCCTGCCTCCCAGGAGAAGCACAGCCGAGCGATTCCGAAGGATCTTTTCTTTGGTCTGTCTCTCTCGCACCCCTTAGGCCTTCGGGACGCTCCACGAGTGCGACAGAGACAGAGCGACGCCACGATCGCTGCCGTCTCATTCCGAACACTGCTTCGTCGCTCTGTCTCTCTCCCACCCCTACGGACCGCCCCATGAGTGCGAGAGAGACAGAGCGACGAAAGCAGTGCTCGGAATCAGACGGCTGGGAATCGCTCGGTACGGCAAGGCACTGTAGCGAGCTCATTTGGTGGTTGGCCAGGGCTACACGTGCGCCATGGTGGACTCGTGCCCGCCCCACCTCTCCGGCGAGGACGTGTACCGCATGCTCATCAGCAACTTCAAGCGGCACTACAACACCAACAGGGCGCCGTTCGGGCTGTACTTCCACACCACGTGGTTCAAGCGGCCGGAGTACCTGGCGGCGTTCAAGGTACGTGCGCGCCTGCAGACTCATTCCGAGTGTCGTCTTCGTCACTCTGTCGCCGTCGCCACAGGGAACCCCCCATGAGTGCGAGAGAGACAGAGCGACGAAAGCGACTCTTTGGAATCAATCTGCTGCAGGCTACCGGAAATAGACTCCTCAGCTCGCAAGCTGGCTGCCTTTCGAACATTTTTCTTTCCTTTACAGAAATTTCTGAATGACATGGGCAAGATGCAAGATGTCTGGTTTGTCACAAACTGGCAGGCTATTCAATGGATGAGAGAGCCAACTCCACTTAGCCATATTGGTTCCTTCGAGCCCTGGGGCTGCAAGAAGCACAAGGTATCGTCGACAGAGTTTTGCCAAAGACAGTTGGAGAAAACTAATTGCCTGTAGTACCACTTATACTTTTTCTTTCACAGTTTGAGCCTCATGAGATTGCTTGTAATTTACCAAAGACGTGCAAGCTGACGAGCCGCATCCTTCAAGGTGAACGCTACTTAAGCACCTGCATTGAGTGTCCGAATCAGTACCCATGGATTCGGAACGAGTTCGGCCTAGACAGCCGCTAACTTTTGGCCAAAAACAGTCATACTACATAGTACCTAAGAGAGTTTGTTGCTCGAAGAAAGACTGCACACTTGATTTGATTTTGAACCAGTGACATGGCCAGTAGGGCATTGAGAGAACTGGACTAAGCAACTCAACATCTCCTGCTCTTGCCCTGATGTACCAGATACATCTATAATGCTGTAAGCCAAGAAATAACTCCTGTTTTTATCAATATGGACCAAGGAGTAAAAATTAGTGGAGCAGTAAATGGCTAGCAATTAGAAACAATGTCACAAAAAGCTATACAGTATGTGGGAGTAGAAGTGATTGTTTCAAGGGAGATGCGTTAAAACACAACACTTGCAATCATAAAACTGTGATTTTCTTAGAGAATGAGATGTAAAAATGTAGAATTGTAGTTTAAATAGAATAAGCTCAGCCAGTTAAGATTTGTATTTATCAGAATGACTGAAATGGGAAAGAATGCTCATAAAAGAAAGAGCCATTGTATCCGGCTTGACATTAATGAAAAAAGTACATTACCTGGAACATTTATTTTTAACCTAGTGAGGAGTTGCTGCCATTTGTGTTTGTAAAAGAGAAAAACCACATCCATTCTTCAAAGTTTAATTTAATAATTTTACATTGTACCATCTGTGTTCTATTTATTTAGCTAAATAAAAAAAATGGAATAGCGTGACTCACTCATTAAATGGAAACCAAAAAACAAAAAAAGAACAGTAAACTGTTAAACAATATAATTTTGTAGTTGTCAAGGAGAGAAAACTTATATTACAAAAATAATTAAAATTACACTTCTTTGTGTATCATAGTTGAGGGGCACGGAATTGATTACTTACAGATATTTTCAAGAACAAAGTACGCAGAGCAACAGATTCAACCATCCTGTGCAACGAAAGGATTTGCAATACTTTCCATTCCATCTACAGGGCAGATTAGAACAACAGTCGTTCCTCTACATACAACCAGGCCAAGCATACGGGTGTCTTCCATCAGTTTGTATGGGTCATCAGGATCTATCAAAACCAAAACAAGAGCACAGTTAAATCAAAATGAAAAGGTGCAAAGGTGATCACAGATAAATGCATTTGACATAAAATACCTCTTAAATATTCTGTGGTGTTGTCGAGGACAAGATTCAATAGAGGATCGTAACCCTTTAAAGTTCCCGCGCACTCACGACCTCCAGCAAATTTCACTCTGATGTTCTTCTCTAGGTACTTAGAAAGGTCAAGAATACTCTCCTTTCTTTTCTTCTCCTTCTGATCTCCCCCTTGCGCTTGGTTAGAGCTCTGAAAGAAAACAGAAAAATTAATAGAAAAGCATTTGCCAGGCATGGAATTAACAACCGTATTTGACAGCTCATAGAGTTCACATACATAATTCAACTACGGGACAAGAAAAATATTTCTGAAACTGATACAGAATACAGTTCCAATTTATAACGCTTCGTCCCATGATTTGACTGAATAAAAACATGCACACTAGGTTGCACCCTAACCTCTTTTCTAACATCAACGACACCAATTCGTGAAAAACTTATGATGGGACAGGTCATATTTATCAGTCACAAAAACACAGGGAACTTACCGCACTCATATTGACAAAATTAGGAAATCCAACAGGACTATGAAAACTTTTATTCAACTTGAAGACCGGCAGACGAATAATTTCATTCGAAAACTCCGCGGACTAGAACACATCAACACGACAGTGTTGCCGGATCGGGCGAAAACGAATCAAGGAAAATAATGATTCTTGAAAATATGTTTTTTACCTAAGAAAAAACATTGCTTTAATATTCTAGACTCATATCTTTGTTTTTCAGACGTCTATCCCATTCATTACTACTATCTTTAAAAAATCTGCTTTGAAACGTGGCAACCTTGCCCGGATGAGTACGTGGAGAAGGGAAGGGGCAGGGGGAAAGGTGAAGGGTGGAGAGAGGGAGAGAGGGGAAATCGGAGTGGAGTTGGCGTCGTTGGGCGTCATCGTCCCAAATTTTTAACTTTAATTTACACGGTAACTCTTATTTAAGATGGATGCGTCAGAGTTAGCGGACGCCTGCCGGCTCTGCCTAGACAAAGAAAGAGTTACAATACCAATATTTGAAGGGGAAGGTGTGGATCGGGAGCTGTATCATAAAATAGGATCGTGTCTTCCCGTGAAGGTAAGATGTCTTTCAGTGGTGCAGGTATTCATGTTTGTTTTTTTCGCCCTTCTTCTAAGAAAGGCAGCCTTTTCCTACGTGTATCTCATTCTATCAATGCTACTCTGCACTCTCTTTCTATTTCGGCTTGATACTAATTATTGACTCTCTTTCGGTAATTTTGTAATTGATCATGTATTGGTTATGCAATTTAGAGTTAATCTCTTTTCGGGAATATTATTCAAATGTTACCGCTATATTTGTGGGGCAAAAGCATATATTCTTTTGCGTTAGCTCTGAAAATTGGCTTTGTTTGTGGCTGGTCACGTTTTTAGGAGCTTTGATACATACCTCTCTCTACTAGTTCATAACCTTACTTGGTTAAAATGTCACTTAAACTGAATTTGTCCATCACCTGAACCCAGCACATTAAGAAACATATTGTTGCTTGAAAGTTTTTCCTCTTCATACTTGCCTCTCGCTCGAAGGATTTTAATCCCAAAGAAGTAATTTTAAAAAATAAAATATTTTACAGCTTGCCAGCGATGACCCTCTCCCAAAGAAAATTTGTGATGACTGCACTGAAAAATTGGAACTGGTATACAATTTTTGGAATACTGCTGTCAATGCTGAGAGGCAATTATACGATTGGTTGGGTTTTAGTGAACCTATCCATAGGACACCTATGGATGTACTGAAGACTGAAATGGTGAGCCTGTTTTCCAGCCATGTGCTTCCTTTCTTTTGGTTTTTCAGATTGCAAGTAGTGTTCCTAATATACTTTAAAATTTCAGATGGGAGAGGATTCTAATGGAGAGATGGATCTAGATGATTCACAAGACCCTTTGGACCATCACCATCGCCATCATGGCCCAGAAGGAAGTGAGGAGGAGAGTGGAGCAGAAGACGGGGAGGACCACGAGGAATTGGAGGATCCAGAGGAGCCGGAGGAGGATTCTGGTGGAGGCCAAGAAGAGACGACAACTAAGACACCTGTCAAGCCTACCACCAGCCCTCCTGTTAATCCCCCCGTAAACCCTCCTGTAAACCCTCCCGTAAATCCTCCTCTCAACCCTCCCGTCAAACCTCCAATCATCATACCACCGCTACCAAGCACCTCCAACACAACACCTCTGACTGGGCTTTCTATACTGTCCGGGCCGTCTAGAATACCTGGTATATCAGGAATATCTCTGTCAGCGCTAACTGGACTGAAGACCTCTCAATCGGGCCTCTGTGGACTGAAGCCAGCCCAATCTGCACACTTGGTGCTGACTCCACCGCCTCCCCCTCAAGTATATAACTCAACCACAACTGCGCCAGTCATCGACAAAGAAGCATGCAGGTAAGCTTCAACTTGTTTAATTTTCCTTGGTCTCTAAGTTCTTTTGGTATAGCCGGAGACAGTTGCTTATCAATAATTCAATGCAAACAAGACTAGTGATACTTATTTCAATTTCCTGTGATTTTACATGTTTTTCTGTGTTTTTTTTTTTAAATTCATTAATGATGAATGACTGTCTCAGGTGTATATCATGCTTACTGACGCTAAGAAATAATGCCTGACGTTTTCATTTTTTCACAAATTTAGTCACTAATTTCACGAGTTTTCATTGGAATTAAGGCATTATTTTTCAGCTCTAGCTACAAAGTCTGTCAAGTTTTTACCACAAAAAGACCATGTTTCTCAACCCCATCAGTTTTCTCTCCTATTTGCTCATATTGAGTAAAAGTCATTGACAATGAGGTGAGACTTAAAGGTTTGACTTTGATGAAACCAAGGCCAAGTTAATAAAAAAAAAAAAAAAAAAGAAAGTTGGTCCTATCAGTGTGTGCAGTAATTTTCCTGAGTTTAAAGTTCCATGTACATAGTAGAAATTTTACCTCTGCCCCATTTAAATTTGATCTGAGATTGTTTCACTACTGAATATCCTTTATTTTTTCAAGTACTTGGTTGATTAATGAAAATTTGATGGGGTTGCCTTCACTCATGCATTTTACTACAATATATTGGTGTGCTGATCTCAGACAATTCTTTTCTTTTCCCTGAAAAATATTTTTAGAGGGAGAGAAAATTAATTTTCTGTTTGGTCCAAACCATAACATATTGCTGGTGGTAGTTTTCTTGATTTTCACGACACTTGTGAATGCTTTTCACCTTTCTTTTTAAATTGTGTTTATGAGTTTGCTTTTCTCAGTTTTTGGTGTTTTAATTTATCTTATTGATAAACCTATGTGAAAATTAATGTGGTGGGTGCTGGCACAGGCTGTTGGGGAAAGGTAGTGGTATATAACATAATCTCTCAGATCGCACAAGATTTCTGTGTGGTGAACGTGATCAATTGATCCCTACAGAACTTAACTGGGAATCAATAATGTTTACTGTTGTAATATTCTCTGTTTCTTTTCAATTTCAACTTTTCTCATTCTTGTCTGAGGATAGATACTGTCATTGTAGGTACACTAACATGACCTGTCAGCATAAAAAGAGAAAACAATTGAAATAACAGACAAAGCACAAATGACACACTAAAAAAAAAACAAGAAAAAAACCACAATACTACTATAGATAAGATTTCTGATTGATTTGTATTTAATGCAATTCATATGTGTTCATCGTTGATATGTAATTTAAATGGCTGCCCTGGTTCTGTGCCGGCCCTGAAGGCATAAGATCTGGCCTAACCTACATTGATCCACAGTCTGCTTTGGTTTCTTAATTTCTTTCTTTATTTGTTTTTTTAATCTTGATTTATTTGCAATTATTATTAATTTGAGCGAGGTTTCATTTGCCATTGTATTGCCATTGTGATTCAAGTCAGTTTTATGTTGTTGTTTGACAACCTGTTATGCGTGCTTGGTGTTCATTGTAGCAGTGGGCCAGTCGTCCAAGCAGTGAGGAATGGAGGCAGTGAGGGCAGCCATCAGAGACAAGTTTTAAAATGCACTGAGTGCGGGAAAGAGTTTTCCTCTAATGCAAAACTGGTTCAGCACAGCAAAATTCATAAGGAACGTAATTTTGAATGCAAGCTGTGCCTCAAGAAATTTCTGACAGAACACCACTTGAAGATGCATGGTGCGATGCACGAGGAAATTCGCCCTCATACATGTGACAAGTGTGGAAGTAGTTTCCGGTATCTGAAAACCTTGGAAACTCATAAGAAGATTCATGCTAATGAAGAAGATGACCATCGCTTTTTATGCCTGGTTTGTGGCATGCGGTTTTCTACAAGAAATGCTTACAATCATCATTCCAAGAGCCATAAAGACTCTGTGAGAAATATCAACATCAATTTAAGTTGCAAAGTTTGTCATAGAACCTTTACTTCAAGACAGTTACTTGTTCAGCATATGCGTATTCATACTGGGGTTCAAAGTTTTTCCTGTGATGTTTGTGGTAAAAACCTAACTAGTCAAGAGTCACTTCTCTGTCATAAACTCATGCATTCTGGTGAAAAGCAATTCAGTTGTGAAACATGTGGCCGAACATTTGCTCATCGAAAGTATTATGTTGTTCACCAAAGAATACATACTGGTGAACGACCTTATAAGTGTGATATTTGCAACAAGAATTTTACTCAGTCATCAACTCTTACTGTACACAGAAGATACCATACTGGTGAAAGGCCATATCGATGTTCTGTGTGCTCCAAGGGATTTGTGACTAAAACTTTGATGTTGTCTCATCACCTAAAGCACCAAACTTCAAGTTAGTTACAGGATCAGTGTATCCCCTTCCCTGTTATAATTTGTCTATTAGCATTCAGTCCCCCTCCCCCTTTTTTTTTCTTTGTGTAGTTCTGTTAATGTGCAGCTTGTTCTAATGAGCCCTTGTAAATGAATCAGGTCAGGTTTTTGTTTTAATACTGGGCATAGCTCTTTTAAACTTGTACAAATATTTTCACTCAAACTTTTTTATTTTTTCCAATCTATTTATTTTGTATGTGTCAGGTATGAACTGAACACTTCACATGTTTCATTACTGTTGCTCGAAGAGTGGCCTGGGTGACCAAGGTAGACAGTCAAATACAGCTTTACCCAACCTTTTTCTTCCCTGTAGACCAGCTTGAGCCCTACTTGGCCAGCTTGGTTAGCATGACTTCAAAAGATCGTCCCTTGTATTTCCAGTTTAGAAACCATATAACTCATTGGTTTGGTCTTGTTTTTCTCTGGATTGTATGATTCACACCATCCTCTAGTTCTTCAATTCCTGACTTAAGTTTTTATTTTAAAAAACATACAAAAAAACACATTTTCTTGTTAAGTAAATTGCCTTAGAGCCAAATTTAACCCAGCTTGACATGACAGTAAGGGGTCAGGGTCAGGGCACACAGGTGCACTACGCACACACCCAATAGTCTGCCTGTTCAGCAGCCCACCAGTAACAAAGCTTTGCCCAGTGTGACTTTAGCAATCTCTTCTTTGCAGAGACAGTGGCTCCAATGAGACTAGTGGGAAGAGGGAGGCTCCCTCCAGGACTCAGAAAGAAACGTGTCAAGTGTGCGGGAAAAAATATGTCGCAAGCTTTATGCCTGTGCATATGAGAACACACACTGGTGAGAAGGCTCTTGACTGCCCTCTTTGTGGCACATCTTTTCTAAATTACAAGGCCTTGCGCAGTCACATGGTGTGCCACTCTGATTATCGACCGTTCTCCTGTGATGTGTGCCAGAGAAAATTTAAACGCAACAATGAGTTGAATATGCATATGAAAATTCATTCTGGCGAGAAGGCCTATCAGTGTGATTTATGTGATTACTCCTGTGTGCAGAAGTCAAACCTTGTCATTCATAAAAAGCGCCACAGTAATGAATACAAATTTATGTGTGATATTTGTGATAAAGGGTGTTACACAAATCAAGAACTTCAAAAGCACAGAATGACTCACATGGATATTGCCCATAAATGTAAAGTGTGTGGTAAAGAATTCCATCACAAATATGGATTGACAATCCATGAGAAAAAACATAATCCTAATTATGAACCTCCTGTTGGACAATTTAAATGTAACATCTGTGGAAAGAGTTATGTGAAACATAGTGGCTTGAAGGTCCACATGAGGCAACATACTGGAGTTAGACCGTATACCTGTGATGTCTGTGGAAAGTCTGTTTCTAGTAAGGCCATATTAGAAGTGCATTCAAGAACACACACTGGGGAAAAACCTCACATCTGTGAAGTATGTGGGAAAATGTTTACCTCAAAACGATATCTTGACACCCACATACGTACTCATACGGGTGAGAAGCCATTTAAATGTAATGTCTGTGGTAAGAGCTTTACTCAACATTCAACTCTGATAGTTCATTCTCGATATCACACTGGAAAACGGCCCCATGAGTGCCCCACATGTGGTAAAGGTTTTGTTCTTCGTTGCCAATTAAAATCGCATCAGAAAAGTGCCAACCACTATGCTGAAATGCAAGTTGACAGTGATGAGTGTCTTGTAGAACAAGATGAACTTGATGAGACATCCATTCAAGAAACTGAAGTAACTGATGAAACTATTGTTATAACCTCACCTATGACTACAGATGATGTTATAATCACCTGTTATGGTAGTTTAGATTTATCAGGAAAAATAATATTTTCCTGTTCTACTTGTCAGAAAACGTTTGCTGACAAAGACCATTTGATTGCTCACAGGGCAAATTCCTGTCAGTTGGATGACCAACTTGTCAAAAATGAACCCTCTGATTCAGAATGATGTGTTTTTCAGTGTTTTTCATTGTAGTCTCTGATTGGAACATTACAGTTGCTATTTTTGTCTCTAAGTTATATCAATGGTGTCAAAGAATTTGAATTGTGCCGTTATCTGATAATGGTCTGATAATAACATCACATTTGTAGTTTGTTGTTTTAAGTTGTATCAATGAGCTCTAGCTCTTGAATTGTGTGGCCTTATTAAATGATTGAATTTACGTGGTTTTCTAGTTTTTAAAACTAGAGAGTAATACTCTCCAGTGACATATTTGACTGTATTTTTCTATGTTGATGTTGTTTATGCATTGTGCATACCTAATTCAAGGATGTGAATGGTTTGATTCTTAGTTTCATGTTGCTATGTTGAGAGAAGAATAACCCGTTTCTTAACCAATACTTGTTTTTAGATAGAGGTGTTCAACAGTTGTTGTGTTTCCATTTTTGTCATGTCATGTCATGTCTTAATTGATTTGATTATCATACGCAACTTTGTGCTGGCATATTAGTGTTGAGTTAAGTTATTTTGTTTGAAGAAGGGCAGGTAGAAATTCAGGAAACTAGTGTTCATATGTGACTCATTTGGCCCTTCTTTGTTTATGTTTACTTAGGCTCATTGGATGTGTTCTTAACTTCATTTCCTACATTCTATGTAATTTAATTATTTTTTTTTTATAATAAAAGTACATAGAAGTCTTTTATTTTTACAAATTAACTACTTTCTGTTTTTGCTTGTTATCTGAGTCCGTTTCAATCAGGATTGTCTTGACTGATGATGAGACAAGAGCGGTTTACTTAGTTGTTAAAAGTCTCCTTGGCATAGCTCTAGCAGAATACATTTCTTTGCAGATGTGTCGCTGACCCCGGTGCTTGGGTCAGCTGTGAGTGCTCGGGAGGCCAAATTACCACCCAAGAGCCTGTTCCTCATACTCATGCAGGAGTAAAATCTCATCGATGTGGGATTTGCAATATAGATTTTGCCAGCAGTGCAGCTCTGTTACGTCATAAGGGAATTCATCAACTTTCTGTTGTGGAGTGCTCTGTATGTGGAGCAGTATTCACATATCCATTCCAACTAAAGAGACACTCAAAGACACATGAAAAAAAATCTTATCTATGTTCTTTCTGTAACAAAGCTTTTCTCTCTCAGGATGGATTAAATTGTCACACTATTCGTGTCCACACCCAAGATAAACCATTCAAATGTGACTTCTGTGATAAATCCTTCAAACTTATAGCAGACTACAAAGTCCACCTAAAAACCCATCTAAGTATTAAAAACTACCCGTGTAACATTTGTGATCAATCATTCGCTAAGAAGTCAGCATTAGATTCTCATTTAAACAGACATCTGAAGAGGTATCAATTTAATTGTGAACTTTGTGGGAAAGGTTTTTATATCGCGTCTGAGTTTCAAGCTCACAAATTAAAACACAGTGGTGTCCGTCCTCATAAATGTACAACTTGTGCAAGATCTTACAGCCGCAAGAGTGCTCTTATATCTCATTTAAAATCTCATTCACAAAATTTTAAACCAAGGCAACCCAAGCATCAATGTGGGTCTTGTAATAGATTGTTTCACAGCTCATCATCTCTTATGGAGCACCTGCGCATTCATACTGGGATCAGTAACTACACTTGCTACATATGTCAAAAAGGCCTTTGCAGCAAAGCCACTCTGGAGTGTCACTTAAGAACCCACTCTGGGGATAAACCTTTTGTCTGTGAAACATGTGGAAGGACTTTCGGTTCCCAAAAAAACCTGACAGTTCATAATAGAGTGCACACGGGGGAAAAGCCGTATGTTTGCTCTGGCTGCAAGAAAGGGTTTAGTCAAAGGGGGGCATTAACGAAACATCAAAAGAAATCCTGTAATGGCTTGCAATGTTCATCATGTGACATAACTTTCAAAATTAGAGATGAACTGATAAACCATTTAAGTAGTGAGGCGCACACCACCAAAGTGAGACAAATATGTGAAGATGTTCCTGAGGCATTGATACCCGATGTGCCATTACAGCTCCCTTGTATACCCAATTTCTGATTTTCACAGATTTTGCTTTTATATTGGAAAGAATTTGGGAAGCGGGTATCTTGTGATGATATGATAATTGTGAGCAAAGTGGTAGAAACTTACAGTTTGTGATAATATGTCCATTATTTTACAATAAGATTAAAAAGTTTATGTTTTATGTCACGACTTTTCTGTTCAATGTGATTAACTCTGTAGATCCCTCATCCAATACAATGCGTACAAACTGACACCTACCATGAACCGCCACCAAATACTAAGAAATGGAAACAATTGACAAACACCACACAAAGCCACTCCAAACACTATCCCAGCATCCAGTCTTCTTCTCTAGTCTCTCGTCTTTCTCGTCTGGCCCCTCGCCCCGCCTCGAGCATGGCCCTTTAGCTCTCAAGACTAAAACCTGAAACCTCCATCATCCTGGCTTGTTTTAGGTCAATCCTAACAGAGAAGGCCAACCGAATCGCGGCCATGCTGAAGCTGGCTGCACAGTCGGGCTCGCTGAGCCGCGCCACCCGGAGCTACCCGTGCCCCGACTGCGACCTGGTGCTGCCCAGCCGGCAGCGCCTCACGCAGCACTGGAAGGTGCACCACGAGACCCCGCTGCTGGCCCCGGTCACGCCGCCCGAGCGCCGCAAGCAGCGCCGCGAGGAGGAGGAGCAGGAGGAAATCATGCGCGCCGCGGCGGTGGCGGCCGCCGTCAAGGTGGAGGTGCACTCGGGCAGCGAGGACGAGATCGTGTCCACCAACCTGCCCATGTTCGAGTGCACGCAGTGCCACAAGGAGTTCAGCACGGAGAAGTCGCTCAAGATGCACCAGGTGGTGCACACGGAGGAGCGGCCCTACACGTGCAACGTGTGCTACAAGTCGTACAAGCGGCCCTACGAGATGAAGATGCACCAGCGCAAGCACACGGAGCAGAAGAAGCTGCAGTGCAACGAGTGCGACTACACGACCATCTACAAGTCGGCCCTCAACACGCACAAGCGGCGCCACAGCCAGGAGTACAAGTACCACTGCGAGATCTGCGGCAAGGGCTTCTTCGTGCACACGTGGCTCATGGAGCACAAGAACTTCCACACGGGCGAGAAGCCCTTTCAGTGCGACGTGTGCGGGAAGGCCTTCCCCTACACGAGATACTTGGCAGCCCACAAGAAGACAATCCACCCGGACGAGAAGCAGCCCCCGAAGGTAAACGAGTGCAAGACGTGCGGCAAGGTGTTCGCGCACCGCAACTCGCTCTCGCTCCACATCAAGTCGCACACCGGCGAGAACGTGTTCATCTGTGATATCTGCGGCAAGTCGCTGACCAACAAGGACCACCTGAACCTGCACCGGCGCATCCACACGGGGGAGAAGCCCCACGCGTGCTCGTACTGCGGCAAGGCGTTCAGCAAGCCGGGCAACCTGACGCTGCACGAGCGCGTGCACACTGGCGAGCGCCCCTACACGTGCGACACGTGCGGCAAGTCCTTCTCGCAGCGCTCCACGCTCGTCATCCACAAGCGCTACCACACCGGCCAGCGGCCCTACGTGTGCCCGCACTGCTCCAAGGGCTTCGTGTCCAAGGCGCTGCTCAACTCGCACCTCAAGAACACCTGCTACCAGTAGGCCGAGAGCGTCTCGCCTCGCTTTCCCAGAGTATCTCCTTCAGGCAGCAAAGCTGTCACTAGTGCCTTTGTAACTTTTCTGTACTGTAAAGTGGACTCCGTTTGCCAAATTCAATACACCCTTTCCCTTTGAGGTATACTTCTTGACATATGAGTAGTGCGTTTCCAATAAATGTGTGCCTTGGTTTTTGTACTTGTATTGTCTAGATTTGCTTTTGTGAGTGACCTCATGTCTTGTTCTCTGGCAGTAGAAGCTATCAAGTTCTTTTAAATTATTGGAGTGACCAAAGATTTTTTTTTTTTGAGACAAGTGTTATACTCTATGGAGCTTCAAAACTAAAAGAGACATTCTGAACCAAGATCCTAAAGGCGAGAAAGCAATAAATAGTGAGAACGGTGTCTTAGTTGTAGAGGAGCTGAAACAGGGCTCTGGTGAAGTTGATTTAATTCATCATATATTTTTATATGCTTAGGGTTTTGTTCAGATCAAGGACGGGGTACAACTCTTTGTTGCCAATTCCAGAGCTGACTGAGTGTGTGCTAGCATGCTAGCATATCCATTATTGAATGTCAATTTAAAAAAAGGAAAGAAGATGAGGCCCGCTTGGATTGCAAAGCAGTTCCACATTAATGTTTGGGTATAAGGGTATGAATCTGTGTTTAATAATCACAGAATGGTAAAACATAGTAGATTTAAGTAAGTGAGGCCTTATATACTTGTATCATGTTATATTTTTTAAATTTGTCACTACTAAGCATGTATGAATATTTTTGGGACAACACTTTTGTTTTGAACAAGTTCAATGTAATTACAGGGTTTCCACAGAAAAGGATGTTGTATATGTACTTTTCAATGCGCAAATTTGTTTTAAATTTTTGCTACCAATGCTAAAAGTTACTCTGTATTATTTACAGAAATTTACAGTGCCTCAGATATTGAAATTGATCTTCTATCAGTTGTAACTCACTTCTTTTTAAGGTCAGTTTACTTATTGTGTCTTTGTTATTTTATTTTATTGCATACACCTTAGTGAATGCAAAACCGCATTTTGACCAATGTAAAATATGACTTATTATTGCTGCAAGTTGTACTATTGTTTTGTTTTGAATTTGTATATAGGGAGAGTCTGTGACACTGCCAAGCATCGTCATGTTTTATTAACAATGTGCAATCATTTATACCTTACCAAGTAAATTTGGTTCAAGGGGTTACCATAATTGTTTTACTAGGAGATCTGTGTAATCCAGGCATACAGATTTTAAAAATTGATCAGAATTTTTATATCCTCTTTCACTTTATTTTTAAGTTCATTACACCATTTTGAAGTGTTGAATTGTAACGTGTAGCTTAAGTTTGCACTTTAAATCAAAGTATATGTTATTGTTATAAGGACACCCATTATAATGTGGTCTGGACTGGAAAACTCTGTGCAAATTCTTGATAGATGCTGGTAGACCGTCACTTTACTTGTTTTCTTTTCAGCGTAGATAAGTGAAGCGAATGGTGTTTTCGTCTATTGTGACATGATACCCACTAAAGTCTGTCAGGCCAAGGACTCCGACTCCACTGCCTACCTTTCCTAGGTAGGCACTACTCCCTTCCATCACAGTGAGAAATGACTTCATTTTTATTTTCAGAAAGACCCTATTTATGGGACACTTCTCTTTTATTGTGAAAGAGAAGAATGTTTGTGTGTCCTGATTCCTATTTTCTAATAGCTTATGAAAACTGAATAAAGATCTACACCGCACCCTAATTTTGTATCATAGGATTTGTTCTTAGGGGCACAAAACCCATAGTTTGGAATTATTTTGTTGTTATATCATTTTTGCACTTAAAAACTTCATTGTGTCTTGTGAGAGAATATTTATGCCAATAATTTGGTACTATGTTGAAGTTTGATTAATTGGGACATCACTAAATGCCTCAAGATATCTTGTGTTATGGGGCATGTGATGCACCATTCTGCTTGGATCAGCTTGTTTGTTTGTGAACCTTTTTCCTGTTTACGTGAATTCCTAATTATTACTGTTGTGGAATTATTTCTTTGTAATTAAAAAAGCAAAATATTCTAAATAAATGTAAGAATATTTTTCCTGTTACGACTGGTTTATATCTTTTGAACAGATTGACTGATGTGCCTTCCTTGTGACAAGCGATTAGTAGATGAGACGTTACATTTATATTTATATAAATTGGTCATAAGGTTGAAAATTCATTTTGTATTAAATCAGTATCATATTATATTCTATGTTGAATTTTTTACAAATAATATGTATATTTAATTCAGTTTATGGTGCTTACTACCTCTCTATGCTGGATCAATAAACAGTAAGGTATGCACTAACTTCTCAGAGTTTAAGAATTAAACTAATGTTGTTTTACGTTTTATCCTCAGTTGTTCCTTCGATTTGCTTCATGGGGGTTCTGTTTTAAAGGTGACGAGTAAGAGACTTCCCTCTCCCTTCGTTTACAGGGAAAGCAAACCAAAACATTTCAACGAGACACTAACAGGAGGAAAGATATGTGAGAGGGTCTTACTGTACACAAAAGAAATACCGTAGAATACTGGAACGACATTTCAAACGGGGAGCAACATGTAAAAGTAACACACAGCTGCAAGCAGAATGAGAGGGTGCGGGGAGGGGAGGCGGCGGCGGTAAAGGAGGGCGTGGCGTAGCGGCGTAGCGCTAGGCAGCGCGAAGCACGAGGGGGAGTTGTCGGTGGCATGGCGGGGTGCGGGGTGGGGCGGGGTAGAAGGGTTAGGTAGCGGGGCGGGAGGGGCGGTCGCAGTGGTGGTGAACAAGTGTTCACGTCTCGAGGATTTTCTTGGAAGGAAAATCTATGACCATCTCCATTTCCTGAAAACACCATCTGTCGGAGCAAAATGTCTGGAGAAACTGCTGTCATGGAGGTGGACAAACCGACACAAATTAGCAATGGAAGTAAATCAGAAGATGTGTCAAACGGCAGCACATCATTCGAAGGATCTGTGGTGAGTATAGGAGCTGGGACAGTGTCAACTCTCACGTGTTTCGAGGAGTTCTTTCTGTGGTCGAGCGCGTTTGCTCGCGGGTAGCAGGTACCGTACTTATTTTGACACATGATTGCTAATTGGTCGACTTGCGACCCTGCCTCTCTTTCCGTTCCTCAGTGCGGCCTAACCTACCAAGTCCGTCAACAACTGTCAAAATGTTCAAATTCTCTAATGTAAAGCTCTCAAAACAGTGATTCTTTTGAAAATTTTATAAGATTTTATCTATATAGCAATTTCTGTGTTGTTTACTTTGTTTATAATGGTTGAATCCATACGTGTCACTAATAGGAATAGAATTAAACATGCTTAAAATAATTTATTTCCTTTGTGCTCGATAGATTGCATCTCCATCGATTGAGAGCTTCTCCACGCTGCCAGATCAAGAAGATTTAGAATTCAGTTTAGATGCTGATGCAGGAGATTTGCAAGTTCGTGTGGACAATCCTCAAAAGCACTTGGATACACTTGAAACCTATGTGACATTCAGAATATGCACGCGTGTAAACATTGTAAGTATTGCGCCGCAACTTTCGTTATTTTAAGTGTATTAAATGCCAAATTGTTATGCTTTGCAATTTCTCTCTGTCTTGTTTCAGGAATCTCGAGTTGAGTATAAGGAGAGTGAATACTCAGTTAGACGCCGTTACAATGATTTTGTATGGTTGCGCCAGAAGTTGGTTGAGTCATTCCCAACTCATTTGATACCTGTGAGTTTTAACTATAGGTTTTCCTGGTTGTAATGTTCTGCTAAACTGACTAAATGACTAAAAAAAATCCTGTTTGTTATTTTTCAGCCTCTTCCAGGCAAACACACACTTTTAGCCCAGCTTGACCGTTACTCTAAAAATTTTGTATTGGCTCGTTTGGCAATGCTTCATCGCTTCCTCACCAGAGTTGTTGCCCATCCTGTGTTGAGCTATAATATGAGTTTGTATGTTTTTCTTACTGCTAAGCCATCGGTAAGATTTTTTATTACACTGTGCTTCGGGTATTATTAATCTTCTCATAAATTTTATAAACTAATATAATTTGAAATCTTTTTTCTTGTTAAGGAGTTTAATATTCACCGCAAGAGTGGGCAAGGTATTTTGGGCCGTGTGACAGATTCATTACAAAACTTGACTACAAATTATTTAGTTCGTCAGCGATCTCCTGAGTTTGATTCTGTGAGGGATTATGCTAATACATTGGGCGAAAAACTGACTCAACTAGAGAAAGTTGGTCGAAGACTGCAAAAAGAGCGTCAAGGTGTGTACATGTGTTCTTTGCTTGTTAGAGGAATCAATTTTTTGTTTTGCTTTACGTGTGCATTTTATGTTTTCCATGTTTTAATTTTAATGTATTTTTCCAGCCTACCAAGGAGAACTTAATCAATTTCAGCAGTTGTTTACTGTCTGGGCCACATCTGAACCTGAACTTCGCCCTCTTCTCCTGGCTTTTGCATCAGCAATTGAAAGAAATACAGCAAGCCAGCAAAATACCCTTTTGGATTCATTCTCTGCAACTTTTGAACAGGTATGCTCCTTAATATCTATTTTTCCTGTTCATTTCATTTCTGTAAGACTTTGTATAGAGCCTTTAGTTTCTATGTTTGTTCTCTTTTCTGTTTCAGCCACTGAAGGAGTACCTGCTTTATGTAGATGCTGTGAAAGAGGCTCTACAAAGAAGAGATGCTGTACAAATTGAGTATGAACTGGCAGTAGATGAGCTGAACAAGAAGAGGAATGAAAAGGAACAGGTATGTGCATTTGTTTTTTCGAGCTCACACGATCCTATTTTTGTGTCCTGTCTGTCCGGACCTCATATTATTGTATCCATTGGTCTTCACTTTTTAGCTTGTAAATCTTGAGGGGACATCTGGTGGAGCAAGTAGTGCTTTTAATCTTTGGAAAAAGCCAGCCGAAGCTCGAGACGAAAAAATTGAAAAATTAAGTCAGTTGATTCCCAATTTGGTGAGACAAGCTGAGGTAAGAAAACTGTGCATAAATAAATAAAATTCAAAAATTTGACTTTTTTTGTAATTATTACTTTATTTTGTGTTTTTAATTTTGCCGCATCAGGCAAATCAAGACAAAATGCAATGTGCAAATGAAAACTTGCGGTCGGATCTGGAGCGCTGGCATGTTGAAAAGAAGAAGGATATTCGAAATCTCTTATTATGTATGGCAAACCAACAAATTCAATATTATGAAGATGTAAGTTTGCAATGTTAATTTCTTCTTACCAACTCGTTGAATTTTCCATGATTTAGTTTTGAATGTTTATTTATCTGTCAAATTATTTTCATAGGTATTATCATCATGGGAGCAGGTTATTCCAGAAGTCAAATGTGCCAATCAGACAGCAGGATCAAGTGCTGCAGAAAACATTCCTGCTTCCTCCAGTATGCAATTTTCAACTTAAAATCCAGCAGCCTCTGTCAAATCTCAATTACTGTAATTTACACTTTTGGTGTGCTCCCCATTGTGCCGTACATACTATTCCATGTTTGGAACTTGAGTTTAAGGAAAATTGGTATTTGTTTGTACTAGATACGAGTCTTGTTAATACTCTGTTCTGTGATCTTTACATTCCATTGGAATTGGAAGTGTTGTATGCTTTAGGTGCAGCTTGTTGCCTTTCATTTTAAGTCTAATATGTGTTGACTAAAACTGGTTTGTGTTCCCATGTTAATTTTTTATCACTAAGCATAATGAAATGTATTTTTTTAAATGCTAGAGGAATTTTTTTGTGAAGTGTGTAGCCGTATTAACTGTAAGGTGCTACTTCATGTGCAGATATTTTCATAATGCCCATCTTTCTCACTCTACATTGGCATAACACCTAATGTTTGACTGCAAAATTTTCATGCCTTTCATTCTGTAAGCTAATTGCGACCAATGTCAGAGCACACGAAATATGAAGACTTTGTCGTTTAACAATCGAGATATAAGGTAGCTGATTTGTCAGATTTTGCTTGTGTGAACCACTAAGGAAATCAGATAAAGGGTTGTAAAACAACTGATGTTTGAATTTGGGCATTACTTGTTTGTCCCAACCTGTATATTTTTATCATAAAGTGCAATATTTTTCATATGGTTATTTTCAGCATATTGTGTTGTTTTTATTGTTAATCCTGTGTTCAAGTGTATTTGTGATATTTATAGTCTTTGCATCACGTTTGAACCAATGCTGATGTCAGTAATAGTTACAAATTGTTGCCCTGTTGAGCCACTTTAGATTTCATTCCTGAATGTGTTAAAAATTTAAGCTGCTAAGTATTACTAGTCATAAAACAGTCATAAGTGAATTTATTTCTGCCCTCTCCCTTATTTCTTTGATATGTACAATCATTGTTGGTAAGAAATCTCATATTCAAGCTTAAGAAATCTCATACTGGAACTGTAGCACATTGTACATGTATGGCATCAGATTTGTTTATATCATACTTGTTACGATAGTTGTTGAACTCCACTATTGTGCAAGTTTTTGTTGATGTGATAAAATATATTAAGTTACAAATCATTCACATTGTTACGTTGCACATTATTGTTCATTGGTTGTTTATTTTGTTTTGAGTTTCTTGAAAATAATTAAAACAAAAATAATTTAATAAAACTATAGTTTTTACTTTTGTTGACTCCTTGACTCGTGTGTTCAGAATCTAATGAACAGGCGGGCAAAAACTAACAAAACCAATAGTAATCGAAAATGGAGAGAAAGTAGTCCATCAGATTTCTTAGTCATTTGTTTACTGGGAGAACCCATTGGAACCCATCCGTGTAGTGCTCGGCCGAAAGGGCACTGAATTGGAAGGGGCTCGAAGCCGGGAACTCTATCTTGCCTACAAGTCCGCTACGCGCTACGCACTACGCCCATGCGGCTTTGAACCAACAGGCCAGGCCGCTGCCGGGCCGTGTTGGCGCCCGAAATCAAGCGGTTACTGGTTAGAACTGCAAAGCTGGCCGTGGTGGTTCCTTGAATGCCCCTGCCTCTACGCCAATCGCTCCTCTCAGGGTAACTTGCGGCGCGCGACCACGCGCGGTCAACAACAATATCAGTTCGGGTCGGAGTCGGAGTTGGTCGGAGTGGGAGTTGTCAAGGCAACAGCAGGTCCGGTTGACCCAGGCCAGCCCAGCCCAGCATCTCTTGAAGCTGCCAAGAATGCACGTAGCCAGCCTTGAGCTATGATAGCCAGGTAAGGAGAGGAATGCCGGGATGCACTTTGGATCCGTGTCGGATTCCGAAAAAGGATTCTGCAACAGGGTTGTGGTTGTTTGGACCGGCAGGAACGCCGTCCACTGCACGTAGAGCGAGCCGCCCGCCCCGCCTCGCCTGGGGATGTCTTGCGCCTGGCAGCAGCTCAGCCAGACCGTCAACTTCCAGGCCAACAGCGCAGCGTTCGCGACCGCGGGGCTGGGGGCAGCGCACAGCGCGCACAGCAGGGTCCACGACCCGTCGCCGTACCACGGCCCAGCCTCCCAGGTAGCGAACCCCAAGCGGCATAGACAAACATTCGCACTCCAGGCACACAGAGGTACCGAATCCCAAGGGATTCGACCACCGTTTGTGGATCAGACTCTCAAGTTTAAGAACCCCAAACCCTGCCCTGCCGCCTGCTGCCGCCTGCCGGAGAGGCCAGACCCGCCCGCACCGCACTGCTGCTCGGCGGGCTGGCCTACCCGCTGGATTGCAGGCGCTAGGGGCGCCGCTGGTCGGTCAACGCCAACACCCAGTCGTTTGATTCCAACGCGGCCGATTATTGAAACTTTACTCATCGCAGGGACAGCCCGTCGACCTCGTGCAGAGCGAGCACGGCGAGCACGGCGATGGCCCCATCGACTTCGAATTCCCCATCGAGGTGGAGAGGATGGTGTTCGAGCTGTGCAGCTCTTCGAAGGACGTGCTCAAGGACGTCCTGCAGCCCGTGCCGAACATCGACAGCACTCCGTTGGGCGCGTTCCCCTTCGAGGGCCCGGGGATCGCTCTGGACCTGGGGTTGGACCTGACCGGCCTGAACTTGGCCGACGTGTCCCTGAGCGAGACCGCCCCCGCGGTCGCCAAGCAGCGCGGCCCCTTCAGCTTGCAGCACGTGCCGCTGGCCGCGCCGCCGCCGGTCGACGCCGCCCCCGCCTCCCTTCCGTACTTCGCGGCCTTCCCCAACCGCTGCGCTCCAGTGGACGGCGGGCAGTTCGACGCCAACTACGCCAGGAACGGGGCGTTTCCGAGCAGCGGCGTGCAGGCCGAGCTGGCGGACGGCGGCCACGGCGGGCTCAGCTTCCGCGAGCTGGTCGTCAAGGGGTGCCTGGAGCTGGAGTGCATCCTGCGCGGCCACAAGCAGTACTCCTACATCGGCGACCTGCTGTCTTTCTGCCACGCCATCCGCGAGGCGTCGTCCGCCGCGTCGCTCGAGTTTGACTCGCCGAGCGAGGAGACGCGCACCCTCATCATTGCCTTCTTCCGCCTCGTGAGCTGCTGGCTGGGCCTGTTCCCTTGCCAGCAGGAGCTGGGCCATGGCCACTCGGCGGGCCATGCGTTCCGCGAGTGGCAGCAGGCCTCTCGGAGGGTCATCGTCGCCATCCTCAGGAGGGTGCCCGTGCTGCGCGAGCGACTGCAGGGGCTACAGGGGCTGCAGGGCGTGCATGGCGACCACGCCGCTCCGCCCTGGCGGCCGCCGAGCATGTCCGCGACCGGCCGGCCCTGGTCCAAGACGCACTCCGCGGCCGCGGCCAGGCCCACGTCCAGGGCCGCCAGGCAGGGCGTCAAGGGAAGCTGGGCCGCCGCCGCGTCGGAGCCCCGCGCCCGGAAGGGGTCCCCGCGAGGCATGTGGCCCGCGGACGACGCGCTGCTGGACATGGAGGAGGGCAAGGCGGCGTTCCGGGCGCGAGACCACTGGAAGACCGTCTTCAGCCAGAAGCACTCCGGCATGGAAGGCTTCGGTCCGGGCCGAGGGTCGGGCGCGGCGGACCCCTCTCTCTCCCCCTCCCCCGCCTCGAGCATGGACGTCACCTTTCCGGTGCAGCACTTCTCGGAAACCAGCCCCCGGAACTTGTCTCGGCCCCTGAGCGGCCTGAGCAGCCGCCCTCCGAGCGGCAGCAGCGGCACGGCCAAGACTGCGGCCCGCAAGTGGGGCAGCGGCCCGGCGCTGCGGTGCGTCCTGGACCTGGACGAGTTCCAGGACGGCGCCTACATGAAGCCGGGCTGCTACGACGTCCCCATGCGCCGCGTCGTCGCGCCGCCCGCCGACGGGCCCGTCCTGGACTTGGGCAGCCCGTCCGTCGACCCGGCGCCGCCCCTGCTGGTGTCCGAGAGCACCTGGCAGGCCGCCAAGGCCTCGGCGGAGACGCTGTGCAGGGCGCTGCACGCGATGCACTGCCCCGACGAGCCCAGCGCGCCTCAAGGCGTGCCTCAAGGCGTGCCTCAAGGCCCGGCCGCGGTACCACCCTCAGCGGCGTCTGTGCTAGCCTCGGCCCCATCCATGGCCTCGGCCCCATCCATGGCCCCGGTCCCATCCATGGCCTCGGCCCCATCCATGGCCCCGGCCCCATCCATGGCCCCGGCCCCATCCATGGCCTCGGCCCCATCCATGGCCCCGGCCCCATCCATGGCCCCGGCCCCATCCATGGCCTCGGCCCCATCCATGGCCCCGGCCCCATCCATGGCCCCGGTCCCGCTCCCATCCTTGGCCACAGCCTTAGCCCCAGCCACAGGCCTGGCCTTGGTTCAAGCTACGACCCCGGTCTCAGCAGCCTCAGCAGCCTCAGCAGCGACCCCAGTCATGGTCCCGACCAACCCCGAGCAGTCGGCGGCACCGCGGGGCTCGCAGGGCGTCCCAGACTGTGGCGTCGCCGTCGTCGCCGTCGTCGACGACATGGAGGCAGCTGGTGGCGCCGTTGCGGCGGACACGGCGCTGCAGTCGGGGCTGCAGGTCGCGGCCGAGGCCACGGCGACGCCGGGCAGGAGCAAGGCCAGCAAGGGCTCCACCGGCTCCGCGTCGGACAGGGAGTCCAAGGGCAAGCGGGCGCGGCAGGCCGAGCGGCAGGCCGAGCGGCAGGCCGAGCGGCAGGCGGTCCAGAGGGCGAACCAGGGTGGCGTCTTCCGCCGCAGTCGCTCCTGGACGAGAGCCGCGCCGTCGCAGCCTCTCCCGCAGACAGCGTCGGCCTTGGCGCCAGGCTTGGCGCCAGGCTTGGCTGCAGCGCCCCGCTCGCAACTGAGTCCGGCCTCGGCGCGCAAGGCCAGGGGCATCCTGGAAGCGCTGTGGGACCTCCAGGAGGCCGAGGACGTCAAGTTCGCACCCTCTGACAGCGTCAAGGTGAGTGGCGGCGGTGCACGCTGCGCTTGGCTGCGCTTGGCTCTTGGCTCGGCTCTTGGCGAGGTAACGGAGCGCCTCATTGGCCTTCACCCCCAGGGAAGCTCGGGCTGCATCAGCCTGGACTCCATGTCGCGGAAGCTGAAGCGGCGCGCGTACGAGAGCCTGGACCAGTTCGAACAGGACTTCCGGCGGGCGCTCTTCAGCCACACCAAGTGCAGCGGGGTGAGTGGCTTGGCCTTAGGCTTGGCGCGGCTTGGCGTGCCCGATGGGCCACGGCAGGGCACTGCCTTCGCCTCCTTGGCGCCAGCACGCTCATCGCTCTGTCGCCCTCGCACCCTTGCGGAACGCGCGTTGAGTGCGACAGAGACAGAAACGCCCGTTGAACCAGCACGCTGCTGACGCGCTGACGTGACTTACTCTCTGGCAGGAGTCGGCCGCAGTGTGCGCGGAGAGGACCAAGTCGCTGGAGGAGGCGTTCAACCACTTGCTGCACAGTGAGGCGGGCCTGGCCGTGGTCCCGACGCCCGCCACTGCCTCCTCCACCTCGACCACCTCCTCCATCACCACCTCGACCACCACCTCGACCACCACCTCGAAGGAGGCAGGCGGCACCGCCTTGTGACAGGCTCTACCACGCCCCCGTTTCGTGACGCGCTGTGCATAGAGATAGTTAAAAGTGCTGTTCTAGTGTGCGCTCCACTCGGTTTTCGACGAGCGTGGTTTTCCCTCCATTCAAGTTAGCTTGTTAGTTTTTGAATTAGTGAATCTCGGAAGGAACCATCCCTGTAAAAGATTTTCTATTATGTTGTTAATGATTGTTCTGTTGATGATTCGAAATGACTGTCTTTTAGCATGTCAAGTGTCGCTATGCCCGTTTGTGTTCAGTATAGTTGCTCGATCTGGTGCAGAGTGATGAAAGTGTTAATAGTTGTGACAAGTGATTAATTATATTGTGCTACGGTGCGTCTAGAAGTAATGTGGTAGTGCAGGCAGGAGTTGTGAAAAAAGAAAGAACCACTGCACAATGTACGAATTTTCAGTTTAGTTTATTTAATCTACACGCGATCACAGGTGTACGCTGAACAAGTAGTATGTTCGCCATATTTCATAAAGGAGGCAACGAAACGAGAAATAAAGTATTACAAAAAAAAACAACCTTGTACACTAATGTAACGCCTCTTTCCTCAGTAATTTCCAAACCCATTCGTCCCTCGCACGTCTCGTTCGGCCTTGTTAAACTCAAGGCGGCACTTTCGTTCCAAATGCGTTCATTATGCCAGAAAACTTAATCTCTATTCAATCTCCGGAAAAAAAATTCGCAACACATTCACTGTAAATTACTTAAAAATAATATAAACCTAAATTAAAAGGTTGCAACAGAACAAGCCGTGCATTGCAACATAAAAGTCGTACAGAAAGGAAACCGGGTTCTACCACTGCTGTGATCACCTAATTCGTTTTACAGGACTAGCTTCTTTTACTTTACTTTATCTACCCGACTTTTTCTTCCATATATCGGAGTGACGATTAGCTGGTTCAAGTGTGGCAGTGTGGAGTCGCAGTTCGTGGCCAGAAAGGGGTTGCAAAGACAGACGGAATGACTGAGTTTCAACATGTCGTGCCGTCGCCGGCACAACTGTTGAGGGAATTTTTTCGGGGCGATTTTCGTCCCCCTGAAGGGCGACCCACGGGCTTCCATATTTCCTCTAACATTGTTTTTAACTAATTTAATGATATATACATCACGTCACATCCGACGTTTTGGATACGCAGTCTCTAAAACGAAACCAAGAAATTACGATTACTGGTGTAAATAATCAGAAAGAAGAAGATATTATTTGGAGTTGCAATTTTATTAATTTATTGGTGGTAGCCGCATTTCAGAACACGATTTAGGAACTAATTGTTTTATGCGGACCGCATCGAGAAATCTACCAAGGTGGAAAATAACAAAGGACAAAGATAGATTTGAGCAATACGATTTCAAAAGGTGAGCTCAGTCCGATTTGCCCCTTTGAACCCGGCACCGGGTTCGGGTTCCACCCTCCCTTGTCCGCGCGCCACCACCCCGCGGCCAACCGTCGGCCGCGCGCCGCGCCGCGCAGTCGGACAGGGCGGCGCCGCGCGGACCTCTCCAGCACACTGTCAAAACAAAACAAACAAAAAACAACAGAAATTGAATGGGCGAAGGCTTTGGCCCACGGCGTGCGCATGGCGTGCGCCTTCGTCTCTGTCCCGTCTCGTGCGCCACACTCAGTGGCCGCGTCGTCCCGGCGGGCCGAGGCCTCCGAGGCCGTCGTGGCTGGGGCTGGGCGCCGAGGCCGATGTCGCCCCTCGGGGCCCCCCGCCCCGCCCCGCCCCGCCAGCATCGTCGGCCCGCCGGCACCACGCCACGCGATCACATCCGAGATCACTAAGGTCTAGTCTAGAGGCTCCGCGGCTCCGCTGTCGTTGCCCACGGGGCCGCTGGCCGCCCCCGCGGCAAGGGCTGTCCTTCGAGGTGGCTCTTGTTCTTGTTCTTGTTCTTCGGGAGAGGCCGTCCTTGTCCTTGCCGCAGCGGCCCCTGGGACGGGCTTGGGTGGTCGGCCCACTCCCGCTCTGATGGTGTCCATCGAGATCACTATCGTCTTAGTCCCTGGCACAAGCTTGCCGATGCACGCGATGCCGGCGGGCCCGCCGAACGTCGTGCGCGCGTCCGCGGCCACGGCCGTCCACGGCGGGGAGGCCCGGCCCGGACCGCCCGGACGACGCCCGGCGGCACCCGGCACACTGCAAGGCGGAGGCTCGCGTCAGCCGCCCCGGCCAGGTGCGGGGCGTGGCGGTGGAAGCCACGGCGGTGGTGGGTGGCCTGCCCCAAGGCCTGCCCCAAGGCCTGGCCGGCGGCCGTCACAGGGCCTCGACCTCCTCGGCGTGGCGCTCTAGCGCCTCAGGGTGTCGCTCCTCGGCGGACGGGGCACTCAGTAGCGGACGTAGCCGGCCGCCACGAAGAGCGAGCCCAGCAGGGCGGCCGCGCTGGCGGCGACGCTGGCCGCGCCGTTGCAGTTGTTGGTGAGGCAGGAGCACACCTCCTGGCGACCGCCGAAGCCCGAGCGCTGGTAGCACTTGCCCTTGTAGGAGGACTCGTCCCAGCCGCAGCTGCGGATCACGCGGCTGTCCGGCGGCACTGCAACAACAACCAACGACCAGTGAGCACGCCGTCGAGGGGCCGTCGAGGGGCCGTCGAGGGGCCGTCGTGCAGGCGGAACGAGAACGGCGCGAGTATCGACCGGACGGGGCGCGTGAGGTGCGAGGCGCGTCCCTCCAGGCCGCCCGGCCCGGCCGCCCGGCCTCCACTTCCAGTGGGGTGCAGCGACTAGAGGGCTAAAGGGCTAGAGGCGACCGCGAAGGTCACACCATGGCCGCGGTGGCCGCGGTGGTGCCGCCATGGGGGCCTCCTAGGCCGCGACGTAAGCCGAGGGACGCTGTGCAGTGCGCCGCCAGGGCCGCCGGCCGCTCGCACCCCGGTCGATACCTCCTCAACTCAAATATTTAATGCGACGGCTCTCGAAAAGCTAGTCCTGTTTTTCGGCAGTGTACCCGGCCGCATTGCCTGCCTGGCCGCGCCGAGGGCCGAGGGCCGTCCGCGCACGCGACACGCGAGGCGCCCCGTGCGAGTCGTGAGCTTGCAGCACACCGATTCCGAGATTCGTTTTCGTCGCTCTGTCTCTCTCGCACGTATGGGGCGCCCCGCATAGGTGCGAGAGAAACGAGGCGACGATAACGATTCTCGGAAACAGTCCGCAGGGCAGCGGCGCGAAGCGTGATAAAACTAACAAGCCGTGCGAGTCGAGCGGGGCGAGGGCGGGGGCGAGCGCCGGGAGGGTAGGCCGCGGCACGGCACACGCGCACGCAGCCCGGACGGGTGCCTACGCTGCAGGCGATTGCGATTGCGATTAATGGCTGGACCACAAATGATCGCTTCGGCCCGCTCCGCTGCCGCCCGGCCCGCCTCACTCGCGCGCCAAGCCTGGCCAAGCCCTACTTGGCACTGTACTTACATCCGTTGACCTCGAAGTCGATGGACTGGGTGATCTTCCGGCACATGGTGTACTTGGAGCCCTCGATGTGCTCGCTGCAGTCCTTCTTGAGGGAGTCCGGCGGCAGGTCCAGCGCGCACCGGCTGTCGTTCTTGGAGTTGCACTCGTAGCACGTCAGCCCGTACCCTGCGCAGGAGGAAGAGAGTTGCGAATTGGTTCGCGGTTCGAACAAGAAGGGACATGAAATGCAAAACTTTGCGGCATACCAGGACAGGACATGAGCCTCATCCCGTTTGAGCCTCGACGGCTAGGCCCTCGTTTAGGCCCGACCTGGGGCTACCAACCCAGCTGAGTCCAGAATGTGAAGCAAACCTCAGGCTGCGGGTGGAAACCCCTAACTGGAACTTGGGTCTCAACCGAGCCCCAAACCGGTTTAAACCTTAGAACTCAGGTGAAATCGCAAGTCTGGGTTCGTTTGGGGCTCTGGTTGGGCCCCAGTCCATCGGGCCTCAAATGGCACGGGGCTCATGCTCTGTTGGCCGATTTTCCTGTACGCCGCTGCGACTGCGATGGAGGACGACCAGGACCAGGGGGGTTTGATAGCGGCACCACGCCGGTGACCCGTATTTAGCCGGCGAGGCGATGCGGACGTCCCCGCAGCCTCCGCCTCCGGCTCCTCCGGGTCGATAGGAGGGGAGGGGGCACCCCCTTACCCCTGACGCCTAGCCCCCCCCCCCCCAGGCCCCCTCCCCCCTCCCCCTTCCCCCGCCCCTCGGACGCAGCATACCACGTGGCGCGCCATAACGCCCCCCTCAATCCCGCGGTATGGTAACCAAGGGATCCAACGATCCAACGCGCCGCCCTGCAGGGCCCTGGCCAGGCCGAGGCCCAGGCCGCCCTCCACGCCCTCCACGCCCTCCACGCCCTCCACCCCGACACACTACCCCTTCACTTTGCCCAACTTGGCCCTATTGTTTTCAAAGTCATCGATTCCCGCAACGCCCGAGCACGCATCTCTGAGAATGGGAAACCTTGAACCAAGCAGCGCATTTCATGTCCGACGTGGAGAAGTGGGTTTAGTGGCCATTCTACCGTTCGGTTTTTCCTTTTTCTTTCCGCCGCGGGACGAAACCAAATAAAACCGGTCCACTCCAGCGGGAATAACGTTCCCATTCGCCCTCTCCGCGGCGGCGGAGGGTGGCGGCCGCTGCGACCTTGCCCCCCCCCCTCCACCAGTTTCGGTCCTTTTTATTGGGCAGCGCGTTGTCGCTTCCCGGCGACTACGGCGACCGTGAAGCACTGCGAAGAAAGGGAAGACCAGCCGAGCGGTTCCGGAGAGTCGTTTCGTCGCTCTGTCTCTCTCGCACTGGCGAGACATGCCTCATGGGTGCGAGAGAGACAGCCACGACCGACAGGGTCCTCGCGGCTCGGCCGCAGAGTGTGTCCGCACGCCAGGGGGGCAGGCCTGGGGCAGGCTGTCCTTCTAGAGGACACTCTTGATGACAGGGCAGAGGCACTGCACCGCCACACTGGCAGGACGACCGCAAGCGAAGCAAAGCGAGGCGACTTGCGTGTCGCCGCCGCACAGCGACACACGGCTCACTCCGTACAGTGTCCTCGTCGTTCTGTCTCTCTCGCACTCACGGGGCGTCCCGAAGGAGCGCGAGAGAGGCAGGGCGACGAGGACGCCGCGGAGAAGCGGTTTCAGATTCGGTGTCGCGGGGAATGGCAGCGAATCAATGGGGCAAAGAGGCGCGTGGTCCAGCCAGCCGCCTGATTCGGAAGGCCTGTTTCGTCGCTGTCTCTCTCGCACCCCTACGGGACGCCCCTGGAGAGCGACAGAGACAGGGCGACGGGACGGTCCCTCGAGATGCGGCCGGCCGACCGCCACGCACGCCTCGCTTTCGCACGTGGTCGTCAACTCGAAAGTGGCCGCTCCGCGCCGCGCCGCCGCCTGGCTGATTAGTAAATAGAGGAACAGCCCCGCAGCGCAGCGCAGCGCTAACCATGGAGACAGCCGAGACGGCCGAGGCAGACAGACGGCCGAGACTCTGGTATGTCTCCACGCGCTAACGACCCGCCGAGAGTCCTTCGTCTCTCTGTCTCTCTCGCACCTTTACGGGGCGCCCCATGAGTGCGAGAGAGACAGAGCGGCGAGGACGACTCTCGGAATCAGTCTGCAGGAGGCCGGCGGGGCGCGAAGGCCGCTTTCGGACCTTTCCGACCATCCCTTTGGAGGGCGGTGCGGCGCGAACCCGGTCCTGGCGGTTTCAACTTGGCGGCGGGGTGCGGCCGGGGGCGGGGCGGGGGCGCTCACTGGGGATCGGGGAGTCTGGGGATGACAGCGGGAGAAGCATGGCGACGATGGCCTTGGCCAGATCTCGGCCACCAGAGCGCGGTTATTCCGAACAGTGCTTTCGCGGCTCCGTCCCTCTCGCACGCTCACGGGGTGCGCCACGAGTGCGAGAGAGACGGAGGCACTGTCCGGAATCAGCCGGGCATCCCGCCGGTGCCCCGCGGACCGCGCGCGGTGGTCGAGGGGGTCGCGCCGGGTGGAGGAAGCTGCGCGACTGCGGCGGCAGAGTTCGGACTTTTTGCCAAGTCGGCCGGCAAGCCACGGCAAGGCACGGAGCTGGAGCGACTGCTGCAGCTCGCAGAGCTGGCATGGGAAGGTGAGAGGGGAAGGGGAAGGGGGTCGTCTACTCTGCGCGTCGAGCGAGCGACGCGAGCGACCTGTCACAGGCACCGACGCCGTGCTGTCTCATTTTCAGCCGGCGACTGCCTGCCCTGCCTGCAGGTCCCTGTCGCTTCAGTCAGCCGATCCACCGAAAGCAGCCGAAAGTCCGAGAACGCCGCCCCACACTGCGAGTCAGTGCGCGTGCAGAGCATCTAGCCGCATGGCTGCATAGCCACGATCGGGTTCGTTGGTTCGAACCTCCGCGCGGCGGAGGCCCTTTGCGGCCCTTTCGTCGCCTAGTGTGAGAGGGCACTTCGCCCTCTCGCCCTTCGTCTTATCAGTGCACACACCGCACCGCACGCGGCCGCCAAACTTGGCGCCATGGAGACAGAGTTGCGTATCGGCGAGGACGACTGCGCGGGCCGCGTATTAACGAAGGTTGGTTTTCTCCGGTTTGCTCCGAGTCAAAGTCGGCGCGGGGATGCGGATAAAGGATGCACTCCGCTCCGCGCAAGCTAGCCGTATGGGCGATAAAAAAGGAGGCATTGCGGGGACTCGAACCCACGCGGCGTGGCAGTGTCGGGCAGTGTAGCGCAGGGCGCGCAGGGCGGGCCCCAGAGAGGCGGGCCCCAGAGAGGCGGGCCCCAGAGAGGCGCGCCCGTTCGGCTCGGTTCCGCCTCACCGAGTGTCGCCTCGTCTCTCTCGCTCTCCATCGCTTCCCCCGCTTTCGTCACCTCCGTGTCCTGTCCGCGTCCCGGGGCCGGTGCAGGGCTCAGCCTGCAGGTGCACTGCCGCCTCCATTGTGCAAGGCCGTATTCCTCCATGACGCCTGCCAGGCCTGCCGGGCCTGCCAGCAGCAGGCTGAAACCGAGCCGTGCCTTCGGTGCCCTGTTCGCGGCGCCCCGTGAGTGCGAGAGAGACAGAGCGACGACACACCGTAGGAACTTGCTCTGCGGCCGAGCTAGTGTGACGCGGACTCGCGGGGTTCGCGCCAGGCCGTCCGTCGGCCAGGCCGCACAGCGTGCCACGGAGTGGATTTAGGCGCCACTGCAGCGCGCCAATATGCAGCATGACGCGGGTGCACCTTTTGGCCTTCGGCCGGCGATTCCCGGGAGACGCCGTCCGCCCGCTCTGTCTCTCTCGCACCCCTACGGACGCCATGGGTGGGAGAGAGACAGAGCGACGGGTGCAGTCGCGAGTGCGCCACCGCCGATAAGTCGCCGAGCATTACGAACGCCGATAAAAGAAACGACATCGTTTCCTTCCGCCGCCAGGAGTTCGCGAGATGGCCGCGCCGACATCGCCGACGTCCTGCTCCTGTCGCCGCGCCAACGACACGCGAATCAAAATGTAAACAGTGCCCCCTTCCCCTCCATTCATTCGGCGGTCAGCGAGTACCGAGCGCACCCAGTCGAGTCCGTCGCGCTGTCCCTCTCGCACCCACACGGAACGCCGCGCGAGTGCGAGAGAGACTCTCGGAATCAGTCTGCAGCGAAAATAGAGCCCGAACACGAAAGTGGTGATCCGCGACGATAAGCGCACCGGGGGCGTGCTGGCGTGCTCTTCGTTCTCTTTGGGCGGCGAGACGAATGTGCCGCACTCGTGTTTCTATTTATAAGTCTCGTGACGCGATTTCTGTTTTTCTCTACCCGCTCTGTCGCTGTTTTGGCGCTTTGGCATCGGCGGTGCGGTGCGGCTGTCTGCCGCTGGCGGTCGGGCCGAGGTGGGCCGAGGTGGGCTACCTTGTGGGCTACCCACGCTGCGCCAGCACGCGTGCGCTCAGGCGGAACCAACGCACCACTTTTTTCCGGTGCACGGATTATCGTGCAGTTAGGTTAGGTTAGGTATCGTGCAGACACCCGTCCAGAAGGGGGCGCGCAAAGCGGCCTTGAATCGATGGATTTCATGCAAATCCGTGAGGGCAGCCGCGCTGCCAACAACTGAGGCAACGCACTTTCCTATTTCAGCGCACGCGGCCAGCCCTTTACGCCCCGTTTAAAAGTCGCGGGCCGCGGGGCTTGCAGGGCTTGCAGGTCTTGCAGGGCTTGCAGGGCTTGCAGGGCTTGCAGGGCTTGCAGGGCTTGCAGGGCTTGCAGGGCTTGCAGGGCTTGCAGGGCTTGCAGGGCTTGCAGGGCTTGCAGGGCTTGCAGGGCTTGCAGGGCTTGCAGGGCTTGCAGGGCTTGCAGGGCTTGCAGGGCTTGCAGGGCTTGCAGGGCTTGCAGGGCTTGCAGGGCTTGCAGGGCTTGCAGGGCTTGCAGGGCTTGCAGGGCTTGCAGGGCTTGCAGGGCTTGCAGGGCTTGCAGGGCTTGCAGGGCTTGCAGGGCTTGCAGGGCTTGCAGGGCTTGCAGGGCTTGCAGGGCTTGCAGGGCTTGCAGGGCTTGCAGGGCTTGCAGGGCTTGCAGGGCTTGCAGGGCTTGCAGGGCTTGCAGGCTTGCAGGCTTGCAGGGCTTGCAGGGCTTGCAGGGCTTGCAGGGCTTGCAGGGCTTGCAGGGCTTGCGGGGCTTGCAGGGCTTGCAGGGCTTGCAGGGCTTGCAGGGCTTGCAGGGCTTGCAGGGCTTGCAGGGCTTGCAGGGCTTGCAGGGCTTGCAGGGCTTGCAGGGCTTGCAGGGCTTGCAGGGCTTGCAGGGCTTGCAGGGCTTGCAGGGCTTGCAGGGCTTGCAGGGCTTGCAGGGCTTGCAGGGCTTGCAGGGCTTGCAGGGCTTGCAGGGCTTGCAGGGCTTGCAGGGCTTGCAGGGCTTGCAGGGCTTGCAGGGCTTGCAGGGCTTGCAGGGCTTGCAGGGCTTGCAGGGCTTGCAGGGCTTGCAGGGCTTGCAGGGCTTGCAGGGCTTGCAGGGCTTGCAGGGCTTGCAGGGCTTGCAGGGCTTGCAGGGCTTGCAGGGCTTGCAGGGCTTGCAGGGCTTGCAGGGCTTGCAGGGCTTGCAGGTGGCTTGCAGGGCTTGCAGGGCTTGCAGGGCTTGCAGGGCTTGCAGGGCTTGCGGCTCAGGGCTTGCAGGGCTTGCAGGGCTTGCAGGGCTTGCAGGGCTTGCAGGGCTTGCAGGGCTTGCAGGGCTTGCAGGGCTTGCAGGGCTTGCAGGGCTTGCAGGGCTTGCAGGGCTTGCAGGGCTTGCAGGGCTTGCAGGGCTTGCAGGGCTTGCAGGGCTTGCAGGGCTTGCAGGGCTTGCAGGGCTTGCAGGGCTTGCAGGGCTTGCAGGGCTTGCAGGGCTTGCAGGGCTTGCAGGGCTTGCAGGGCTTGCAGGGCTTGCAGGGCTTGCAGGGCTTGCAGGGCTTGCAGGGCTTGCAGGGCTTGCAGGGCTTGCAGGGCTTGCAGGGCTTGCAGGGCTTGCAGGGCTTGCAGGGCTTGCAGGGCTTGCAGGGCTTGCAGGGCTTGCAGGGCTTGCAGGGCTTGCAGGGCTTGCAGGGCTTGCAGGGCTTGCAGGGCTTGCAGGGCTTGCAGGGCTTGCAGGGCTTGCAGGGCTTGCAGGGCTTGCAGGGCTTGCAGGGCTTGCAGGGCTTGCAGGGCCTGAAGGGCGGGCGGCTGGAGACCCGCGGCGCCGAAGGGTCAAAGGTTCCCGAGGGCTGGCGGGGCTGGCAGGGCTGGCGGGGTGGCGGGGCTGGCGGCCGAGGGTGGCCAGGGGGCGGCAGGGCGGCGGTGCGGTACCCAGCCCGCCGCGCTGCCCGCCTCCCCCACCCCGCCGCGCCGCGGGCCGCTTCGACCCGAGGAGGTACCTCGCCGCCAAGCCGCCAAGCCGTCTGGCGGGCACGCAGCACGGGGCACGCAGCACGGGGCACGCAGCACGCACCGCAGGGCGGCCCGCCGACGGCCCGCCGACGGCCTGACGGGGTGCTTACCGGGCTGCGAGAAGAGGGCGAGCACCAGCGCCACGGCGCCGAGGGGCAGCAGGAAGTTGGCCATGTCTGGCGGACCGGCGGACTGACTTGACGTTCGCGCACCCGATTCACACGGAGACTAGAAGCGCGCCTACAGCCAGCGCGGCCAGACCCTGGCGTAGCGGCGTAGCCTGGTGGGGCCGGCCTGGTCCTCGCCGAGGGGCTCTAGCAGGGGGGTCGCGGGGATGGGGGCGGGGCGCGCTTCTGCGCATGGCCGTGGGGCTCCGTGCGGCGCGCCGAGCCTCCAACGACGAGCGAACCTGCAGTCGCCGCAGGGCCAGCGGTCCGCCAGCGTGCCGAAGGGAGGCCGACCCTTTGGCCGGGCCCGTGGCATTCCCCCAGCGGGCAGCCAAGCGGTGCCGAAGGGAGGCCGACCCTTTGGCCGGGTCCGTGGCATTCCCCCAGCGGGCAGCCAAGCGGTGCCGAAGGGAGGCCGACCCTTTGGCCGGGCCCGTGGCATTCCCCCAGCGGGCAGCCAAGCGGTGCCGAAGGGAGGCCGACCCTTTGGCCGGGTCCGTGGCATTCCCCCAGCGGGCAGCCAAGCGGTGCCGAAGGGAGGCCGACCCTTTGGCCGGGCCCGTGGCATTCCCCCAGCGGGCAGCCAAGCGGTGCCGAAGGGAGGCCGACCCTTTGGCCGGGCCCGTGGCATTCCCCCAGCGGGCAGCCAAGCGGTGCCGAAGGGAGGCCGACCCTTTGGCCGGGCCCGTGGCATTCCCCCAGCGGGCAGCCAAGCGGTGCCGAAGGGAGGCCGACCCTTTGGCCGGGCCCGTGGCATTCCCCCAGCGGGCAGCCAAGCGGTGCCGAAGGGAGGCCGACCCTTTGGCCGGGCCCGTGGCATTCCCCCAGCGGGCAGCCAAGCGGTGCCGAAGGGAGGCCGACCCTTTGGCCGGGCCCGTGGCATTCCCCCAGCGGGCAGCCAAGCGGTGCCGAAGGGAGGCCGACCCTTTGGCCGGGCCCGTGGCATTCCCCCAGCGGGCAGCGAAGCGGTGCCGAAGGGAGGCCGACCCTTTGGCCGGGCCCGTGGCATTCCCCCAGCCGGCAGCCACGGGCCCGTCCACCCCCTGCGCTCTCTTCCAAGAGGCTGTCCGCAACCCCTGTCCGAAGGGCGCGTGACCCCGTCCCTGGGGCAGGTGGTGTGGACCACCTCCTCCCAGAGTGTCACGTAACCTGCACGCCCCTTCGGCATCGGAGGAACTGCGCGAATGTCGCCGATCATTGGCGGATGGAGGACGGAAGGACCGAGTAAACACAGCTGGGGCACTGGGCGTTCCAACTTGACACAGTGTACCAAGATGCCCAGGCGGTGCACAGGCGGCCGTGCGCTCGCCCTATTTCCTGCTCGAGTGAGACAGAGAGAGACACAGAGAGACGCAGGGGACGGGGGACACCTCGTTCCTTGGCAAGGTGGCGAGGGGCCTGGACCTGTGCCAAAGGGCAAAAGTCGGGAATGTGGTGCAGTGTGCCGCCTGGCGCCGCCTGGCGCCGCCGCCTCTGCGTTACACTCTGAGTTACACGCCCCTGGCACAGGCCTGGCACTCGCAGATGGCGCGGCATGCCGGTGCAGATGAGGGAGGAAGGGATGGTCGCCTTTTCTCCCCAGCACTTTCCTTTCTCAGTCGCCCTGCCCCGCCCCGCCCCGCCCCGCCCCGCCCCGCCACGCCCCGCCACGCCCCGCGGGGACGGCGGGCAACGCTAACCGCGCCTCGCCGGTCGTCAGACAAGTGATTCCGAACAGTCTGTAGTCGCTCTGTCTCTCGCATCCAGTCGCTTGCGGAAGCCGCAGGGGTGCGAGAGAGATAGCGCGCGCGACAAGTGCTGTTCGGATTCAGCCTGCTGGACGCCGTGATGGGATTGACCCATCCCAACGAGGATAAGAATGAATTGGGCCAGCACTACCGCGTGTAGCCCTTCAGCACACTGATTCCGAGAGTCCTTATCGTCGCTGTCTCTCTCTCTCTCTCTCTCTCTCTCTCTCTCTCTCGCACCTCCACCTGATGCCCCATGAGTGCGAGAGAGACAGAGCAACATAAACGACTCTCGGAATCAGTCTGCAGCCGGCCGGGTCATTTGCACCGCCACGCCAAACACGCACTGTCGCACAGTTGCAGACTTGCAGACAAAAAAGAAAGCGGCCAAAATTGCATCACTCCAAGACTGTTTTCTAGTCTATTTTTAGCTTCGGGTGGAATGAATGTCCCAAGCCAAGCAGTTTGGAACAGACAAACAGTCAGACAGACTGGTGTCTGTCATACGCGGTCATGCAAAGATTTTCCACTCCACTCGAAGAATTCCGAAACGTGTGAGTGTGTCCGTCTGCCAGCTACGCTGCTCCGCTGCTACGCTGCTGCCCTCTCGTGCAAGGCCTTCTTCGCGGCTTCGCGGCCGGGAAGCTCTTGATGGCTCCACTCGGTGATTTGGGACCGGCACGCGGCGACGCCGCACAGGCACATGTCATCGCAGGCCGTCGTGGCACTCCGTCTGTGCTCCGAACCTCAAACCTCGAACCCCGAATGAACCCCGAACCCCGGTGAACCCCGATGAACCCCGACCCCCCAGGAACCCCAAACCCCCAACCTCGATGAACCCCGACCCCCCAGGAACCCCAAACCCCCAACCTCGATGAACCCCGACCCCCCAGGAACCCCAAACCCCCAACACCGATGAACCCCGACCCCCCAGGAACCCCAAACCCCCAACACCGATGAACCCCGACCCCCCAGGAACCCCTAACCCCCAACCTCGATGAACCCCGAACCCCGAATCTGGATTGGCGAACCCCCAAATCGCAAATAGGGGGAGCGATCTACAGATGGCCCGCCAATCACTGCGCTTCCCTGTCCAGGCTCGGTCCAGACGGCAGAGAGTTGGAATAGAGGGTCGAAGGGACGAAGGGACATCACAGGATTTCTGTGCTGCGGCCTGCAAAACTGGTAAATATGCCGAGCGATTCCACACAGTGTCTCGTCACCCTGTCTCTCTCGCGCATACGCGACGCCTCATGAGCACGACAGAGACCAAAAGACTTTGCATAATCAGTCTCAGGTAGCAGCGTTGTGGGCTCGAGTTCGACTCCCGACGGACGAGCTGATTGCTCGGATGTCGAGCTCGAGGCGACTTCCGTGTGCCACTGCACTGTCGTTCTGTCTCTGTCGCGCCCTGCTTTGCGTTGGAGAGTGAGACAGAGAGACACCGCGTCGTCCGGGATCGGGCAGCCGGCCGGGTCGACTCGGGTCAGCCGCAGTCAGCCGGGCGGCCGATCCTTTTGTACCGGCCTCCCGTCCCGCCCTTCAAGCCTTCCCGGCCTCCCAGCAGGCTGACTCCAGGCTGACTCCGAGCATCGCCTCTCTCGCACTCATGGGGCGTCCCGTCAGGGGGCGAGAGAGACAGCGTGCAGGGCGTCTAGCCCAGGCAACCGCCTTGGGCTGCCCTTAGCTGCCCCGCGCTGCCCCGCGCTGCCCATCGTCCATGAGCCCTTGTGACGTCACTCACGGCTAGTCGCCACACAGATTGTCCAATTGCTGACGCTGTCGTCCTAATGATCCACATCCTGCCTCCGTGCCTCTGGGGCCTCTGGGGCCTCTGGCTAGCTAAAGGCTGTGGCGGGCCTGGGCGGGCCCAGCAGGCTGCCCCCAAACTGCGTCGCTCTGTCTCTGTCGCTCCGGTCGGGCATCCCGTCGCGGTGCGAGAGAGACAGAGCGACGAGGCACCGTGCGGAGGGCCTCAGTGCCGCACTCACTCACACACTGCCAGCAGGCTGCCCGAGGCTGCCAGCACCAAGCCGAGTCTGGACTAGCCGCCGTGATCCCTCCCAGGCTGATTTCGAACGGCGCTCCTCGTACGCTCTCGCACCCCCACCCCCACGAGTGCGACTGAAACAGAGCCAGCCACACCGTTGTGAAGGGCTGAACTCAGCAGCAGTACCAGGAGGCATGCGGAGTCTGGCGGAGGGCAAGGGCAGATCGGAAGCCGGCTTCAGGGAAACGATGTCGTAAAAGTTGCTAATCTACTGGAAACAAAGTACGAAATTTTGCCTATCTTTCCAGGTGGATTCACTCGCCTTCATCCCTCTCCCCCCCCCAAAAAAAAAATTAATCCATCCCTGTTCCGCACCTGTGGCAGGCAGTGGAGTGGCGCTGGCTCGGGCAGACCGAACTCAATTGCTCTCGTCCTTTCGCACCGATCAATTTGTGTGAAAGTCCAAGCAAGGAAAGAAAGGATCCGCACAACAGGGCTCGATTTTGAATCGTCCAGTCGAAGTGGAAGTGGAGGAGCTACGCGAGCAACATGCGCCGAGTCGATCGGCCCCGTCGGCGGACAGCGTGGACAGGGTAGGCAGCCCAACGGGCAGCGCGTTGTTCGGGTTGCCTGCCGGCACGGCGGCCAGGCCTGGGCCAGGCGCTCGCCATCGCTAGCACCACTAGCGCTACGCTTCTACCGTGGTTTGGCTGTAATTTGGAAATAGATTGAAGAGTTTGAAAGGAATAGGAGGCATTTTAGCGTCGCTTCTCGCGGTTACCGCAATCTGTTGTTTCATCGCACTTTGCGGCCGCCATGTTCGAATTTCGCGGCATTTCGCCGCTCGGGGATCCTGCGCCTTCATTCATTCATTCTGTACTTTCCGAGAAGCCGGTGGTGAGAAGAATGAAAAGAAGGCAGACACAACAACCCCAAACGACGGTGACAAAGCACGGGGCTGAAAGCTGAAATTCTATTTTAACTTATTTGTGTTGTAAGTACCTCATTTTATTTTGTGATAGTGGGCTTGGCAGATTCTTTGCTATTCCAGCTATCTATTTTTTTCTGGTTCTAGGGGTAGTTTGTCATGGGAAATACTTTCACTGACGAAGGATCCACTGCCGTAACCTACAAATATATCTTGATGTAGTTTTCGCATGTCACTCCACTAGTTTATTTCTCAACTATTAGTGTTAAACATCGGGAGCACCCTGTTTGAAGTTAATTCTGGCTGGACCGTGTTTATTTCATGAAAATTTGTGTGCGGGTCTCGTTAGAGTGGAGTCAAACCGTGATCCTTGGTTATTTTCAGCCGCGTCATTCATACTGACTGACAGCTCGGCACAGACCCATTGTTGATCTTGTGTTCAATGTCTCTGGAGTTCCAGTGGAGCTGATTAAAAAGTCACAGTGCTTTTTACGTGCTGGATATTGTTATAAGTATTTCCCTTGTCATAATGTGCTTCTGGAAGCAGTTTTATTACTCATCTTGTTGACCTATCTCAGAACCCGATTCATTGATTTTGGTCTTGTTTTCTAGGTAACTCACAATGGATCGCCTTTTAAGACTCGGTGGTGGAATGCCTGGCCTGAGCCAGCCCCCACCCTCCTCAGATGCCCCCGCTGTGGACACCGCAGAACAAGTATACATCTCATCCTTGGCACTTCTCAAAATGTTGAAGCATGGACGTGCGGGTGTCCCCATGGAGGTGATGGGTCTCATGTTGGGAGAATTCGTGGATGATTACACTGTCCGCGTAATTGATGTCTTCGCTATGCCCCAAACGGGGACGGTAAGCATTTCTCATCTCAGACACTCTGTTGGTTCTGCTTAACTCTTTCAAACCCTTAATATATTTTATGTTTTAGGGTGTCAGTGTTGAAGCTGTTGACCCTGTTTTCCAAGCCAAAATGTTAGATATGCTCAAACAAACTGGCAGACCAGAAATGGTAGTTGGTTGGTACCATTCCCATCCTGGATTTGGCTGCTGGCTCTCTGGTGTGGATATCAACACGCAACAGAGTTTTGAGGCCCTTTCAGAGCGAGCTGTTGCTGTAGTGGTTGATCCCATCCAGAGTGTGAAAGGTCTGTGCATAATACAGCTGTGTAGTTTCGCCTGCTCAAATAATCTAAATTGTTAACTCTTTCTAAAATTTTATTATGATGTAAAATTTAAGCAACTCTTTAATATTTTGCTTTGAACCTAACAGGAAAAGTTGTGATTGATGCCTTCCGACTTATCAACCCAAACATGATGGTGCTTGGACAAGAACCTAGACAGACCACATCAAATCTGGGCCATCTTCAGAAACCTTCAGTTCAGGTATACCATCCCCACTTATCTACAGTATATCTTGTTGTTGGCAAGAGCTTGCGTAACAAAACTGTTTGACCTTCACCAGGCTTTAATACACGGGCTGAATCGTCATTACTACTCCATCAGTATTAATTATCGTAAAAATGAGCTAGAGCAGAAAATGCTGCTTAATTTACATAAAAAATCGTGGATGGATGGCCTGACTCTTGCTGACTATTCTGAACACTGCAAGCTGAATGAGGATACAGTATCCAACATGTTGGACTTGGCAAAGAATTACAACAAGGTAAATTATTGTAGTTACTTCTGGTTTCTTTTGTGAATGATCTTTGTTGGATGGTCTTTTATCATATGTTCCCTTTTTGTATAGGCGTTGGAAGATGAGGAGAAGATGACCCCAGAGCAACTTGCGATAAAGAATGTAGGCAAACAAGATCCCAAGAGACACTTAGAAGAGAAAGTTGATGTTCTTATGGCTGCCAACATTGTGCAATGTCTTGGTGCTATGCTAGATACTGTGGTTTTCAAATAAACTGATTTAATGTCATTTGAAGCTCTCCTATTTCTAACCTTGGCTGATAGAGAGCTGAGTGGTTCAACCCATTGGAGAAATTCTCACACATTCTTTGATCTCTTGTGTACTTCAATACTGTGACTAGTTCATGTGTTTCCCACGGTCATAAACAACTTGCAAAGTGTGAGAGATGTTATGTATATATGTAATTTTTGCTGGAGTCTAAAATAGGGAACAGTTTTGGAGGTTTGTAAAAAAAAAACATGTTAAAACTCTACTTTAAAAAATAAAAGGGATTAAACTAATAAATTTAACAGATGTTTGCAAATGTCATTAATGAGGATCAATAATAAATATTACTTAGTCTTTGTAGTTCGGTTATCTTTTTTCCCAGCAACTTCAGTGACCCCCTTTTTGTTGACTTCTCTTATTTGCTGTAAGGGGAAAGTTAGTCCTGCTGAGGATGTATTAGTTCATTTTCTGATTCCTGACAATAAAAACACACATCATATATATAACTCATAGAAATGTTTATTCTATAGAAAAAAAATGCAGGCAACAAATACATTTAAAAAATGATCAACTCAAATTTTAGCATGCAGAATCTTTTCCTGCCTTTTCAAGAATTTAACATCACAAGCCAGTTTTAACCTTCACCCCACTAACAGGCTTTTATCACATTTGTTTCAAGAACAAGATTCTTTTGTCCAATTCATATGGGTTATTTTTAACTACCAAAACTGAAAATCATAGAACAGTCTGTGACATGCTTGATCAGGCAAATACACTAAGCATCAAATTATAGTATTTAGAAAAATACAGTGACTTACAAGGACTCATTCTCAATATACTATACACAGATGAAACCACTAATCTTTAGATCAATCAGTATTGAGCTTGACAGTTCCTTCTTCTTTTTGTTTTGGTAATGAAACTTAATATGTACTTTGGTTATGATCGCCTACACAACTCCTAAAATGGGTTAAAATCTAACACTTTTGATTCCATTCAACTAATCAAACTAAAACAATCCAACAGTGAAAACATTGAAATACAAGAGGATGGATTGGAAAGCTCATGTGCAACTAATAAGTGGCCAATTTCCATCTACACTATTGCGTAAGTAAATGTGATGCAGACAAGGAAAATGCATTAACAGAGTATTGTAATTGATATGCACATTCTAACAAAAAAAAAAGGCTAAATCCATAGATTTTCTAGAAGAAAACAAAAAAAATTATCAGTAATTTTAGATTTGACGTCACACTGCCGGGCCAAATTTCACCATGTGTACTTTACCAACAATGCAAGTGTGATACCAAAAGGCAGCAGTGGAATTTTGATAACAAAATTACATTTGGATTTGAAATTAAAGTAAAACTGTATGGCAAAACAACAGCTAGTAACAAAAAAACGTTCCTATTCTAACAATCTAGCATCCAGGACAAGAATCGACCAGAGAATTAAGAACAAATAGAAGAAGAAAACAGAGGCTGTTAACTTGCACAAGAACCAAACAGCAGCTTTACTTTCCTCCGTCTGATCAGGTTGTCTCTGTCTTCACCCTGCCAACCACATCAGAGTGCAAGCTACAACACATAAATAGGATAACTAAAAGTCTACTCAGACACACTCACACTGACATTCATACACTCATCCATACATATTTACAAGAGAGTGCGGGTACACTTTGTTCACCTCAATTCATAGCAGCAAAACAAAACAAAAGAATACTTCTTTACAGAAAAAAAAACGATAGGTTTGCAGCTGTTCATCTAACTCATACTGATCCTATGACTTCGTGTCACAGTAAGAGTTAGAAATAACTAAGTCTAATAGTCAACAAGTTCCTTGGTAGAACATGAAAGTTCATTTCAAAGCTCATAATGTACACTATACAGAAACAATAAAATTACAATAATAAATTTCATTATTATTACCTATGAAGTCTGCTTTGGTAGTCAAAAGTTGAGAAAATGGGAATCTTAAACCTCAGAAAATATGAGGAAACATTAGATACATCTTTTCTAGATATTGCACATTGTGGCTTTGTCACCACACTTCAGAAGCAACAAAATAATCGATTTTAGCTTTCTTTGGAAAGAGGCAATAGACAAAAGTAACATTTCTTTAGAAAGTAAATACGCTTTGCTTCTAACCAATCTCGTTTCTTCAATACAAAAATCTTTTTCAATTTAAAAACCTAAAATTAAGCCCAAAATGTGGGATAGATTTGAATTAAATTTTGTATCAAAAGTTGGTCTGATGCAGTCTTCCTGTAATTACCGTGTTTATGATAAAACCACATTAAAGAATATTATCTATTTTAAAGATTTACACTCTTCATTAAACCAACAGTGATTCCGTAGACAAAACAAGAGAAATATTAAGCTAAATAAGGGGGCTGTGGAAGTTACTACTGAAGTGAAAAAAATAATAATAAAGCAGCCAGATGCAAATCTAACTACATGAGATCAGGATAGCAAGCTTCCATCTGATACCACTTGTTTTTGAGTTTAAGTCTTATCGCTCCCCAGCGGTAAATTTTTCACTTAATTCTTGCAATGGAGCCAATTCTCTTCTGTCAATAAGATTGAATTCCTGAAATAGGCAGAACACCTTAGAAATACATTTTTCTATATTACAAATGGATTTTGATAGAGTGTAGTAACTTACTTGAACAAAAAAGATAAAATGTTTGAAGGAAGTGTTGAGATGAGCCTCCTCTCCTAGCTGCACCACCTCTGAGAAATGCTGATGATACAAGTGTGCATAAACCCTGAATAGCCGCTTTAAAATAGTTTTGGCTATAGAAAGAAAATTCTTTGGGAATGGTACACCTAAAAATAAAAACAATCAATTTATTATTGTAAAATAAGCACATACAGAAAGAAAAGTTTAGGATTCTTAAGGTAGAAGACATTCACTTAAGCATACCTATTTTAGAGGGGAATATAGTTTCATCATCCAATTGATCCTGAACCCATGTCATAAGGTAGTCCACATACTTTGGTGCAGAACACTTAATTGGTTTCTTGAATGTATGTCCATCTGCCCAATGGTACTCATACTTGGGCCCTGCTGACATGATGGGGCATATCTCTTCAGTACAAAATTCTGTGATGGTGCCATAAAGGACATTTATTTGGTTGAAGAAATCAACAGCTGAGGGGAGGAGAAAATGATATGGAGGTTTAGAGAACAAGAAACTAACAATGTCATTCAATACTATATAAATGTGCTCCTTACTGTTCACTGCAACCCATTCATTGAGGTCTTCTCCCTCAGGAAGGAGAACAGCAAGTCGTAAATTTCCTGAACCGAGAGTGGCTGCAGCATATTTCATCAGATCATATTGATGCGTGCCTTCTGGAATGTTTTTCTTTGGTTTGAAGGTTTTGGACGAACGGCCTCCACTGCAAGATAAAGGGTCCAACATGAAGTTGGCAGGAGATAAAGATTCTTACCTTTACCGCAACAAGTCAAATAACAAATAAATCTTATATTTAGTACCACTATTTCATAATGAAAAAATTAAAAATTAAGGTTGACAGTCTGAGAGGGCTTAATGATAAAAATACCAGCCGCATCATGCCCTTAAAACTGCTTGAAACGGACACTAACGTGAAACACAAACTATAAAGCCTTGGCAAAAGAGGGACAAAATTCGTAGCTAAATGTGTAAACGAAAAATTCATAACAAACAAAGACTACTTTCATGAGTCAACCAAAAGATATGTGATTACACCAAATGGGACAAAGTGGGGGTGACACAAGGGTGTAGGGAAACAAGTAACCTCTGTGTTGCTATTGAGCTGAATCTGTCGTTGACGATGAATAACAAATGCGGCATGAAGAAAAACATATAGTTCTACTGATCATTATGCAATTTCGATCAGCAGTAGGCTAGTGAGATAGGCAAGGGTGCCTCCAGACCACTACTACTACTGTATTAATTTTCTACTCACAATAGGAAGCTCATTTCCGAGAAGTTGCCAATTTTCACGATATTGAATGTGAATGACAAATCCTACAGCTTGAAATGGGGTCGTACTGTTCTAGATTTTACAGATGTCGGGTTAAAACTGTTTCTTTTGTACATTCACAGTACTTCCACTTCCACTTCCACACTCTTGGCAAGGCCTGTGGCCTGTGCAGCTGCTTTCACAACGACATATGATTTCCAACTTCTCTGTCTTCTGCCAATTTATTTGGATCTTCAATGCGTTACACGCGTAATCTTGAAATGGCAAATTTTTTTGTAAGGGCCAAAGAGTAATGCCTTAACGAAAATTTAGTTGTTTTGCGATGATCAATATTCGGTTGAGAAGAATCAAGCCGCCCGTGGATTTCGTTCTCTGCCGGACGCTCCACGAACCGACTCCAAACAGGCGCACAAGTCAGTCAGTCGCTGAAAATGGCGACGAACGATTCGAAAGCGCCGTTACGCTATGTCAAAAGAGTACAATTCGGCATTCTCTCTCCCGATGAGATCGTAAGTGTACAATTTATTTGAAACACAGATTCTGCTTTCTTATATTAGTATATTTTATCTTGTTTCGGCGGCTTTTTTACATCCTTAAATGACTTGTTAGTGAAGATGCTGTGGCCTACCAGCCTTGACTGTTTTTTAAGTGCATCTCGTTACTTATCGTTGTCAGTGTCAACTAGTTAATTTCATAATAAATTGCGATTTCTTAATGAAATTTTTCGTAGTGTAATTCTTGAAAAGTTTCCCATCTCTCTCTTGCTTTTAAAAAAGTTGACCCTAACCCTCATTGTTTATTATCAATGGAAGTCTACATGTTGCATCCTATGCTTGTCAATCGTGGGTTTAACCGCCTTTTTTAACTGAACTTATTAATTTTTTCATTGTGGTACTTATTTGTGGTATTCTTGGGGCAGTCATGAGGGACATCTTTAATATTGACTATTATCGCTGACAGTTGCAATTTTTTTATTCTAAAAACATTATTTTAATGTCTTGTTGTTGATTCATCGTTTTACCGTGGCCATTTCTCTTTTAGCGACGTATGTCGGTCACAGAGGGAGGGATTAAATTCCCTGAAACTATGGAGGGTGGAAGGCCGAAGTTGGGAGGCCTCATGGACCCTCGTCAAGGTGTAATCGACAGATCATCTCGATGTCAGACATGTGCAGGTTCGTTTTCAGATTGGATACACTTATGTCAAATTTACTAACATCATTGTTTAATATTTATTCTGTATTTTATTATTTCAGGGAATATGACTGAATGCCCTGGGCACTTTGGTCACATTGATTTAGCCAAACCTGTCTTTCACATTGGGTTCATCACAAAAACTATCAAGATCTTGAGATGTGTATGCTTCTATTGCAGTAAACTCCTAGTTAGTCCGGTAAGCAAGGGCCTATATCTAACTACGCATTTACAATGAAAACTCGAGTACTTACGTTTAACTCTCCTTTTTAGAACAACCCCAAAATCAAAGAAGTTGTCATGAAATCTAAAGGACAACCAAGGAAACGCTTGACATTCGTTTATGACTTGTGCAAAGGCAAAGCTATATGTGAAGGTGGTGATGAAATGGACATCAATAAAGACAATCCAGATGATCCTTCCAAAGAACAGGTTAGTATTAATTAGGATCTTGAGAACAGTATAACATGTCACTACATACGTTTGTTTCACTTACCCCTTATCCCTATTCCCTACAGCCTAGGAAGCAAGGTCATGGAGGTTGTGGTCGTTACCAGCCTAACTTGAGAAGAGTGGGGTTAGACGTCACAGCTGAATGGAAACATGTAAATGAAGACTCACAGGAGAAAAAAATAGCTCTTACAGCTGAAAGAGTGTGGGAGATCTTGAAGCATATCACAGGTAATTTTGATTTGTCCTTGTTTTGAAATAAGAAAATAGCTGATGCATTCATATTCTGAATTTGCTAATTTTCCATTGTCTTGTTTATTAATTAGATGAGGAGTGCTTCATTCTGGGAATGGATCCTAAGTTTGCCAGACCTGACTGGATGATTGTAACTTCCCTGCCTGTGCCACCACTGTGTGTGCGACCTGCAGTTGTCATGTATGGCTCTGCCCGAAATCAGGTTTGTTATTGATTTTATGCTAATAAGCCAATTGTGCAGCCTGCCTATAACTTCTACATTTCTGTACTTACAATGAAAAAAATTAATTTGACATGATTTTAATTCTTATTTTAGGATGATTTGACTCACAAATTATCTGACATTTTGAAAGCAAACAATGAATTGATCAGAAATGAGCAGGCTGGAGCTGCAACACATGTTCTTGCTGAAAATATTAAAATGCTCCAGTTTCATGTTGCAACATTAGTTGATAATGACATGCCTGGACTGCCACGGTGAGCGCTCTCTCAATTCTTGGGGCTATCTGAATTATTCCTCGCTTGCAACAAAGTCTAATTAATAATACCATTGACTTTTATTACCCAGAGCAATGCAAAAGAGTGGGAAGCCCCTCAAAGCAATCAAAGCTCGTCTGAAGGGTAAGGAAGGACGGATTCGTGGCAACCTCATGGGAAAACGAGTTGACTTTTCTGCCCGTACTGTAATTACTCCAGATCCAAACCTTAGAATTGATCAGGTTGGAGTCCCTCGTTCAATTGCACAAAATCTCACATTTCCTGAAATAGTCACACCATTCAACATTGACAAGTAAGCTTAATTCTGAATGACTTATGTCTCCTCGATTTACTTGTTTCCTCGTTATCCTAACTTTATGAGATAATTATTAATGTGGGAAACTTTATGTTTGAAGGATGCAAGAATTGGTGCGAAGAGGAAACTCTCAATATCCTGGTGCCAAATACATTGTCAGAGACAATGGGGAACGTATTGATCTGCGTTTCCATCCCAAAACATCAGATTTGCACCTTCAGTGTGGATACAAAGTAGAACGTCATATTCGTGATGGTGATTTGGTCATTTTCAACCGACAGCCTACCTTACACAAAATGTCCATGATGGGTCACAGAGTGAAAGTATTGCCATGGTCAACATTCCGGATGAATTTAAGGTAAAATTACTTTATTTTCCTCAGTTTGGTTTAAGAAATTAGGAAAAAGTCCCTTATTAATATAGTTTAATTTTTAACATTCCAGTTGTACTTCTCCTTACAACGCTGACTTTGATGGAGATGAAATGAACCTACACGTTCCACAGTCCATGGAAACCAGAGCGGAAGTGGAAAATATTCATGTAACCCCTAGACAGATTATTACCCCTCAGGCAAACCAACCTGTCATGGGTATTGTGCAGGACACTTTAACAGCTGTCCGGAAGATGACAAAAAGAGATGTATTCTTAGAAAAGGTACTGTGTTGCTTGTTTCTACATTATGATTATTCTATAATATTTTATGTTGTCTTTGGTAACTAGCAATTTGTGTGATATTACAGGAGCAAATGATGACACTATTGATGTTCTTGCCTATTTGGGATGGTAAAATGCCACAACCATGTATCCTAAAGCCCAAGCCACTATGGACTGGTATGAAATTGCTGATATTTTAATTTCTGAAAGAAGTTTTATCACTTGCCAGCTTTAATGAAATGATCAATCTCTAATTTCAGGAAAGCAAGTTTTCTCTCTTATTATTCCTGGTAATGTAAATCTGATCCGTACTCATTCAACTCACCCTGATGAGGAAGATGATGGTCCATACAAATGGATCTCTCCTGGTGACACAAAAGTATGGATCTTATTGTAATTTTTGAGTCTTGAATATTCCCTTTCACTTTTTTTAAACTACCTTATGCTCCTCATACAGGTAATGGTAGAGCATGGAGAGCTCGTCAAAGGTATCCTGTGCAAAAAGACACTTGGTACATCTGCAGGTTCTCTTTTGCACGTCATCTTTTTGGAGTTAGGTCATGAAGTCTGTGGTCAGTTCTATGGTAATATTCAGACCGTAGTTAACAATTGGCTTCTCCTTGAAGGTAATACACCTTTTCACTTTCCCCTAATAATTTATAAGCTTCTTGCTCTCATTATCATTAATTTATTAATTTTTTGATGCTTTTATTTACTTAGGCCACTCTATTGGTATTGGTGACACTATTGCCGATCGGCAAACATATGCTGAAATTCAGAATGCCATCAAGAAAGCTAAGGCTGATGTCATAGAGGTCATTCAAAAGGCACACAACATGGAGCTGGAACCAACTCCTGGTAACACACTCAGGCAAACTTTTGAAAATCAGGTACACATTACTTCAATTATTTTTTGAATACCAGGTTTTTTCACTGTTAATCTTGGAGTCCATCTAATGTGGTGAATGTATTTTAGGTCAATCGTATCCTTAACGATGCTCGTGATAAAACTGGAGGATCTGCTAAGAAATCTTTAACTGAGTACAACAATTTGAAGGCTATGGTGGTTTCAGGATCAAAGGGGTCCAACATTAACATTTCTCAGGTAATCATGTCTTAAGTATTAACTTTGGATTTCCAAAATGTAGGATTTACAAAATGTATATTAATTCAGTAACGAAAATTAGTCTTTTATTTAAGCTGTGGTCTTCCGTTTCAGGTTATTGCTTGTGTGGGTCAGCAGAACGTTGAGGGTAAACGAATTCCTTTTGGTTTTCGCAAAAGGACATTGCCTCACTTCATCAAAGACGATTATGGTCCTGAATCGAGAGGCTTCGTTGAAAATTCATACCTTGCTGGGCTGACACCCTCTGAGTTTTACTTCCACGCCATGGGAGGTCGAGAAGGTCTCATTGATACAGCTGTCAAAACTGCTGAAACTGGTATTTATTTTTACTTTATTCCTCTTTCCCTCATTAGTTAATCTGTCCTCCATTATCACCGATTGACTTTACTCTTTCTCTGTTCCTAGGTTATATCCAACGTCGATTGATAAAGGCTATGGAGTCTGTTATGGTTAACTATGATGGAACTGTACGTAACTCTGTTGGGCAGCTCATTCAGTTGCGTTATGGTGAGGACGGTCTTTGTGGAGAAACAGTAGAATTCCAGAACCTCTCTACTATCAAACTGGCAAACAAAGCCTTTGAGCGCAAGTTCAAATTTGATCCTACCAATGAAAGAAACTTACGTAGAATATTCAATGAAGATGTGATGAAAGAACTGATGGGCTCTGGAGAAGTAGTGTCTGAATTGGAGAAAGAATGGGAGCAATTATGCAAAGATCGTGAGTCACTCAGACAAATTTTCCCCAGTGGCAGCAACAAAGTCGTACTGCCTTGCAATCTTCAAAGAATGATTTGGAATGTTCAGAAGATTTTCCATATCAACAAGAGAGCACCAACTGATCTCAGTCCGTTAAGGGTCATACGTGGTGTTCAAGAGCTGCTTACAAAATGTGTCATTGTAGCAGGAGAAGATAGGTTAAGCAAAATGGCCAATGAGAATGCCACTCTTTTATTCCAATGTTTGGTGAGATCAACTCTTTGTACCAAGTGTGTTGCAGAAGAGTTCAGGCTGTCTTCAGAAGCCTTTGAATGGTTGATTGGAGAAATTGAGACAAGATTCCAACAAGCACAGTGTTCACCTGGTGAAATGGTTGGTGCTTTGGCTGCACAGTCTCTTGGAGAGCCTGCCACTCAGATGACACTGAACACTTTCCACTTTGCTGGTGTGTCTTCCAAGAACGTAACCCTCGGTGTGCCTAGGCTGAAGGAAATTATTAACATCAGTAAGAAGCCAAAGGCCCCGTCTCTAACTGTCTTCCTCTCTGGAGTAGCAGCTCGAGATGCTGAGAAGGCCAAAAACGTCCTGTGCCGTTTGGAACACACCACTCTTCGTAAAGTTACAGCTAATACTGCTATTTACTATGATCCTGACCCTCAGAACACTGTTATTTCTGAAGATCAGGAATTTGTTAATGTGTATTATGAAATGCCTGACTTCGACCCAACAAAGATCTCACCATGGCTTCTCCGTATTGAACTTGACAGAAAGAGGATGACTGATAAGAAGCTTACTATGGAACAAATTGCTGAGAAAATTAATGCTGGTTTTGGTGAAGATTTGAACTGCATATTTAATGATGACAATGCTGAGAAGCTGGTACTTCGTATTCGTATTATGAACAGTGATGATAGTAAATTCCAAGATGAAGAAGAACAAGTAGACAAGATGGAAGATGATATGTTCTTGCGATGCATTGAAGCTAACATGCTTTCAGACATGACTCTTCAAGGAATTGAAGCAATTGGTAAGGTATACATGCATCTTCCTCAAACAGATGCTAAAAAGAGGATTGTCATCACTGAAACTGGAGAATTCAAGGCCATTGCTGAGTGGCTCCTTGAAACTGATGGTACTAGCTTGATGAAGGTTCTCAGTGAAAGAGATGTTGACCCTGTGAGAACATTCTCCAACGACATTTGTGAAATCTTCCAAGTACTTGGAATAGAAGCTGTCCGAAAGTCTGTAGAAAAGGAAATGAATGCTGTGCTTCAGTTCTATGGACTTTACGTCAACTACCGACATTTGGCTTTGCTTTGTGACGTAATGACGGCTAAAGGTCATCTTATGGCCATCACTCGTCATGGTATCAACAGACAAGATACTGGTGCACTGATGAGGTAAGTTAATTATGTTTGTCTTGTTCATAAGTGTTTTCAATGAAAGCCTATTCTAACAAAGTATTGGTACTTGTGCCTTTGCAGATGTTCTTTTGAAGAAACTGTGGATGTGTTGATGGATGCTGCTTCTCATGCTGAGGTGGACCCAATGAGAGGAGTGTCAGAGAATATTATCATGGGACAGTTACCACGCATGGGAACAGGTGAGAACTTTGAAATATTTTAGTTTTTTCATACTCTATTACTATGAAATCTTAGCTTAATGACATTGAAACTTTTCTTTCACAGGCTGCTTTGATCTTCTTTTGGATGCAGAGAAATGTAAATATGGTATTGAGATTCCAATGAATATTGGAGTTGGAATGGGAATGGGTGGAGGAATGTTGTTTGGATCTGCGGCTACACCATCAAGCCCCCAGATGACACCATGGAACCAAGGAGCAACACCCATGTATGGAAGTGTTTGGTCTCCACACATCGACAGTGGAATGACCCCTGCTGGTATCACTTTCTCTCCGTCTGCTTCGAGCGATGCCAGTGGTATGTCGCCAGCATATGCATGGAGCCCAACACCCGGCTCACCGGGCTCACCTGGGCCGTCTACGAGTCCCTACATCCCCACAAGCCCTGCTGGAGCAAGCTCACCAAGTTATTCTCCATCCAGCCCGGCGTATGCCCCAACTTCTCCCAGCATGGCGGCTTCGCCCAACTACAGCCCGACATCGCCTTCCTACTCCCCTACTTCTCCCAACTACAGCCCCACTTCACCTAGTTACTCACCAACAAGTCCAAGCTATAGCCCAACCAGTCCTAGCTATAGTCCCACCAGTCCTAGCTATAGCCCTACAAGTCCTTCATACTCTCCCACAAGTCCCTCATACTCTCCTACAAGTCCCTCATATTCTCCCACAAGCCCATCATATTCTCCCACCAGTCCTTCCTATTCCCCGACCAGTCCATCTTATTCCCCAACCAGTCCAAGCTACAGTCCTACCAGCCCGTCATACTCTCCAACGAGTCCTTCATATTCTCCTACTAGTCCAAGCTACAGCCCGACAAGTCCATCCTATTCTCCTAGCTCGCCCAACTACACCCCTGCTTCTCCATCGTACTCTCCTACGTCACCGTCCTACTCGCCGAGCTCCCCGCAGTACTCTCCCGCGAGCCCGAGTTACTGCCCGTCGTCTCCAAAGTACTCTCCCACATCGCCATCGTATTCACCAACATCTCCCAGTTTCCCCAGCTCGTCGCCTCAATACACCCCGGCGTCGCCTCAGTACTCTCCTACCTCACCGACTTACTCTCCTACTTCTCCATCATATTCTCCTACCTCTCCTTCTTACTCTCCAAGCTCACCGCAGCACACACCTGGGGGTGCTCACTACTCCCCCACATCACCAAAATATTCTCCAACATCTCCCACTTACTCTCCTACCTCACCTCAGTACTCTCCATCAAGTTCCAAATATTCACCTACATCACCCACTTACACACCAACTTCACCTAATTATTCTCCAACGTCTCCTACCTTTTCTCCTACAGCTCCGGGCTATTCACCTACTTCTCCAACTTACTCACCTTCCTCTCCTGCTTATGAACCAGAATCAGATTAAAGTAGCTGCTTTAGTTTGAAGGAAACGCATTTCTATTCTATGGTATCTCATTTGTTGGCTAATAAATATTTGTTGCTTTTATGGAGGCATCGTTGCCTCTCAAGATTATGTCATTTTATTTATTTTATGGAACTGAGATTTTTTTTTGGAGAAGTTTGGTTTAGCTCAATTGAGTTATGTCTGACTGTATGTAGGTAAGGATCTTTAAGTGAGATGTGTTCTCTTGTTGTAAATACCAAATTCTAATGGTAATATAACTTTGGGTATTTCTATGGAAGAATTATAATGTAAATAGCTATAAAAATTACTGTGTATAATTTAAAATCTTAGTGCCGTGGTCGCTTTTTTGAATCTTTAGTTACCATGTGACAAAAACAACTTTTATGTATGGGTGCTGTATATATCATCTTTGCTGTATTTCTTCTTTTAAATTAGAAATTGTTTTTAGTCAATGACTCTTTTGATGTGTATAGGAAATATTCAAAGACTGTCCTAAAAAAGGAAAGATTTTGTAAAGATCTAAAAATAATTTTGTATGGAACTTCTCAAGAAGTCATCAGAATGTTAAAAATATGTCCTACAGTAACTGACTGGTCCCAGTGTATACATTGTGTACAGGTTTTCTTTTTGAATTTGCCATCTATGTAGGTTAAATAGTCCAGTCTTATCACATGCTGGTGTTAAATCTTGTTACATGGTATAATCGGATCATTTGTGTTTTGCACGTTATTGATTGTACCTTGTACATGGAATTGTTTAAATAAAAACTCTGAACAAATAAACTTTGTTTTTACTGGCCTAGTGCGCTAATTTAAACCTGAAAGTAGTGTTTCAAAAAACTGCATCAACTTCGGGCGTTGCTGCTGAACCTGCTCTAATAACAAGCTGCCTGAGGCGTCAAAAAATTATTGGAACACCTTGCCTCTTGCCTTGAGTCTTTCTGGTTCAACTCGAATAAACTAGGATTTGAATGAAAGTCCTGTGGAGAATGGACAGCTTCGCATTTGTCCGAAAATAGCTCACAAAATCAAGAAGCACGTGAAAACGCGTCATCTTCCTTCTAGCGCCTTCACCGCCAAGGAATATAGGACTCTACTTCCTTCGGGCCCGGTGCTGGCAGTGGTGGTCAACAGAAAGCTAGGTTAGGTTGGTCATTCGGGTTTCAGTTGCTTACCCCCTCCACTTGTCTACTTGTCAACACTTGAGGCCCATGTCTATGATTCACACCCTTACAAACATCAACAAACCACACAGCTGATTGTACTTCGGAGTTGCAAGGTTACAGTCTGCAGCTTTTGCTGGAACCTCCGCTCTGCCGGACACTGGTATGCCTCAGCACCCCTCCATGAAACTCTAAAACTTCAACTGTGGAAGCATTAGAAAGGCAAGAATGCGTTATATAGTTCAAATTTCAAGTTCATTTTACTTATTATTTTAGCAGAGTACTTTTTCAGACAAGTTCTCAGCTGATTCCCTGTGATTCGGTTTCATTGACTGACCTAATTAATTGTGTTACTTTTCTAGGCTGCAAAATGGACATCAACGCAGCAAAATGGGCTGTGCTTGTCGGCTTGCTGATTATAACACTGTTTCTCTCAATGCTACCTCTGTGGCTTTTGTGGTCTGTACGTCATACTATTGACCAGTCACGGAAAGCCAAGTAAGTTGAAAAATGTTCTATTTGACCTTATTATACTTTTACAACTAGTACACACTGCAGACTTGACAGAATTTCTTTGTTGCAGGTATGCCCGTGTTATCAGTTTACTAAGTTGCTTTGCTGGAGGAGTCTTCATGGCAACGGGTCTTCTTCATTTATTCCCTGAGGTTGACGAAGCTCTTACAAAGGTAAAAGTTACATTTTGTTCTGTGTGGTAACGTGCTTCTGTTATTGTCACACTTCTTAACCCCATCGTCTTTATTTGCAGGCCTCCTGGGGGCATGGATTTCCTGTTGCTGGCTTTTTGACTGCATTTGGATTTTTCCTTGTACTTACTATGGAGCAAATAGTACTGGATTACAAAGAAACTGCGAACATTAGAGTGCTGTCTCGAGGAGTAGGTTTTTCTATCATGATGTGAGTTACTATAAGTGTCTTTGGAACTGAAATCTAATTCAATGAAAATGTATCTTAGGAACCCATTGAAGGAACTGACAATGATGTTGACCAAGTGAGAAGACGAGGAGGCTCTGTTGTTGGAGTGAGGGACCACCCTCTGACGACTAGTTTTGATGGTTCATCTCTTGACCCAGCAGCTGCAGTAGATGCAGATCCACACTCAACATTCCGTTCAGTACTTCTTACTGCTGCATTGTCTCTCCATTCTGTTTTTGAGGGGCTTGCCATTGGTTTACAGGGAACTGTTGATGGTGTGATGCAGGTTTGAAGCAACTTTCTTGAAAAAATAGTTTTGGGTGTTATTTTGTTATTGAGATGTAGTGTTAATGGTCTTGTATTGTTTCAGTTTTTCCTGGCAGTGAGTTTGCACAAAGCTGTCATTGCATTTGGATTAGGGCTGAACTTGGCACAAAGTAGGCTTTCTTTATGGGCCATTGTTAGAGCCAATCTTGTCTTTTCTCTTGCCTCACCCATTGGCGTAGCTATTGGCATGGGTATTGAGGATTTTGGACATTCTATGAACGAGTCAATTGTAAATGGTGTTCTTCAAGGTCTTGCCTGTGGCACTTTCTTCTATGTCACCTTCTTTGAGGTCTTACCTCATGAGCTTAATCAAGGTGAGAGCTATGACTCCTTAAAACTTCCACAACAATTTTTTTAATTTTTTGAAAAATTTAATATTGATCTTACATGTATATTTTTCTTTTCTTTTTTTTTTCTTTTGTCTGGTAGGTGGTGACCGTCTGTTGAAACTTCTTGCCACTCTGATTGGATTTTCTGTGATATGTGGTGTGATGTTCTTGGATCCTGATGCAGCTCCTTCTGGAGACGCATCATGTGCACGCATTACTTGATCAACAAGTCACTGTATGTGATTCCTTGTGTGAAATCTCACTTGGTATTGTGATATTGCTATTCCACGAAACTCTCAAGAATGATCCTATTTTGGTCGGAAAAGAAGAAAAAAATAAAAAGTCTTGCTTTTGAACTTATTTAGTTACTGGTGGACTGTGAAAAGAAACTTCTGATCAAATTATAAATATGTGTCTAATTTTAAATGGGCAGGAACTGTCAATGTTCTCTCTGAAATTTTCTTTCATTGTAATTGCCACAAAGTATTTTTGTTTACATTTTGGATGCAATTCATCAAGGCATTGTGGTTGTGCCACAAGTATCAGCCACTTACTTTGGACTGATTCTATGTGATATTTGAATAAGTAGAAATGTAGATGTTCCCTTTTTGATGTAAATGTTAATAAAAGATTGCATTTGTCGTTCTAAAACTTGTAAAAACCTGCTGTTTGAGCTATGTTTTTCACTTTTTCACAAATACAATGGCTAGTTGAGAAATAAAGTAGACTCAATCATGTAAATTTGTTACCTTTTTATAAAATTTCCTTCTTGCTCTTTCCTTGAATCACAAATTAACTCGCTGTCCTGAGGAGGCTATCGAGCCGAGCTTGTCTTGTCGGGCCAGGAGGAACCAAAATACCCCATCCATTAGCAGTGCTGCGGCAGTGCTGGTGCTGCCACTGCCTGGCTCTGCCGACGCTAGCGCGCTGGGGCGGGCGACGGTCCATCGGGCCTTTGCGGCGTTTCAATGCACAGCCGAGTGTTTAGAAACAAGTTGATGTGGGACGGCTTCCCGGCGTTCCTCAGTGCCCGCAGGCTGATTCTCGAGGGTCGTTTTCGTCGCTCCGACTCTCTCGCACTCATGGGGCGTCCCATATGGGTGCGAGGACGCAGAGCTACGAAAATGACTCGTACAATCCGTCTAATGCGACCCACGCGTCTCAGCTAAGACGTGTTGCCGGATGGGTTGCCTAGGCTGACAGGGGCATTGGGACTTCCCTGCGTTCTTGTTTCTTAGCATGTACGGGGAGGTGGACTTTGACTGTGGACCCCCACCCCCCAAGTGGCCACGCTGGTAGGGGCATTGGGACTTCCCTGCTTTCTTGTTTCTAAGCATGTACGTACGGGGAGGTGGACTTTGACTGTGGACCCCCACCCCCAAGTGGCCACGCTGGTAGGGGCATTGGGACTTCCCTGCTTTCTTGTTTCTAAGCATGTACGTACGGGGAGGTGGACTTTGACTGTGGACCCCCACCCCCCAAGTGGCCACGCTGGTAGGGGCATTGGGACTTCCCTGCTTTCTTGTTTCTAAGCATGTACGTACGGGGAAGTGGACTTTGACTGTGGACCCCCACCCCCAAGTGGCCGCGCTGGTAGGGATTGGGACCCCTTGTTTGTGTACGTCGGGGAAGTGGACACGTGGACCCCCCCCCATGCCCCTGGTTCGCCCTGGGTGCGTGGGGGCAAGGGCCCCTTCGGCCCCGCCCCGGCTCGCTTGGTGGCTTGGTGTGCCCTCCCCTCCTCCCTCGGCCCTCCCCCCCTGCCCCCACCCGCCCCCACGGCGACCGCTATCGGCGGCGTATTATTTTAAAGCAGTCGACGGAAGCCGAAACAGCTGCCATTTGTTTCGACTGGGCGAAAGGGAACACACATGCACCACACACGTCGCGCTGCCAGCCCTGCCAGAGAGCCCCGCCCCGCCCCGCCCCGCCGGCCGGCGTCAGCCGTCGTCAGCCCGACAAGCAGTTAGCGCATTGCCAGTGTGTTTGTATTGGGCAACCTCAAAGCCGCGAAGCGGGGAAGCGAAGCGGTGCTGCCTCTCGCTCGAGTCACGTCAAAGCAGAAACCGCGGTGAAGCGTCAGCAGGCGTCAGTCAGAAGGAGGGCGGCGAAGGCTGCTTTGTCTGTAGCTTATTGATTCGGATTGGGCAGCCATGTGTCGCGGCTGTTCGGGACGGCGGCGGGTGGACACCGCGCCCACCGCGTCCCGGGCCGCCACCGCCACCGCCGCCACTGCTGGAAGGAAGGAAGGGTTGCGTAGTGCGCGGCGTGTCGGCCATGTCGGCAAACACTCAGGCCTGACGGGGCGGAAGCGTTTCGGCCATTACACGAAAATTACATTCACATTGGCTAACATTCCGGCGACCACACTGTTATGGCCGGTCCTGCCCGATGTTGTACGGAGTGCGAAGGACGGTGTTCGTTTAAGGAAGTTGCATGGGAAGAGCAAGAGAACACGGCGAGGATGACAAAACGCCCTGCAAGTTGACACTGCGTCTGACATCTCATCCTCAAAGTAGGCAACTCGCTCAAACGAAATCGCCTCTCCGCCCTCCTCCGCGGTGACCTGGGTGGCCCTAGGTGCTGCCGGGACCTGACGGACTTGACCCAAATAGACACAAGTGTGCGCCGAGTCCGCGAGGGCGCCGCCCTTCGGCCCGCCACCGCCACGCCGACCGGCCGACCGCGTGTCGTGTTTGGGAGAGGGAATTACTTGGGTAACTTAATAAGAACACCCCCGCCCACTTGACGGGGAGGAATCGGCCAGGGCGGCGTGGGCAGCGTGGGCAGCCGGGGGAGGAATGGTAATAAAACACCGGCGGGCACGAGAAACACGCTTAGAGTAAAATGGAGAAGAAGATAAACATTGCGGCCCGCCCGGGGCGTGGCGGGGCGGGGCGTGGTGGGGGCGGGGCGCGGTGGGGCACGGGCACTAGTGTCCCGAATAAACACACAGATTGGCGGATATTCCTGCCGTCAGCCCCCAGGCCAGTGTCATTCTTTTATTCACCGCAGCGCATCGAGCTGATCAGATTTACCCTTGCGGCCTCGGGTCTCCTCCCTGCCACGCCCGACGGCGTCCTCGACGGCGTCCTCGACGGCGTCCTCGACGGCGTCCTCGACGGCGTCCTCGACGGCGTCCTCGACGGCGTCCTCGACGGCGTCCTCGACGGCGTCCTCGACGGCGTCCTCGACGCCGTCCTCGACGCCGTCCTCGACGGCGTCCTCGACGGCGTCCTCGACGGCGTCCTCGACGGCGTCCTCGACGCCGTCCTCGACCCGTCCTCGACGCCGTCCTCGACGCCGTCCTCGACGCCGTCCTCATCTTCGCCGCCCTCCTCGTCGCCACGTCATCGCCCTTCCCGTTCGAGCGGCGCCCCGGCGAACAGCTTGCCTTCTTGGCCTCGCGGCCTCTCGGCCGTGGCGTTGGCGGTAGCGCGGCTCTTGCCGATGCCCGGGGGCGCAACGCGCAACGCCTACTTCACTTTAGCCGGCTTGCCCTTACAGAAATGGATTTGTGGAAGGTGGTCGATAAGTGGTACTGCGGACCACTTTTTCGCCCCTTTTCATACCCCTTTTGACCAAAATCACCCACTGCGACCCTCTTCGTTCATTTGAACCCCTTCGTGACCCCGTTTTCTCCTCTCAAAGAGACGAGGGGCCCTTTTCAGTACCCCCTTTTTGCTGCTCAAGCTCAGGGGGTCCTCCAACGGACGTGGACCCCTTTTCTTCACGCGAAGGGGGTCCAAAAAGGGGTGCCTTTGACGCGATGCAGAACGGCGCAGGTGATGACTCTCCATGCACGCCACCAAGTTGCTATTCAGAGGAGTGACGGTCACGATGTCGCGGCTTTCCAAGTCCTGCAAAGTCCTGGTTTCTATGAGAGGATGGCGTTCTATAATTAGAATCTGGTTCTAGCCTCAGGTCTATCGTAAATTTTCATATTCGCGCGAATTATTGTTTCTGTAACTGGAGAAAGAAACCGCGGACCTGGACCTGGGGAAAGGAAGGGGGGGGGGGAGCGATGTCGCAATACTCTTCTTTTTTCGTTTTCGGATACGCGCCCGGCAAGGAAAACAAGCCTGGCAAGTCCAGACTTGTAGAAGCATATGGGCGGCGCGCGGACCCTCTGACAGGAGAAGCGCTATGGCTCAGGTGTAAAGTGGAGGTCTCATAACAGAAAGGTCCGAGGATCGAATCCCGACTACAGCGTCGCTTCGCCTACGCGGAGCATGCCCCACACACACTTTTGGCACTTTCTTTGGAACCCACCTCAGACCCCCTTTTGGACCCCTTTCTCGCGGTTAAAAGGGTGTGTGCGGCTAGACACCTTTTAGTGGTGCATCTAGGAGGTACCGTGAGAACCCCTTTTTTGACACACTTTATCACCCACTTTTAGCACCCAACAACGACGTGATCCATTTCTGTAAGGGCATGGCGTCCACAAACAGCCAAACACCTCCGTCTCCGTCATTCCCTCGCGCTGCAACGTCGGCGTGCGCTGGTGTGTGTGTGCTCCTGTGTCAGTGAGCGCGCGCGGGGGCGTGTGTGTGTGTGCGTGTGTGTTTGTTTGTGTGTGTGTGTGTGTGTGTGTGTGTGTGTGTGTGTGTGTGTGTCTGTCTGTCTGTGTGTGTGCGCCCCGTCTCCCTTTACTTTCATGAAGCGGCTCCGCCCGCTCCGCTGCGGCGAGTAGAGACTGGGCAAGCAGGGCAAGCGGATCCGTCCCGTCAGCCACTGTTTACTTAGAATCAGTTTTCATTTGGCGAGATGGGGGAGTGAGGACGAGGAGGGTGCCAAGGCACGCCAAGGCATGCCCAAGGGGTGAGTGCGTTCGGCCGTCCTGGCGTCGACACGCCGCGCTTCCGCGCCCACCCCGAGTCCCCCGTCAACCTGCTCGCGCGGCCCTTGCGGCCCTCGGCACAGGTGCAGCCACGACGCGCTCGCCTGATGCAGCCCTGCGGCTACTCCACGCCTCCGAGCAGAAGAGGCCCATCTTTAATCTAAGGACAAAGATGGGCCTCTTCTGCTGGGAGGCGCGTAGGCGCGTAGGCGTTACAAACACATAAATAATCGAGCCCCCCTTCAAGATTTGGCAAACTCTGCCCTTACGTGCCGCATGCTGGTCTGTTTTGGTTTTGTCGCTGAGCAAGAACAAAAGACTGCTTTTAGTTCTTCCCGCAAAGCTACGAGTTTGGCGGTGATTGGCAAGGAAACCAGTCAAGAAGGCGCAGTGTGACGACAGCCCGCGGCCAGCAGGGCGTGGCGTGGGAGGGGGCGACGCGGGGGCAGTGCGGGGGCGTGTTGCGGGCCGCGGGGCAACCACGTCTGTTGACTCTCCGGATGAAACTCTGCCCGGGCAGGGCGGCCGGGGCGGCCACGGCGGCCACGGACCGGCTGGCGGAAAGAATGAGAAAGGAAGACGTCGGCCGGCCTGGAGGTGACTGGAGGTGCCTCGAGCCTCGAGGCCGCTGGAGGCGCAGGAGACCAAAGCAAAGACGGCGCAGCGGCGAAGCCAATCCTCGCCGAATTTATCGGCTAGTTTGAGGCTGACGCGCGTGGCGAGGGGCGGGACGTGTCCCGCAGGACAGCACCCCCTTCCCCCTCCCCCTCCCCGAACGCCGGCGCTAGGAGGGAACGACCAACGGTGGCAGACTGGCAGTGCAACGCCTGGAGAGTCTGAGCAGGAAAGTTCCTCCGAAAGGGCGGCAAACCCGGGTGGAAGGATCTGTAGTGAAACTGCAGTTTAAACTGTAGTGCCAAAACTACAGTTCCTGAACTGCAGTTTTTGGTAAGAACAAAGTGCAGAATAAGTCCAGTTTCAGTTTGCTTATGGATCTGTAGTTTGCTGTGTATGCAAACTGCTTTCTAGCTGAACTGTTATTTGTTGACCAGGTATAAAATACTATCTGCAGTTACAAAGTGAAGTTAAAAGTTTTTAAATTCTACTCTACTTTAATAGTCCACTACTGAAGATTCGCCTACACTTCTATCTGCAGCAGGATCTACAAAGGAAATAAAGTTTCTGCTCATACTTTTTTACACAATGACAAACTAGTTGAATGTTTACTACAATTTGTAGTAATTTTTTGCTTAAGGCATAGTTTAAGATGTCAAGTACTACAACTTGATATGAAGATCAAAAACAATTACATTGAGTGATTAAAATAATATAAGGATTGAAAAGGAAATATATCTTAGAAGTGTCAGTTATTTCTTTTAAAAGTTTACGTTGAAATACTTGACGTTGGAGACTTTTAGAAGACACGACTAAACTTTCATATGAAAACCTATATGGCTGGATGTAGCCAATTCTTAAAATACTATCTGGTTATCTGTTTGCTTATTTTATAATGTTCCATATTGGTCAGGTAGCATGTGACAAAGTATTGCGGAAATCAACAAGCCACAAAATTTAGCCAGCTTGTCGCCAAACAAGGTCTAGCTAAGTGGCATCAAATTCATTATGACTGGATGATAAAATGTCAAACACAAATAAAACTAGAAAGCATTATAATGCAATGCGTCTCAGAAGTTGAAAAGGTAACGAGTCCAGTCGTTGAAAATTAAGACCTTGTAGGCTCTCTGAATTAAATCACTCCATTGTGTCTTGGTTTCTGAGGCAAATTCATTATAAATTACATTTAGGACAAGTGAATTTCACTCCTAGTACAGAGTGGCTTACAGTAAAACTGTAGTTTTCTAGCAGTTAAATTCTAGTTCCTGAGGAAAGCCGGCCTTTCCATGTGGTCGAGTAGCCAAGCCCCTATCCACAAGGAAGCTCAGTGGTGCAGTGGTCAAGGCCTCTGCCTCACAAGCCATGGGTCCGAGGTTCAACTCCCGGCAACATCCAATCAAAACACACAATTAACACAAAGTCAATCACCTCAGGGGTCAGAGGGAGGAGATGTCCCCTCAAAACAGGGTTCAAAAATTAAAAATTTTGAATTTTGAACCAAATTTTAAAACTGCAGATTGTTTTCTCTTTTGAACTAACTCTGGCTGTGTAACTTAACTACAGTAAAACTGTACTTTGAACTATAGTCAACTGATCTGAAGACTAGGGCAACCTGGGTCAAAAACTATAGTTGTCCGAAATAACTGGTACTTTTTTTGCAGTTTAATTGTAGTTTACTACACTTCAACTGTAGTTGAACTACACTTTACCTGCAATTATATAATACATTACAGTAATTTAAAGTATGAAAAAAATTATTTAAAAATTAAGTTTAACATTACAAAAAATCTATATTTTTCCAATATGGTTTAAACTGCAGATCCTTCCACCCGGGAAAACTAGCCGAGAATTATTCAATAGCAGAATGCAGCAAAAACAATAAATTTCCAACACACTTGTAATTTTTTGGTAACTGTAAAGTCTTTAAAATCAAATTGTTAAGACACTCTATTGACCACCCCCGTCTGACTGACTAACTACTTTAAGAGCTCTCTCCACGTCACTGCTTCACCTAGTATTCCTATTATTTTTAAAAAAATTCAAATTTTAAAGAGTTGTAGGGGGTGCAAGACGTACAACTACCCCTAAATAACAAATGAACCCGGAATGAGAAGGGGCAAAGAAGAACAAAAGCAACGATTTATTGACGCAGTCAATTTATTTAATTTTCCTCCGGAAGCTACATATGGTAAGGTAAGGAAAATATCCTCGGGTAAAGAATGACAACAATAACTGAAAAAACACAATCTAAAACAGCAACTTAACATGGAAAGTACACCACACAATAGTGCAGATATGAAGTAACAATAGATACGTAGCCGACGGTCACACAAATGTTTACCAGAGGCAAGCAAGACATTGATTGTATCGTTAAAATAATCACATCGAGAGAAAAATAAAATAACACTACTAAGCTCGTAACTAAAACTGAGATCAGGTAAAGCGTGTATTCATTCAACCACAAAAATCCACAAATTAAAAATGTCAAATGGGACGCAGGCGCGTGACGAAGACTCGGAAAAAGAAGGGAGAAATGTCGCACCTTCCTCTCCTTATGCGGAGTGTCTGGTGATTGCCTACCCATCAGGCGCTTCGAACGGCCGTGTCGACGCCCGTGCCCTACCTCCTTGACGACGGTCAAAGGCGTGAATCGTGTCAACGTGTGAAGCACACAAGGCAGTGACACCGTCGGGTCCGGGTCACATATGACGACAAGACTAGAGTTTCCGACTTCTAGGAAAACGCAGGTTAAGCGAAGCGAGCGGTACGCACACTTCATCGGATGGCGCACTCGTCGTCTTTATCACATTCAATCCGGCAAGTGACGTCGTGATCCGAGTCACTCCCGGCGCGTGGGCGAAGTGTCGGCGTCCGCGTCGACGACGTCGTTGGGCTCCGCGGCGTCGTCGACGGACGCGCGCCGCGGGGACGCCTTGGGGCGCGCGTCGAGGTGGTGGCCGTGCAGGCCGTGCGCGTGGCCCGCGTGCCCCGCGTGCAGCACGGGCCACGACAGGTCGCGCGCCGCGGGGCCGTCCACGGGCTGCTCCAGGGGCGGCGGGGGCGGCGCTGGCGGCGGCGCCAGACACAGCGGCGGCGGCTGGAAGAACAGCCCGTGCGAGCCCTGCGGCAGCGACGGGCCCAGCGGCGGGAAGGCCAGCAGCAGCTCCGGCGACGACGAGCACCACGGGCCGAGCAGGCGGCCGCCACCCTGGAACGCGACGCAAAGGGCTAGAGAGCTTGGACTGCGTCTGGACTGTGTCTGGACTGCGTCTGGACTGCGTCTGGACTGCGTCTGGACTGCGTCTGGACTGCGTCTGGACTGCGTCTGGACTGCGTCTGGACTGCGTCTGGACTGCGTCTGGACTGCGTCTGGACTGCGTCTGGACTGCGTCTGGACTGCGTCTGGACTGCGTCTGGACTGCGTCTGGACTGCGTCTGGACTGCGTCTGGACTGCGTCTGGACTGCGTCTGGACTGCGTCTGGACTGCGTCTGGACTGCGTCTGGACTGCGTCTGGACTGCGTCTGGACTGCGTCTGGACTGCGTCTGGACTGCGTCTGGACTGCGTCTGGACTGCGTCTGGACTGCGTCTGGACTGCGTCTGGACTGCGTCTGGACTGCGTCTGGACTGCGTCTGGACTGCGTCTGGACTGCGTCTGGACTGCGTCTGGACTGCGTCTGGACTGCGTCTGGACTGCGTCTGGACTGCGTCTGGACTGCGTCTGGACTGCGTCTGGACTGCGTCTGGACTGCGTCTGGACTGCGTCTGGACTGCGTCTGGACTGCGTCTGGACTGCGTCTGGACTGCGTCTGGACTGCGTCTGGACTGCGTCTGGACTGCGTCTGGACTGCGTCTGGACTGCGTCTGGACTGCGTCTGGACTGCGTCTGGACTGCGTCTGGACTGCGTCTGGACTGCGTCTGGACTGCGTCTGGACTGCGTCTGGACTGCGTCTGGACTGCGTCTGGACTGCGTCTGGACTGCGTCTGGACTGCGTCTGGACTGCGTCTGGACTGCGTCTGGACTGCGTCTGGACTGCGTCTGGACTGCGTACTGGTTGACTGCGTCTGGACTGCGTCTGGACTGCGTCTGGACTGCGTCTGGACTGCGTCTGGACTGCGTCTGGACTGCGTCTGGACTGCGTCTGGACTGCGTCTGGACTGCGTCTGGACTGCGTCTGGACTGCGTCTGGACTGCGTCTGGACTGCGTCTGGACTGCGTCTGGACTGCGTCTGGACTGCGTCTGGACTGCGTCCTCTACGTCGCACTTGCGCACTGTCAACCGTTAGACAACTCCGCCTTGAAGGCGGAGGGCTCCGCTTGGAATGCGTTGCACACGCTTCAGTGGAGTTCTCCACCACGTTCACACTATGCCAAAATAGAGGGACTCGGTGAGCTACTCCACACTTGAAGTGTGGAGACTGCAAACTTCACACGGTCTAGTGCGGAGACTGCAAACTTCACACGGCCTAGTGCGGAGACTGCAAACTTCACACGGCCTAGTGCGGAGACTGCAAACTTCACACGGCCTAGTGCGGAGACTGCAAACTTCACACGGGCCTAGTGCGGAGACTGCAAACTTCACACGGCCTAGTGCGGAGACTGCAAACTTCACACGGCCTAGTGCGGAGACTGCAAACTTCACACGGCCTAGTGCGGAGACTGCAAACTTCACACGGCCTAGTGCGGAGACTGCAAACTTCACACGGCCTAGTGCGGAGACTGCAAACTTCACACGGCCTAGTGCGGAGACTGCAAACTTCACACGGCCTAGTGCGGAGACTGCAAACTTCACACGGCCTAGTGCGGAGACTGCAAACTTCACACGGCCTAGTGCGGAGACTGCAACTTCACACGGCCTAGTGCGGAGACTGCAAACTTCACACGGCCTAGTGCGGAGACTGCAAACTTCACACGGCCTAGTGCGGAGACTGCAAACTTCACACGGCCTAGTGCGGAGACTGCAAACTTCACACGGCCTAGTGTGGAGACTTCAAACTCCACACATTCTCTAGAAACTGAAGAGAGTGCATGGCATGCTCCTCCTAGGAGTCAACCACAAAGCACACTCTTCCCAGGAGCATGCTTGCAAGCACTCTCTGGAATAAAGCGTGCTGCCTCACTATTATATGGATTCATATCAGCGAAAAGGCACGCTTTCATCCGAGAGAGTGCTTGCAAGCACGCTCCAAGGAAGAGCGTGCTTGCCAAGCATGCTCCTTGGAAGAGAGTGCTTACAAGCATGCTCTTTGGAAGAGAGTGCTTAGTGGTTGACTCCTGGGAGGAGCATGCCATGCACTCTCTTCAGTTTCTAGAGTTTCCTCCACTCCGGGAAGTGTGGAGATCTCCACACTTGGCAGAAACAGACCAACGCTCGCGAGGCTGACCTGGTGGAATGGGAACAGCATGGGGTGCCGCAGCGCGAGGCCGCTCTGGTGCGCCATGGGGGGCGGCATGGAGGCCATGGAGGCCATGGAGCCCATGCCTGGAGGCGGCGGGGGCGGCACTGGCCGGAAGGCGGACCGCGACGCGGGCTGCGGGGACGGCGGCAGCGGCGGCTCGGACGGCTGCGGCGGCAGAGGCGGCCGCGGAGACGGGGGCGGTCGCCGAGCCTCGGCAGCCGCGACCTGGAATCGGCAACACCGCCCTTTAGAACGCCTGCTGCAGGGCCACTGCGAGCAGGGCTCCACCCAGCAGGCCGAGTCGTTCTCGTAACACTGTCTCTCTCGCACAAATGGAGCGTCCCATTGAGATGCGAGAGAGACAGCGCGACGAAAGCGGCTCTCGGAATCAGTGTCCAGCAGCGGGCGATAATTGGGCAGACTCACCGGCGGGCCGAGCCCGTCGTGGCTGGCGCTGCACTGTGCGCCACTCTGCGTGCCCGGCGCGAAGTGGTCGATGGCCCTGAGCAGGTCGTCCTCGCAGCGCTGCAGCACCAGCTCCAGCACGGAGCGCTTCTTGCTGGGGAACAGGCGGGCCAGCAAGTCCAGGGAGGAGGCCGGCGGGGCTGGCCGCGGCGGCGCGGCGGGGGTGGCGGCCGGAAGGGGGCTGGAGGAGAGCCTGGAAGAGGCGAGGCCGAGCGAAGCGCCCTTTCACTTATCCTGCGCACAGTGGGCCAGAAAGCCGGTGGAGGCGGCCAAAATTCTAGATGCGTTTTGAGCCAAAGCGTCGCGACACAGGAGTCAAACCGAACGAGAACGTGTGACCCCACCAATGGATTCCTCGTTCGGAGAGCGATCCATTGGTGGGGTCACACGTTCAGTTCGAGTCCCATCGAGCGACTCTGGCGTAGACATGTGCGCCGACCGCATTTTCATCGGCGGCGGCGTTTGGCCGAAATTTAGCCGGCGGCGGCGGCGACGCCGGCGTCTGCGCCGATGTCTTGATCGGCGGCGGCGGCGGCGGCGCGGGCGGCGTGGTTGACTTAAATTTGGTCTATTTTCTCAATTTAAAAACATGCCCATGAAAAGAAAACACAATTTGATGGACTAGTTCTTTAGGGTGGACTAGTTTCGTTACAAAGGTAAAAGTTAAGCAATTTAAACACTCCAATGAGATTTTGTTCTCGCGGCGGAGGACGTGCTCGTCGGGTTGCCTATCCCTGGGCGCTCGCTGCTGATGGAAATGCAAATATTTAGGGCATTTAAGGTCGCGACGCCGACGCCGCCGCCGGTAAAATCATCGGCGGCGGCGCGGCGGCGCGCCGCAAATTTTCGGTCAGCGGCGGCGGCGTGGTAAAATTTGTCGGCGGCGGCGCAGCGGCGGCGCGGCGCACATGTCTACTCTGGCGCTCAAAGCGCGCCTAGAATTTTGGCCGACCTCACCGGTCTTGTGTCCCACTGTGCTGCGCCGGCGGGCTGATTCTGAGCACTGCTCTCATCACTCCGTCTCTCTCGCACTCACGGGGCTCGCCGGAAGGGAGCGAGAGAGACAGCGTCGAAAGCAGTGCTCAGCTGCCGGAGACACCCCACTCGGACGCGGGGACGCGCGCTCCAGCGAGAGGCCGCCGCGGGAAACCTAAATGCACCGCGAGTGATACGATACCTGCGCCGCCCTCCGCCGTCATCGTGCTCGGCGTGCTCGGCGTGCTGCGCGTCCGCGTCCGGCCCGTCGTCGCGGTCCTCGTGCCGGCCCTCGCTGCCCTCCCCGTCGCCGGCGTCCTCGTCCTCGGCGTTGTTGTTGGAGTCGGAGGCCGCGACCCCGCCTGCGGGGGGAGCGCCACTGGTAATCGGTTTGGTCGAGGACGTTGGCTTTCCGTGCCGCGCGGCGCTGGCTCACCTTTGGGGGCGGTGATGGTCATGCCGAAGATGGGCCCCGGCGGCAGGAAGCCGTACTGCGTGCCGGTGGCCACCGCGGCCAGGCCCAGCGCGATGGCGTCTTCGGCGGCCTGCTGTCTCTTCAGGGCCACCTGCGGCACACGGCATCAAATTTGCCTGCGTCAATGAGCTGGCTCGGGCGCCTGAAAGTAGGCCGTGTCGCAGCACCCCTGACGAGCGGGTGGCCTACGCTCCGGGCCGCAGGGGCGCACGGCCCAGCCAGGCGCAGCCCGCAGCCCGCAGCGCGCACCTGCACTGCAGGAAGACTCATTCCGAGAGTTGCTTTGTCGCTGTCTCTCTCGCACTCATGGCCAGGACGTCCCGTAAAGCTAAGACAGAGACAGAGCGACGTAAACGGCTCTCGGAATGAGTCTGCGGGCTGTCGCCACGCTGTCGCCACGCTGTCGCCTCGCCCGGCCTACCTGTGCCGCCATGACGCGCTGCCGCTCCGCGATGAGGTTGCACTTGGCGCACATGCAGCCCTTGAACCGGCACTGCCGCTTGTGGCCCTTGAGCCACGAGATGATGCCGTGGTTGCGGCAGCGCGCGCACTTGGGCCGACGCGCGCCGCGCTCCGTCGTGGGGTACGACGCCCCCGGGGCGCGCAGCATCGTGGCGCTGGCGAAGGCGATGGGGATCACTAGCGCGTCGCCGCGACCATGCCGTCGCCGCCGTGGTGGCCGCCCGGCCCGTCCCGTCCAGTCACCGACACCGCCTGGCCGATGTCCGCAGATCGGCGCGTTCGACGGTGTCCTCCAGCTACGGTGTCCTCCAGCTGATGCTCTTCAAAATGCTACCACGCGTGTCCTTGAAGCAGTCTCTGCGGTTTCGGTCCAGCCACGAGGTGCCCGAGACCGTCGCGTCCCTCCTCGTGCAAACACGGTGCCACCGTCGGCGGCGCGGCGGCGCGAACGACAAGCGCCCCAGGACGCAGCACGCGGTATCGACGAGGCGCGCGGGGCGGACGGCGGCGCGGCGGGGCGACGCGTCCTGAACCCTCGGATGTTTCCCGTGCATTGTCTCGCCTGGCGCAGCAACAGGGCAACAGAACAGGGAGGCCGTCGTGGGGAGTGGGGGGGGGGGGGGCTGCCGAGGTAGCCTTCCACATGGAGCCCTCGGCGGGCAACACCGACGGACTGTCACTCCGCAGTCCGCGTAGTGGGGGCAGCATCCTCACTCCGAACACTGCTTCGTCGCTCTGTCTCTCTCGCACGCCTGCGGGCTGCGGGGGCTGCGGGCCACCCCAAGAGAGCGAGAGGCGCAGAGCGACGGAAACGACTCTCGGAACCAGTCTGCAGGGCGGCAGGGTGCACAGCGATGCGGGCTCCGTGTTTCGTGGCCGCTCCGCCACTCTCGCACCAATCCGCGGCAAAGCCGGCAAAGCCCCCGCGCGAATCGCGCCCCCGCGGCCCCGGCCGTCGGCACGCCGTGGGCACGCCGTCGGACACGCCCCCTCGACGCCTCGCCGCGGCCGCGCCGCGCCGCCATTGGCTGCCTCTGGCCGCCCCGCCGCCCGGCGCCTCCCCATTGGCCGGCTGGTCTGACTCGCTTCGAGGGGCGGCGAGGACTGGCGAGGACGAGCAGTGCATCGTGGAGGCTGGCTCATCCCGACCAGCCTTTCGTTGCTCTGTCTCGCAGGACTGGGGTGCGAGAGAGAGAGCGCGCGGCAAAGAATCGTTCGGACGCTGCTAGGCACTGCTAGGCCGGCAGGGCGCCTCGTCTTTGTTGCACTCGCGGCTTGTAGCGCACAGCCGTCTGATTCCGAGCACTGCTTTCGTCGCTCTGTCTCTCTCGCACTCATGGGGTGGTCCGTATGGGTGCGAGAGAGACAGAGTGACGAAGCAGTGTTCGGACTCAGACGGCTGTGCGAGCCGAGCCAAACCGGCGGAAGGAGAGAGGCCGCCACGCCGCGACGCCACGACACGTGGAGCGACAGAGAGACACGGCGCGTGTGGCGGGGCGGGGCGGGGCGCTCCAAGTGATCCTGTTACACTGATTGCTAATGTAGATGTGCACACACATCCATCACCGGGGAGGGCGTTATGTATGCAGTGCGGTGTCGCTTACTCGCCCAGATTGCCATTCATTCGCTCGCGCAGTCGTCCAGCCAGTCAGTCACTCAGTCATTCGTTCGTAGTGTGTTCATTCAATCATGATTCAATCGTGTACAAAGGCATTCATGTGTTAGAAGTTCACGCTGGAAACGGTTCATTCATTCATTCATTCATCTGATTCATCTTCATTATTCATTCATTATTCATTCATTCTCATCAGTTCATTCTTCACATTCCATTCATCAATTCATTCATTCATTCATTCATTCATTCAGCAATTCATTCATTCAGCAATTCATTCATTCAGCAATTCATTCATTCATCCATCCATTCATTCATTCGAACCTTTCTTTCAGCATTGCACTGAAAGACCAAACATTGGTCTGGTGTGGTCAGATGGCAGCATCAGTGTGGTCTCTTGACCACGTTTGGTGTGGTCTTTCCATGCAACGGCCACGTTTGGTATTTCAGTGTCAGTGTGGTCCGGGCTGCTATGTTCATATAGCCAGGCGCAAACTGTAAACTGTACCCCCGGCACACTGATGCCTGGGGTCTGTAAAGTTAAACCGTGCGCATGGATGCTTGCATGCATGCATGCATGCATGGGTGGCGGATCGCTACGGAATCTACTCAGAAGGCTATTGTTTTCATCTGGCATGCCCAAGCAGAGTGACCAGCCTTAGAAGTGTGTAGAATTGATAGCACGTGACTTAGCATGAGGTAGGAATTTTCAGCGCGCGGAGCGCTCATTGTCGTGTTATCATCATGCATTGCACCATCCATCACCCTGTGCTATGTATGCTTCCAATGTCCTTTATCTCATGCCATTCATTCTCGTCTTCAGCATTCATCATCATCATTGTTACAATGTCATTCAATTGGATGAAAACGAACAACCTTTGTGATCAGCTGGAGGTCTCCCATGGCGATCTCAGCAACATCATTGCATTCATGTCATGCAGCAATCATACCATGCGCATGATTAACTTACAGACCCCTGTTGGTTTGTCTACACCAGAGGCGTGCTACCGGGCTCTTACTGAACTTGCTCTTGACCGGTGGCGAAGACTCTCCATGGGGGTGTACATGGCCAGGGCAAGGAATGGGCTCTCGCACAGGCCGATAGGATCAGCCTTCCCGCCGTCGACCCGTCGGTGCCCCCAAGGTAGGCGAACATTGTCTACGATGCACCAGCGTCGTAAGTGTTGCCAGCGCTCAGCCTGCCTCGCGGACAACATGGGCAATAATTTGGTCTTTGCTCTCGAGAATTTGCCTGGCCATACTGAGGTTGGCAACCCTTTCGACGCGGTGCATCGAGGGCAGGCAGGACGTGCAGGGCGCACAGGTCGTCGAGCAGGAAAAAGTGAAACCCGGACCACTTTGGGATACACCCAAAAGCCCTCGTGCTCGTCCTTTCCGTGGCGTCGGCCGATGCACCATTCCGCTGCAGCGACAAGGCGCCGGCGCGGCACTGCCGAACTGTCCGACAATGGCCGGGGGAAGCCCCATTAGGCCAATTACCTCGAGGCCCACGAGGCCGCCGGGCCGGGCCGCTCTCCACTGAGTGAGATCTTCTTGAAATCGAGTCTGTCGACCTTTGAGCCCGTTTAGCCCGTTTAGCCAGGACGGTGACGTGTCTGGCGGTCTTTAATGTGGCGCGGTCGCGCGGCCTCAGCTGCCGAATCAAGAATCGTGTCGGAGTGGGATGTGCGATACGGTACAGTTGTTCGATACTGATACCCCTGAGGACTGGTTCCGAGAGTCGTTTTCGTCGCTCTGTCTCTCTCGCACCTACATGGGACGCTCCACGAGTGCGAGAGGCAGTGCGACGAAAACGACTGCCGGAATCGGTCTGCAGCTCGGACGCGAGACACGAGCGCATCGAACCCTCGTTTCTGTGGCTGGCCTGAAGGCGACTAGGCTAGCCATGCTCTTTAGCTGTGCTACCCCCAAAGGCTTCATCTGGGAGGAGCGGGGCAAACCGCCCCCATGCGTCACCGATAAGGTATTGCCGTTGCCGTCCTGCTGCATCTTGGGAGTTTCAAAAAGTGCCTGCGGGGAACACAATCGAAGACGCAGGAGGGCTGCTCCGCTGTCCGACGGGATGCCTATCACTCAGGGGCGCTGTTGATCGGCGCGGTGTGCTTGGACATAACCTACAGCCGTTCGCACCGCGTCACCACCTCTTGTACATGCCTGTTTGTGGCCACAACGTTGTGGCATCAAGAACGCTGCGCGCTACGTCTGTTCCACTGCGTGAAGGTTCAGCCGCCATTCTTCGCCTTGCGGACCCTTCAACGCCTGCGAGGTAGGCCACCGGCCCGGCCCGCAACACGCCGCTGTGGAGACGGTGGCCTACCTCGCGCCTTTCGTCTTCACAGGGGCGAGGTAGGCCACCGTCTCCACGGCGGCGTGTTGTGGGCCGGGCCGGTGGCCTACCTCGCAGGCGCCTTTGTGGCTTCTAGGACTTGACCAGGCTGCTCAGGCAAGCAGGCGGCTGCCAAATACACACGATGAAACAGCATGTGTGGCCACAACAGTGGCGGATCCAGGGCAGCCTTAGCGGGGGGCTCAGTAGCACTTTTTGCCCTCAGACAGGAGCCTCTGTGGAGTCCATGGGCTTGCTGGCTGTAGGAGTGCCGACGGCGTTTCGGTGTTATCCTCTCGCCCGGACGAAACTGCGAATAACGACTAGATCTGGACCACGCCCACGCCCACCCGGCAGCCCGCGGCGCTAGTGCTGGAGCTGCCAGGCTGCGGGGCCTAAATCTAGCGCTTGGGAACAATCACCTTGAGCCCCCTCCCCCACTGCGAACTTCGCGAGGCCATGGCACGGCGGGGCGGGGCGCGGCGGGGCGGGGCGGGGCGCGGCGGGGCGACGCGGCCAGACAGACGGGGAGACGCGGCGCCGGCAAGCTGAGTGGCATTTGGTTGCAACTTGGCAGCGCGAGCGCGCCTCCGCCCAGTTACGCCCGAAGGTTAAATTTATCAAGACAGGAGTGAGCGTCGTGCCGTGCCGTTTGCAACCGCCATCGCCATGCCCGTGGGGATTCGCATCCAGTTCGACAGCCCCTACGCCACGTACTATGCGGGGCAGACCGTCACGGGGCGGGTCTATGTTAGTGTCGACAAGCCCAAGAGGATCAGAGGTGGGTACTTTGGTCTGGTCTAACCTCAACGGTTGGTTTGTGCTGGGTTGGGTGCACTCTCAACGAAAGGATCACATTTTTTTGAGTCCTCCTGTCACTTGAATGGAAGTGCGTGACATCTCCGAATGAATGAGTTTTGCTGTCATGACATTTGCCGTGTGTGTAAGGTTAGACGTCTGTATGCAAAGTCTCTCCCCACCTAATAACTTTTTAAATGTATTTTGACAGCTATTACCTTCAATATAAAAGGAGAGGCGCAAGTGAAATGGCAGGAATCCGAAAACAAGAAGGATGCTCAAGGCAAGGATTACACAGATTACACCGATTTTACTGCACAAGAAACGTACTATGAAAACCAGTATTATTTGTTTGGAAGCGCCAATGGTAAGCTATAACGTTTTATTTTCTTTCACCATTGTTTGGTTTTAAAGTTCTTGTGCGGTTATCATACCTTCCTTTACTCTTCCCAGGTGATGTTGAGCTAGCTCAAGGTGAATACACCTATCCATTTTCAAGCCAGATTCCACCCACTGCCCCCTCTTCCTTTGAGGGTGAATTTGGGCACATTCGCTACACTGTCAAAGCAACTCTCGACCGTCCTTGGAAATTTGATTCTGACGCTAAAGCGGCTTTCACTGTGGTCGCCCCACTGGACCTCAATGGACTTCCTCAGGCTAAAGTATTAAAAACCATGGTGCAACTGATGTATGTGGCTTTGCTCATACGGTTGTGTCTCAAACCAAACCTCTTAATTTCAGGAACCTGTTGAGTTTGAAAAGAGCAAAAGCTTTTGCTGCCTTTGGTGCAAATCTGGACCACTTACTTTGACTGTTAAATTACCAACAAGTGGCTATGTGCCTGGTCAGACTATTCCTTTCCAAATTGAAATTGAAAATGGGAGTAATATTCGTGTTCGGCCAATCAACTGTGTACTACGCAAGGTAATTCAAACTCTTTGAAATTATTTGTGTATGTTTTCAATCTTAAGTATGTACTAATCTGAACTATATCTGCACTTCTGTATTTTATAGGAAGTGACATGGCACGCAAAGAACCCTTACAGCAAGACCAATATAACAAAGACAAAACTGGCAGACTTGGCTGTGGATGCCGAGGTTTTGCCTCACAACTCTGCATCCTTTTCTCAAGATCTCACCGTGCCTGCCGTACCGCCATCAAATTTGGCCAACTGTAGTATCATTGATCTTCAATATGTGCTCAAGGTCTGTCAGCGTTCTGACTTTACAAACATTATTTTGTTCTCGTTTCAGCTTCATAATCCAGTGTCATTCTTCCCAGGTTGAGGCTGTTGTTGGTGGCTTACACAAGAACTTGAGCGCACGGATTCCCATTGTGATGGGGACCATTCCACTTCTGACAGGGCCCACAGCTTACAAGCCTGGAGGCATGGTTGTCCAACCTTCGCAACCTGTTCCCAACCCGTCATCTCCAGCAGCTCCTGCCCCAACTCCAACACCAACCCCTGCTCAGCGAGATGTCTCCCCTGCACCTCCTGTCGGTGGTGGATGGAATCTCCCTGCACCTGGGGACCCCACAACGCCTCCAGCAGCCAATGGCTCTGTCGCACCTAGCGCTCCTCCACTATACCCTCAATTGCGTAAGTATTCCACTACACCTTCTATCAAGACAGGTTTACCTTTGTCTTTTCTTCTATTTTATAAAATTGAGTCTCAATTATTTTTGCTTAGCACCTCCAAGTTATGAAGAGAGCATCTTTAAGGGGAATACAATCAAGGATGCATCTGATAATGAATACACCATGGGTATCCAGGACTTCACTCCTCGCTACCCTGTGTGGTCCTTTGGCCCTGTCGGCCCAGACAGCCCTGCTGCCGCTCCGCCAAAAAAAGAAGCCTGAATATGAGAAGTCCAGTCGAGTTCAGAACCAATGTGAAGTTGCTTTGACAATAATTTGCCTTGAGCTTTTGATTGCTTTGTGATATTGTTACAGAACATATGAATTTTCAGTTTTATACCTATTTATTATATTATTGAAGGTTTATGTGATGTAAAAGTCAATCTCAGATCTGAACCCAGTAAAATTTTTGTCTTGCTGGGATATTTTTTCATGCACAATTTTCTTTACAGTAGTTTGCCTGGCTTTGTACATTACATTTTTAAAATCTCTTTATTTATTTTTAACTTGTATTTTTTACTAATTAGAGTGATTAGAGGAATTGTTGGCAATACTAACAAAATGCTTTTGCTATGTAGATATTTTTATCTGTAAAATTGGTTTTGGAGACCAACATTTATTTTATCGTCATTGACAGCTTTTCTGAGCTGTGCTTTTACAACTACAAATAATTTTGAAAAATGCATTGTTAGCCTGTTTTTTAGGTACCTTGTCATTCTTGTAGCCACTCAAACTAAGATTTTATTGCTATGTATTCCACAAATGTCTTGCACAAATAATGTGGCAACCAATTCTTGAATATTTTTTGATATTTTGTTTTTGTTACTGATGCAGTGATAAGACTGTTCAAGCGCTGTTAATTGTGGCAAGTGTATCACAACATAAAGTAGATCTGACACTGTCAAAGCTAAACGCAACTACTTCTTCTCCAATTCCCTAATCCGAATGGACAGCCATTTTTCTTGAATGCTATCCTGTGGTTTATTTAACAGTCAATGGGATTATTGTAAAAAAAAAAGACATAATAGATAAAGAGTCATTTACAAAAATGATTTTATTTGAGAAAGGGGTGCTGGCTGCCCTTGAAGTGAGAATCAGCAATTTAAACATCACAAATGATTTCAATATGGCAGTGTTGGGTAAGTACTAAAACACTGAATGTACGAAATATCAAAGGAGAAAATATTTTGTTTGGTATTTATGCATACTTCAGTTATCTTCAATTTGAATTTTCAAACTTGAAACTCTCTGTTCTTTTAAAAGTTACTCTGATCCTGAGCAGGATCGTCAGTGTCTAGTTCCTCTAAGTTAGGAGAAACTCCATTAAGTAGTCTATTTAGTCTTTTACCAATTAGTTTGGGATAAGTCTTAGTTTTTATAAGAAATTCTTTACTTTGGTGAGTGACAGCACCATGGTCTAATTGAAAATCACAGAGGGCTTTCAGAGGTTTCAGAAGAATTTCACGGATGTCTTCTCTGTCTTCTAAGATCGTCAATGCTAGGGCAGCAGTCTCTAAGGTTGAGAGACAACCCTCTGTTGGTTGTGTGCGTATCACATACTCACTGGTACCCGTTGAAAGCAGTTTTACCTGATAATCATTCATTCATCTGGAATTAGTATTTGAATGGTAAGATCCTATTTTCAACACTTGAGATTGATGACTTACTTGTCTCATGGAATGTAAGAGTGGGCTGCTATGATATATGGCCTTTGCTTGTGGCCAGGTTCCATCCAATAGAAACAAATTATACGAATCAAATCCACCAGAAGGTAACTTGGGCAATTCTGCTAAGTTCACAGATTGAGGAGATGGGTAAAGAAGGACAGAGTTGGGCGCTGTCATTATTTCCTCCAAACCGGAATGCCTAAATTTGAATTAGAGAAATTTAAAAGAAGTTTAAAAAAGAAATTTAAAAAATAGTTGAATAAAAAATTTAAAATACCCAAAAGATAAATAGAGCTACCTATTGTGAGGAAACTTTTTTCCTTTAAAAATGAGGCAGAAACCAGGTGCAAGACCAAGTGACAACATGGGAACTGTTCTCAAGCACCTCTTTTCTTCTGCGGGATGCTGCAAAATCACCAGACGACATTTTGTAATCAAAGGAGATGCTGGAAGATATGCGCACCAACAAACAGGTTTTGGCCTCCTGGAAAAGACAATTTTTAATGTGAGTACATTATGATACACCTTCCATGACAAGTACCTTGATCAATCAACCCAATTTGGTGGCAAAATGCTGTGAGTAAAAAGTGTTGTAATACTATTATCTGAATTTGTATAGAATTTATATCAAAACTATTCTGTATTGAAACATACCGACAATTTTCGCAAAGTTCTCTCATGGCTGGAGGGTCAGCCGGAATTCCCATCAAATCTTCCCAGGCCTCTTGGAAGTCCTCAGACATGGTAGTGTTGTTTTTGTTGGTGAGTCTGAGCTGTAAAAATGCCAGATTCAGAAATGCAGTTTTACAGTTTTCTTGAGGTTATGTTGTTGTGTTGCTTAGCACACGCTGGAGAGCAGACGTACAAAGCAGACGACTCATACCTTCAAGAATATTTCAGAAGGTATAGTGTTTGTCAGTTTTCTTATTTGTTACCCTGCAAACCAAATTTGTCCCAGAAATAATGAGGAACCATAATTTCACATTTAAAAACTGTAATAACCATAATAACCGTCACCTTTGACGAAAAATCGTGCGGGTGTACCTTGTTCTTGTTGGCACTACTCACGCCCGCAACAATTACCAACCTACCAACTCACAGTCCCCAAAATGTCGTGAAGGGCTAATATTTAGTTTATGAAATACGTCCAAGCCACTTATTCTGTTCTGAAAAGTCTCATAATTTTTTAAGAATCCAGCTGATTTTCTGTTGAAGTCAAGAAAAAAAATGCTGTTTTCCCCTTGTTTTTGATCGATCTGTCACTTTGACATATTCAACAGTTTCTCACAGTTCACACCGGGTGATAAACTTGATGATTTGTTTAGATTTGGTTCTCACAAATGGATTTCAAGGCAATGCGACATGCCAAATACTTTCAACGTTTTCTCAACATTCTTCCTGCTGATACAAGCCACTATGATTCGACGAGGTGATCTTGGGAGAAGTTATTGCTGTCTGTTTACAGTGCTCATAACCCTAAAATATTAATAAACTTGAAATTTTTGTCCAAATTTCAGGCTTGTTATGTGTTTTTTCGCCGTTTCCGGGCTGGATCTTCTCGATGCGTTAGATCAGTTATCCGATGAAAAGAAAGAAAATATTCGGAATTGGGTATACCATTTGTTACTTCAATCCAAAGACTCTGGTTTGTTTGCTACTTTCATTTTATATTGGACAGAAATGAAGTTACAACATCTCAACACATGGCATTGATACTACCCCTCTTACAGGTGGTGAGGATGGTCCTGCGCGATGGGGATTCCAGGGATCGAGTACCCTTATCATGCCTCCTGCAACAGGTGTGGTTGATCACTCGGAGCCCTACACTTGTAGCCATGTCAGCATGACATACACTGGGCTGGGTACACTATTGATTCTTGGGGACGACTTGTCTCGTGTAAATAAAAGAGATATTGCGGCTGGACTTCGGGCTTGCCAACAACCAGATGGAAGGTAGAGATGTGTATTGTGAAGGACTTTTTTTTTTTGCACAGCTCTTCAATAATGTTGTTACTTTCAATTTTAGCTTTTGTGCTGTATTGCCTGGTAGTGAATGCGATATGCGCTTTGTATACTCTGCCGCAGCTGTTTGCTATATGATTCAAGATTGGAGTGGCATGGACGTTGACCTTGCAACAAACTACATTATTCAAAGTTTAGTAAGTGTGCCCCATCTGCAAATCGAGAGATTCACTTTTATATTATTTTAATGCTTGCTTCCGACCTTGTGTCACTTTTAAGCAATATAATTTTGTCTTTTCTTGCAGTCTTATGACAATGCTTTTGCTCAAGGCCCAGGATTAGAGTCTCATGGAGGTCACACATTTTGTGCTGTAGCCAGCCTTTCCCTTATGGGAACACTTCATTCATCGTTGTCACAAAAGCAACTTGAGGGATTACGAAGATGGTGCCTCATGAGACAAGAAAGCGGTTTCCAAGGTAGGCCCAACAAGCCAGTAGACACTTGCTATTCATTTTGGATTGGAGCAACATTGAAGGTCAGTATAAGTTCAAACTTTTTGTCCGTAGTGTTCCTTAAGCTACTTCATTAAAAATCATTTCCTCTTCTAGATAATTGACTCCTATGAATTGATTGATAAAGCAGAAAATCGCAATTTCATTATGGCTACTCAGAGCAATATCATTGGTGGTTTCTCAAAATGGATTAGTACCTCTGTTGAACCATTGCACACTTATTTTGGTGAGTTTGCAGAATTTGACCGTATTCTTGTTACAAATTTATTACCTTTGCATTTTCTCTTACGCAATAATTCTTTCCATGTAGCTCTTGCTGGACTGAGTCTACTAAAAGAACCTGGTGTTTTAAGTATCCACCCAGAACTCAATTTAAGCCATCGGACTGTAGAACATTTGCACAAATTACACTCGCAGTGGAAGAATTGCTAGGTGTGCCGTGTTGTATGAATGAAAAGTAATGATGATAATGTCCATATCATACATTTTTAATTTCAATGTTATCATGCCTCTAGTACTGTTGAATTCACCTCAAACTAGTCTCATATAATGTGATACCGCTTTTAAGGAGTGTTCACTAAGATCTGAGGCATGAAAAATGTCAAATTCAGTCAGTTTTTTGTTTTAAATATTTTACTTACATACTGAATGTTGGTCCATCAAAGTATTCATATCATATCTTCTATTTTATGATGTTTAATTTTTCTCTTGCTAACATGAATACATCTGTGATTTTTTTCTGAAACAAAAATGGTAATGGTATCTATCTTCCAGTCCGTATGCTGCATAGTCAATTCTGTTATATGTTTTGTTGTAATTATGAAATTGTCTTGAATCATGATTTAGTGAGAGAGGTATTTTAAACCTTTCCCAACTAATTCATCAATATTTCCAAATAATGAAAATATTGTTGCACAAATCAGCTCTGTAAACATATGCACAGTCATCCTTGTACCTGGATCTCTGAGGGGATCACTTACTGATTGTAAGCACACTTTGTTTACCATTAAAAGATCCCAGTTACATGAATTAACTATAATGAAATTGTCACTAAATCCAGCCAAAATGGTTTGGCTTGGTTAATATTTCATAGTATAGCGTACAGTTATTTTATTGAATAATGCGAATAGAATGAACTAGAACCTCTCTTTGATAGTCGACCTGTGGTTTCTAATTTTTTTTCTACCTAAATATGTTGAAAAATTGTATTATAAATGCCGCTGTAAAAAACAAACGTACAATAAATGACAGAGGCCTGAAATGTTCCATCTGCATCTTGTTTTCCGTTGGAAAAGGAAAAAAAAAGGAAGTGGGCGGTTGTGTGTGACAAATAGGCCATAAGGATGGGTCGCCTACCTTCGAGGGACAACGTTCCCCGAAACTTGAACTGATGATACCAGATGCCAAGTGGAAAACTGACGCAAAGCTACCAAGTCAGGGGTTTGAACCCAGGCCCTACTCGCGGGGGCGACAGGCGACACTCGTGCCCACTGCGCCACTGCCAGACTTCCGAGTCTTGTGTCTAACTCAGGCTGATGCTACGGGTAGCGGTAACGGTGGAAAAAGAAACAAGAGCCTGGGAATCGAACCCAGGTTCAACTTTCGGGCGTGGCAATATTTCGTTTTCACCCGTCTTCCCTGTGACGTGCCAAATGGGTGGCCTACCTTGAGGGCGGGGCTCTGGACCATAAATTATGGCAATGAGCATGGGAAGGCAATCCTGGCTGCAAGAATAGACAACTCTTGTTTTCCCTAGTAAAATGCAAAAGATTTCCCCTCATTGGCAAATGTGACTAAAGTTATGTTTTGATTTGTTAGATTTGTTAAGTATTTGTAATGTGCAGAAACATGTGACGTGATATGGGTAGCAAAATTGAAAGAGGTACTCAAAATTAGTTTTGTAATTAATCTTTTATTAAAGAAAACTAAACATAAACACGGTGCATAGGAGGCAACAACACTTAAATAGCTAGGTTTTAAACACTGCTAACTAGTCTTAACTTAAATCTAATCAGTCGTAGTGTTGAATATTTACAGACATTTTGCTAGCAAAGTTACATCACAATCAAAGTAAGCACATAAATTAAATGAGAGATGAATTGACAGTCCAGCACTGGAATGATAAATAATAAAAAATGAACTCTAGTTTTGGACAGCATGACTTAATCAACCTCCTCGACGGTGGGGCCGCTGCGGTGGGCGCCGCCAGCCTGCTGGCCGCAGCCCTGTGCTTGAGGCCCTGCCTGCCCGCCGGTGTGCAGGCGGGTCATGACGTCCTGCACCTGCTGCTGCAGCTCCTTGAGGCGGTGCTCGTACTCCTCCTTCTCGGCCAGGGTGTTGCTGTCCAGCCACTTGAGGGTGGCGTCGCACTGCTCGCGTGCCCGGGCGCGGTCCTGCTCGGACAACTTCTGGCCCGCCTCGTCCAGGGCCTGCTTGATGCTGAAGACGTACCCCTCGAGCTGGTTCCGCGCGGCCACGCGCTCCCGCTGCTTCTCGTCCTCGGCCTTGTACTGCTCGGCCTCGTCCAGCATGCGCTTGATCTCCTCGGCGGATAGGCGGCCCTTGTCGTTGCGGATGGTGATGTTCTGCGAGCGGCCGGAGCTGTTGTCCTTGGCGGTCACGTTGAGGATGCCGTTGGCGTCCATGTCGAAGGTGACCTCGATCTGGGGCACGCCGCGCGGTGCGGGGGGAATGCCCGTCAGGTCGAAGGTGCCCAGGCGGTTGTTGTCCTTGGTCATGGCGCGCTCACCCTCGTACACCTGGATGGTGACGGCCGGCTGGTTGTCCGCGTACGTGCTGAAGGCCTGCGTCTGCTTGCAGGGGATGCGCGCGTTGCGCTCGATGATCTTGGTCATGACGCCGCCCGCCGTCTCGATGCCCAGGGACAGCGGCGCCACGTCCACCAGCAGCACGTCCTGGATGGCCTGGCTCTGGTCGCCGGACAGGATGGCGGCCTGCACCGCCGCTCCGTACGCCACCGCCTCGTCCGGGTTGATGGAGAGGTTGAGCGACTTGCCGTTGAAGAAGGTCTGGAGCATGGACTGCACCTTGGGGATGCGCGTGGAGCCGCCCACCAGGACCACGTCGTGGATGTCGCCCTTGCCCAGCTTGGCGTCCTGCAGGGCGCGCTCTACCGGGGCCAGGGTGGAGCGGAACAGGTCGGCACACAGCTCCTCGAAGCGCGCGCGGGACACCTTGGTGTAGAAGTCGATGCCCTCGTACAGCGCGTCGATCTCGATGGTAGCCTCGGTGGAGGAGGACAGGGTGCGCTTGGCGCGCTCCGCCGCGGTTCGCAGACGACGCAGGGCGCGCGGGTTGGAGCGCATGTCCTTGTGGTACTTGCGCTTGAACTCCTCGGCCAGGTGGTTCACCAGACGGCTGTCGAAGTCCTCGCCGCCCAGGTGCGTGTCGCCGGCCGTGGAGCGCACCTCGAACAGGGAGCCCTCGTCGATGGTGAGGATGGAGACGTCGAAGGTGCCGCCGCCCAGGTCGAAGATGAGCACGTTGCGCTCGCCCTTGAGGTTCTTGTCCAGGCCGTACGCCAGGGCCGCGGCAGTGGGCTCGTTGATGATCCGCAGCACGTTGAGGCCCGCGATGACGCCCGCGTCCTTGGTGGCCTGCCGCTGGCTGTCGTTGAAGTAGGCGGGCACCGTCACCACCGCGTCGCGCACCGTGCTGCCCAGGTACGCCTCGGCAGTCTCCTTCATCTTGGTCAGCACCATGGAGCTGATCTCCTCCGGCGCGAACACTTTGCGCTCACCCTTGAACGAGACCTGGATCTTGGGCTTGCCGGCCTCGTTGACCACGGTGAAGGGCCACTGCTTCATGTCCTGCTGGATCTTGGGGTCGTCGAACTTGCGGCCGATGAGTCGCTTGGCGTCGAACACGGTGTCCTTGGGGTTCATGGCAACTTGGTTCTTGGCCGCGTCGCCGATGAGGCGCTCCGTGTCGGTGAAGGCCACATAGCTGGGGGTGGTGCGGTTGCCCTGGTCGTTGGCGATGATCTCCACCTTGCCCTGCTGCCACACGCCCACGCAGGAGTAGGTGGTGCCCAAGTCGATTCCCACGGCTGGCATCTTGACTGAGATGATTCACTGACTTGGTTGAAAACACACGGTTCGATGACACTTGATAACAAGGAGGATGTGAAGCCTCGCTGATGATCACGAAATCACTACACAGAACGTCGATGCACACGAGGAAAACGCTGGTAAAGCTTAGACTCGCTTTAGCGCTCGCTCTGAATCGTTTGATAGCTCGTTGAGAACTGAACTGCCGACGAGCGGCGCGCGCTGCTTTTATGCGCGGCCCAGCGCGTGGTGGGGGCAGCCGCCGATTCGAAACCGTCCCGCTGCTTCGCGCGCTTTCTCGGCGCTCTCGAATGTTCTCGACGCGCGCTCTGATTGGCCAGAGCCGGAGTGGCGGGGGAACGGGCCTCCCCCCTGGCCTAGTGGGCCTCCCCTTCCACTCGTCGCGAATATTCTAGCGGTGCCTGCCCTGCCAGATGCGTGCAAAGATGTTTCATCGTTGTAAATATATACCTAGAATTTAAAAATAATTCCCCGTTTCCTTGCACGACAATAAATTGGGGCCATGATGTCACTCAAAAGTTTGTACCCTACCGGTACCACTCGTGAAGTGCTAGTTCTAAAGCAACGGTACACACAAAATCTATGTGTGTTCTACTCAGTACACTCCTCGAGTCGCGAGCTTACAAGCATGCACTTCGAGGCGTGTACTTGCCTAAGCACGCACCTAGAAGTGTGTACTGTGTACACACATAAATTTTGTGTGCAGTTACGAAAGCACACCACAAGCTTTTTTTTTCAGCGCTATTTCAAATTTGAACAAAGATATTGGTCATAGAAATGCTGAAACTTCGTGTAGCTCACCAAGTACGAAGGGCAGACCAAAACCACAACCCATTCCCCAAAGGTACCACACCGAATGCGCTCTGCTCAAAGTTGGGCCGGTCATGGAATTTCTTTCCCAATGGTACCATACTGAATGCCTTGTCTTACGCCTACACAAATCTGCCTCCAGATTTGTTCTGGTACCGATACTTTTTGAGGGCGAGTTGCACAAGTCAAGCACTGTTTTTCCCATTTAGTCTATGGTTTTTCCCCTGCTTTGCTCGTTTTAATTCTCTCTCTCTCTCGCAACCCTACGGTAAGCTTACGCCCCATGAGTGCGACAGAGACAGATGACGAAACTCCATGATTCTGAAAATTGCCTGTCTCTCTAGAATTATTCCGGAATTTTCCTCGAGCTCCGAGCGTCCTTCCCTTGCCCGTATCCCCCCGCCCCCCTCAACCCCTCGGACGACGCTTCCAGCGGCTACCGCGGTCCCTTCGAGAAGATACTCCGTGCACCTCTCTCTTGCCTTGTGTCGCTACCCCACGCTCATCCATATGCACCAACGTAAATAAAAAATTCTGGACATTTAAGTCACCCCCAATGCACAATCAGGAACAAATTACTGTTCAAATGTACTCTAGGTTTGCTCATATTCTAGATATTTATTTTTAATCCCGATATATCCCTAGCCAAGTCAATTTGAAAATTTTCCGAAGTAGGTCGTGCTGGGTCATGCGCGATGTTGCTTTTGAGTGAATATTTTGAGGTTGGAGTTTTCGTGGCGTAGAACAAAAACAAACAATTTAAATGCCGATCGGAAGTGGGTCCTCTGGCACCTCAAGATGCTGGGTTCCAGGATGCAAAAACAACAAGGTTCCTGAAATGTTGAAATCTGCTGCCAAGTTATTTAAGTTTCCAACCAGAGATTTGGCCAGGTACCATAACTACATGGAGATTGCTTTGCTTGGTGTTTCAGTGATGATTTCTGTTTCGAGCCGGTTTCTGATCTAAGTACTATTTCTTTTCAGATGCAGGGAATGGGTGAAAGTTTTGGGCTCAGAAAAATTGCTGTCCTGCAACCCCGACCAACTGAAAAATAAGACCGTTTGTGATGCACATTTTCGTGACTACGAAGTCCGGAGGAATAACACCAAGACCACTCTGGTTACCTCTGCCATCCCTTCAAAACTCCCATATGGAGTGGGTCCACTTCCTGATGAACTCGTGGAGCGATGGCCTCGACAGAAAGAAAATCAATGTGGAGGAGAGCTTGACTCCACTGTGAGTGCGCTGCAACCACCTGTGGCTGAGAGTGCTCCGGTTCCCCTCAAGGAACATGTCAGCAAATCTTGATCATCAAGCGTCAGCTGCAGGACCATCACACTATCCAGATTTCCTAGAGGTTTTTTTTGAGCCCGGCTCAGTGACAAAGGTGCCTGTTGAAATTGGCCATGAGGAGGATTTAAGTAAGTTACCCAATCCTTGAACCTGGTCCGTAATTCTTTCAACTATACTGCCTTTACAATGCCCTTTGCTCTCCTTAATCGCTCATCATAGACATCTTGTTCTTTCCTTTTTACTCAAACAATTTCTCTCGTCTTCTCTGACTGCAGGTGGTGATTGGGAACTCATGGACTACGTTGTGTTTCGTCGCAAGAAAGATGGCACCCTTCGTGCATTACCAGCCTCTTTGAGACTCCATTCAAGACCCTAAGTGGTAAGTTGTTTCATTCTTACTTGAAAGCTCACGATTTCCAGTAAGTGTCTTTTACATGTTTTCCCTTTCCCTTCATTCACATAATAGTGCAGTGAATGCCAAGTCAAGGATACCTAAGCTATTGTACAAATCAGTGGGAACTCCTCTTTCTTTTTTCTCCTTCAAACTTCCTGATGCTAGCTGTGACAAGAACCTTGTAGCCTCACAGTTCATTTCTGTGATGAAACGAATTCATCTTGTAACAACTCACCATGGTACTTTCATGAAAAACTGGCATTCTGTGTAATAAATATATGTAACATTCAAAAAATATTTTTTGCGTGGATTTTCATTTGTGAGCGGCTCACCTTATGTGAGGTTCCTCTTTTTGTTGACTGTTTCAGTTCATAGCTGTTGCTGATCCCTGGCTGATCCCTCGACAGAGCAACTTCTTTACTCTGGACTTGCACCACGAGTCATGAAAGCCCATGAATTTTGTGCTGCAGCTGTGATTTCTGCTCGCCCCAGTTTTCCACCTCACCAGTCCTAGCAAATATTAGGTAAGCATCGAGTAGTCATCTATTAGCTCAGTTCCTTCAAGTTTTATTGTGGTGCTGATTGCTCGATTTTCTTGGCCGTTCCAGAATGCCCTCCGAGCTGCGCGAGTCTTTCCCTTTACCCCCCACTCCACTTCTCTGCCCGATCTAGAACGTTGCCGACCCTCCCCGCGGCCCCTTCGAGAAGATACTCCGTGCTGCTCGCGTAGCGTAGACGCGTAGCTACCCCACCTCCATCTTCCCCCACTCCCCTGCCAGGCACGCTCTCGACCGCTCCCGAACCTTCCCGAGTCTCCCAGGAGCGCCGCGACTCGACGAGAGTTCGCGGGCCTTCCCCCTCCACCGACTGGCCGGGGAGCGCGCTCTTATAAAAGCAGTTGTGGGGGCTGGACCCGGCAGTTCCGTTGGAGCATCCTCAGAGCGCACTTCGCACTCAGCGTCTCCGCCTCCGAGTGTCGGGCATTCCCTGCGTTGTCGGATCAGTGCTGTTGCTGTCCACTGCTGTTTAGCGACTTCCTCACTCTCGCCTTGCCGAAGTCATTTGAGTTGACGAGTCATCGAGTCCGTGAAGTTTGTGGAGCTGCGATTCCTGCTCGCCTCAGCCTTCCATCCCACCAGTCCTACTAAATCAAAGGTAAGCTTCTAGTGTCTATGTCGTGGCCCAGTCCCTTGATGCTTTATTCGTCTCGGTTGTCATCGCGGCGCTAACTGTTCCGTTTCTGCCCCAGATGTCTCTGCTTCCGTACATCCTCGGTGAGCTCCGCGACCTGTCTGGCTCCGATGTCTTCGCTTCGGCGGCGCCGCGCCGCCACCACCACTTCCACCCGTACCGCCGCTGGGCCGACGTGGACGTGGACCTCGACGACGTGCTGCTCGACGACTCCCGGCCCACGCTGCTCCGCCTGCTGAGCGACGACTCCCCGCGCTACCTCGTGGCACGCCCCCGCAAGCGCCGGGCCGGCGCGCTGGACAAGAAGGCCGTGGCCGTGAAGAAGACCGCCGACGACCGCCACGCCCTGGCCATCGACCTGGACGTGCAGCAGTTCCGGCCCGAGGAGTTGTCCGTGCAGGTGCTCAAGGACCAGGGCGTCGTCGTGATCGAGGGCCACCACGAGGAGCGCCATGAGCACCCCGACGAGCACGGCTTCGTGCGCCACCACTTCTCGCGCCGCTTCAAGGTCCCCGACGGCGTGGACCCGGACACCATCACCTCCAGGCTCACGGTGGACGGGACGCTGCAGGTGACGGCGCCGCGGAAGGAGGCCCTGCCCGCCCCCAAGGAGACCAACGTGCGGAACGTCCCCATCGCGCACCCCGAGAAGGCCGCCCTGGCCGCCCTGGCCCAGGGCACCGCCAAGCAGACGGAGAAGGCGTCCGAAGACACGCCGGACAGTGAGATCCAGAAGGTGGACTAGCTTAGCATTTCTCATTTGTTCAGACTGATTTTATGTTAGGGTTTCTTTAATTTCCAATTTTTTACCTTTATTTATTGCGAGTCCTTTGATTGTGTTCACGTGTGTTTGCGAGCGTCGTCAGTGTCATTAGTGTTAGTTTGAGTGCTTGTGTAATGTATGCGTGAGTGTGTGTGCGCGCGCGTGCGCGCTTTATTCCATTCCCAAGTGTTGTGAAAAGAAAAGAAAAATAAATATAGAAATTGCAATTTTGTTGATTTTTTAAAATCTCTTCCCGGTTCAATGAATTTAGCGGCCGCCAATACTGAACTACGTAGATATCGTTCGAGATACACACGATCAAAGCACTTCTGCTACAAATAATCTGACATCATAACGACTTGTCAGTCAGTGTTACCTCCGCACGCACACATAAAAAGAACTACAGACAACCGCCACTTACAATAATAATAATGCCCATGGGGACGGGTGGGTGGGGCGATAATCCTTCCCCTCGACACGGCCTCGCCCACATCGTGTCCACTGCTACTTCTCGGGCGCGCAGTCGACGCCCGCGCCACCGCGGTCGCCACCCGGCGGGGCTCCCGGATCGGTATCGCGACGTGGCCCTCGGGACGAGCCTGACGTGCCCCGCAGGGCCCACAGGACGGCGATGGTGAAACACCTGTCGCCCGCGTTATGTTCCAATTATAACCCGACATTACATTGACGCATGGCATGTGACACGCGGCGCCGCGGCATAGGACGCCGCGCTGCGTGCAGTCGGTGCCATTCTTGCCACGGGACTGACGCGGCGCACGACGCGCACCTCGCGCGGGACGCCGCGGTTGCGAGTGTACATGGCGTGGAGGATGGCGCGCCCGGCCGTGCAGCACGGCCAGCACCGGCGTCCGAGAGGGCCATGGTCCCCATCGCCCATCGGAGTCCCTTGAGTTCCTGCCACGCTAGCGCCAGCCCCAGGGAAGCGCGTGTGTGCGTCGTCGTCGTCCTGGCGGGGCCGAGGGGGTAATCACTCGCTATTTTCGTGTACAGAGAATATGAATATGTGTGAATATCCGTGAATACCAAGAATACTGTTGAATACACATATTCGTTTGAATACCAGTGAGTATGAGGTAATACTGGTGAATATCATGAATATCTAATGAATATCATGAAATTTGCATTTAAAACGCTTAAATATTGAGAGAAGAAATTTCTGGGACCCCCCGTCTCTGCGAGAAAGACAGTTTTCGACTAAAAAGACCGTTTTTAAAGTTACTTTTGAACCGCAATGGGATCAAGGGCCCCAAAGAGGCGCTCTAACTGCCAAAAAACAATAGTGGAGAAGGCTACCCAAGACTCCGTCAAACATCAAAAACTTCCATGTTTTCCCCAAAAAACATTGACAAAATGTGACCTATATTGTTCCTGCTAAGTCACAGTGCATTGAAATAATTTCTACGTGTCTGCCCTGACATTATGGAGCCATTTCAGAGGTAAAGGTAACTTTGACACTACACAGTGATACGCTTTGTTTATTTTTATTGCAAAACAGTGCTCTGTGTCTCGTTGTTCATCTTTGATTTGAATGTCGGCCTATATTGCAAGGCATGCTTAGGAGTGTACTCAAATGAGTTCAAGCTCCTGGGAGTGTCAGTGTGCTCATGAGTACACGCCGAAGGGTACTGAGTACTGTTCTGATGGTGCCCAAACCGGGCATCTCCAGCAGCCTCAGCAGCGGAGTGGTGGAAGGGGTGATGGTGCCAAGGAAACGCACCAGTTCGGGCCAGCCAGCCCCCCGTCATGGTCTCGACATAGCCAACCCGTGGCAGCACGAGACGCTTTAATTTAAATTGGGGAACATGGGGATTAGGGCACTCGAACGCTCGTAGGTCATCCAAACTTAATGCAAAATTATCCTGAATACCATTGAATACCTGTGAATACAGGTGAATACTTCAAAATATTCCGAATATGTGCGAATATCATGAATATTTTTTGAATACCTGAATATGTATGAATATTGTAGAATATAATGAATATGAATATGAATATCCCGGCGTGTACAGAGAATACTTCGAGTGAATACCCCCTCGGGCGGGGCCGCGGCCCAGTGGCGGCGTGATTCGGACATGGAGTCTGGCGGCAAGAAGCAGGCCAGGCAATGGCCGTTCAGCCGGCCGCCGAGCGTCCATGGCACCCATGCCAGCGACTTCAGCCAGCGACACGGCGAGCACGGCCTCCCCGCCAAGCACACGACGCAGCGCGCGCAGGCCAGCGCCCCCAGCGCCACGGGCACGCAGCTCCACGGCGGCGGCCCGAGGCCGTCATCGGACTCCTCGCAGCAGCACGACGGCGAACCTCAGCGGGACATGGTGTACGAAATCATGCCCATTTTGTGGACGCTCCGCCTCATGCTCATGACGCCCTGGACCATCCTGCCCAACGGTAAGCGCATCCGGCTGCAGTCAGTGGGGTTTGAATGGGTAACTCGGGTGAGGGGTATCTTTGAGCGTCAGGTCTTCCCTACTTAGTGAAACATGGCGCGCGAACAGGCAACTTCAGGTTCCGGTGGATGTCGGTGCCGGTGGCGCTTTCGTTCGTGACGTGGTTGGTGCTCGTCGTGCTCAGCTACTACGTGGTGCACTTTCGCCTGGACCCCATGAGCGCTGACGGCAAGCACCACCACTTGTGGAACCTGGTGCCCAAGTTCGCGTCGTCCATCACCCAGTGCTACATCGTCTTCCTGCCCCTCACCAACTGGGCGCTCACCCAGCGCACCATCGACATGATCGAGGACTGGAAGAGGGTCCAGGCAAGCGTCTTTAAACTGTGTGCAGGGTGCGCCCTGTGGCCTTGATGGTGTTCTTGACGTTGTTCTCGACGGGCAGGTGATGATCGCCTCCCTGCGCGGCCCAACGCGCCTGCCCCGGGCTCGGCTGCGCGCGTGGGGGGCGTGCGTGGTGGCCGTCGGCGTCCCCGCGGTGCTGCACGCCGTCACCTGCTGGTTGCTGCCCGACATGGCCCTGTGGATGCAGCCCGCCCTGCTGCACGGCACCTGCTACCTCTTGCTGGGCACCTTCTTCTGGAATATTGGCTGCCGCTTGCTTGCCATCGTGGCGCAGAACCAGGCCGCCTCCATGATCGACGACTTCCAGGTGCGCGTCGCGTGGCGGCCAGTGGCTGTCGGACCGGCCGGCCGGCTTCAAGCCCTCACCCCTCGTCGCCGACCTCTTCCCCTTGGCCCTGTCGGGCTGACCGGCCCTGACGTTACGTGTTTTGTGGACGTGCTTCAGCGCCTGGGCCTGGCGGGGCTGCGCCTGCACCGCCGCATCTGGCTGGGCATGGTCAAGGTGATGTACGGGCTGAGCGTGGTGTGGGGCCGCACGCAGGCCGTGCTGCTGGGGACCTTCTTCGTGGTCGGCGTGTCCTGCAGCTTCCAGCTGACACACATGGTGGCCGTCAGAAGCGCGGACGACACAACCATCTGGCTCTCCATCGCCGTCCTGGTCGCCGTCCTGGCCGTCGCCAGTATTTGCTCCTCGGCGCAGATCTTGACTGACGCGGTGAGTGCAGTGCGGGGCAGTGCGGGGCAGGCAGTGCGGGGCAGTGCGGGGCAGTGCGGGGCAGGCAGTGCGGGGCAGTGCGGTACAAGTTCGACGATTTCGCAGGGCATACGTTTCTTTCACTGTTGTTTGCAGATTCGTGTTCCTACCAGGATGCAACTGTTCCGGCTCTCGTTTCTCGTCAAGGACGAGGAGACCACTACGGAGGTGAGCAAACGGCTGGCGTTTTAGAGTGGGCAAAAACCGTTGAGGCTTTTTTAAAATTCTTGTCTTTAATGTACCTACTGTTTTTTTTTTTTTAAAAGATAAAACAATTTCTTGAGGAAATCTTCCTGGAGCACCCAAAGATGTCCATCTGTCGGCTTGGTGTTCTCAGCAAATCGAGTATTGTATATGTAAGTTGAACGATAGTTCCTTTCAATTCGCGTGCACACTTTCATAGAGAAGTACACACGAACCTTGGCGTTTTCTTGTGTTTCAATGTACTTTGTTACCCTCAGATATTTGCGTTGGCTAACACCTACATCGTGGTGCTCTCCCAGTTCGCCCTCTCCATAGAGACCACGACGACCAATTTCGACGAAGCCTAATAACAAGAACTTACGTGATCGACCAAGATAAGCATATGTTTCATGTCTTGATCATACCTAAGTGTATTTTGACTGGTGAATGTAATTGTGAAAAACGTTGAAAACTGTGGTATAAAGTTTACCCTCGATTAGAGGTGGATTATCGCTGCGAGAGACTGAGTGTGCCCGGACGCGCGAATACCCCCCGCCAGCTGGCCTGTGCGCGTGGAGTATCGCCACGGACCGCGCCCACCGCTCCCGCCCTCTGGCGGCGGCAAGGCGAGGCGAGGGCGGGGCTGAGTCTCAATGCAGACTGCACGTTCTTGTGACACTTGTCCACCAATATAGAGGGCCAGCGAAGAACCGCCGTTTTTCAGATATTGTGATTCAGGAGCCCGGTTTGACTACACCTGCCCTCACCGCACAAAAGGTGGTCTTTCGTCCGGTGAGTGCAATGCCGGTTTCACGATTCGGCGGGGACCGGCGGAGCTATAAAACAGGCGGTCGCGTCTTCAGCAACGTGCTTTATTGCGGTTTCCCCCTCTCCTTGCCCGCGGTTGAGACGCGCGGATGCGGGGTGGCCTTCCGCCTGACGGCGTCCACGGTCGCGCCCTTTACTGCATGGCGATGGACTCGGCGGCCGAAGCGAGGGACAGACGTCACAAGCGGGCAGGAAGAAAGAGAGAGGGGCGAGTGAGGGACGGGAAAGTGAGAGCGGCTTTGGGCTGGAAGCCATAAGGGTAACGCAGCCGCCCCCGCAGCCGCCCCCGCAGCCGCCCCCGCAGCCGCCTTCGAGTTGCCCCCGCAGCCGCACCTTGGCGTTATGGCCACCGTAATTACCTTACGGCCAGCATAACAGTTATCAGAAAAGAAAAACAAAAACGGGAACAAAAACAGGCAGCTGAGTCGGCCCGGCCGGTACGCATGTTGCGCCGGGAGCACGTGGAATAAAATGGAATAAAAGACAAATGCGGAGGCGCGGCCCGAAAGCGCGCCGCGCAAATTAAGAAAAGAGAGAGAGAGGGAGGGAGAGAGAGGGAGAGAGAGAGAGAGAGAGAGAGAGAGAGAGAGAGAGAGAGAGAGAGAGAGAGAGAGAGAGAGAGAGAGAGAGAGAGAAACAGAGGATTGGTCTGTGAGGGGTACGTGCCCGGCGCCGAGGCCGAGCTTGGCAGTGCACTTCACCTTTCCGCGGCAGAAGGCCCGGCCAGCTGGCCTCGCCTGGCCTCGCCCCAATGAACGTGTCGGGCCAGGCGAGGGAAGGCAGGAACAAGGGCCGCTTCGCCTCGTCTACGTTTGGGCACCGCGCGCCCACGCCGCGCCCACGCCGCGCCGGCAGGGTGGCGTTTTGACCCTCCACCAATAATCCCCGAGGAGATGGGGTGGATGTCCGGGCCGGGATGGGAACGGCGGCCGCCCCGCCGACCGCAGAGAGGTGCTGCGGGCCATCTCCGACGCGCGGCGGCAAAAATGCGAAAATTTGAAACGAATTGACCGTACGAAAGAGGGCAAGCGGGTCGGCCCGGGAGGGCGGAGCGGGCGGGGCGGGCGGAGCGGGCGGAGCGGGCGAAGGGTGTGGGGCCGGGCGGGGCCGCGCGGCCGGGGCGCTAAAGAAAGGGCTTGTTTCCGCCCAAGGCGGCCGGGGATGGCGAGGATGGCGAGGACCGCCACTGGCCTTGGCTATCACGTTACCCTATCTGGGCGGACGGCACGCCGAGCGGCACGCCGAGCGGCACGCCCAGCCCTGCAGCCCGCGGCACTGTAGGACAACATGGAGAGGAGCAAGACGAGGAGCTGGTGGCTGCGGTGCGTCTGTGTGTCTGTGTGTGTGTGAGCTCGGCCGCAGCCTTGTGGGGGTAATCTACCCGCCTCCGCGACTCCCGGCCAACACGACACAGCACCGCAGCACCGCACTGCGCGAGGTAAGTCGCGCGCCATCCGCCACACTTTGGAAAGCCACCGCGGGGCTGCGGGCAGACCGGGGCAGACCGGGGCAGGCCGGCCAGCTGGACTCGCGCTGCTTCCGCACACTGCTTTCGTCGCTCTGTCTCTCTCGCCGTCATGGGCCGTGCCGCAGGGCCGCACGCAGAGAAATGCTTAGCGCTGGCTGCTAATTCTTAACTGCCCTTGCTAATAATCTTAGCTGTATATGGACAGCTAATACCTTAGCACCAGTTGCTAAATTCTTAGCAGGCACATATTAGCTAGGTAGCTAAGGCCTTAGCAAGCAAACTAAGTCAGAAAATTTCGGTATTCGAACCTCAGACTTTTACTCGCCGACCTGTGACCTTCCCTTGGCTGCTGCCGTTGTCTTCTGTGTGTGAGCTAGTTAGGGGGAATCTACCCCTCCGCCTCCCGGCCCCGAACGCCCCCAGCAATGCGGAGGTAAGCGCCGCACCCCCTAATTTAAAGCCACCGCGGCTAACTCGGGTGCAAAGACCGTTTGTCAGGCCTTCCCAAGCTGGATTTCCGCTGTTTCCCTGCACATGCTTTGTTCGTCTGTCTCTCTTCGCCGTCAGGCCGTGTTCGCGGCCGTAGGCTTGGCCGTAGGGGTGCGAGAGAGACAGCGACGAGAGCACTGCAAAGGGGATCGCTCGGCTGGCAGTCAATGACGCGAAGCGGCCTCGGCCTTTGAGTCTCTCCGCTCGCCACATGGGACGGGACGAGGTTTGGCTCTGCCACACGCCTTTTGGCCGCCTCGGCCGCCTCTGGCCTCGGACTTTGATCGCGCGGCCTTTGCCGACACGCCTCGCCTCGCAGCCTCTCCACCCAGGCCGTGCTGGCCGTGCTGGCCGTGCTGGCCGTGCTGGCCGTGCTGGCCGTGCTGGCCGTGCTGGCCGTGCTGGCCGTGCTGGCCGTGCTGGCCGTGCTGGCCGTGCTGGCCGTGCTGGCCGTGCTGGCCGTGCTGGCCGTGCTGGCCGTGCTGGCCGTGCTGGCCGTGCTGGCCGTGCTGGCCGTGCTGGCCGTGCTGGCCGTGCTGGCCGTGCTGGCCGTGCTGGCCGTGCTGGCCGTGCTGGCCGTGCTGGCCGTGCTGGCCGTGCTGGCCGTGCTGGCCGTGCTGGCCGTGCTGGCCGTGCTGGCCGTGCTGGCCGTGCTGGCCGTGCTGGCCGTGCTGGCCGTGCTGGCCGTGCTGGCCGTGCTGGCCGTGCTGGCCGTGCTGGCCGTGCTGGCCGTGCTGGCCGTGCTGGCCGTGCTGGCCGTGCTGGCCGTGCTGGCCGTGCTGGCCGTGCTGGCCGTGCTATGCAGGCTGGACATGGCCCCCGTCAAGGGCCCTTGTCTGCGGTTGGCGTGTCCGCTGCATGCGACGCGCTACGGAGGGGCGGCGGGGGCAGCGCGACGTACGCAGCGTGTGAGTCGCGGCGACGTGGCGCGTCGCACGGACCACCGCAACACGCCAGCACGCCGACACGCCAGCGGGCAGCAGCGCAGCAGGGTGGGATTGGGATTGGGTCCTCGCCGCTCCGCCGCTCCGCCGGACGCTGCTTTTTTATGCATTCCCCTTTCTGCGTGGACTGACAGCGCGGTCTGCCACCGCAGTCTGCCACCGCCCCTAACTTTCTCCTCAATACATCCCCAAGTGTTCTTCTTCAACATCCTGACCCATTAGCGTCATCATCGCGGACCGGCCGTCCGCCAGTCCGTCTCCAGCAGGACCCTTCTCCCCCACCCTTCCCCTTTTCCCGCGAGACACAATATCCGCCGAGGCGGAGAAAACTTTCCGCACGTCCCTGGGCGCCCCTGAGCGTCCCTGGCCGTCACTTCCTCAAATCCCGCAGCAGCAGCAAACGCAGCAAACCGAGGCGAGTTGCCGGGGCGCGGCAACGCCGGCAACACCAGTGTCCCGCGGCAACGCGCGCCCAAAAACGTTTCTTACAAATTTTGAAGTGCCGCCGCGAGCAGACGACTTGGACGGAAGCCGTCGGGTTGCGGAGGGCGCCGCCAGAGGGCGCTCCTGTCGTCGCCGTCCCGCGCGGCATTGACGACTGAACAAAGTAGGGCCGGGAATTGCCGCTCTTTTCCAGGCGGCTGCACGTGCGCCGGGACTGGCTGTGCTGCAATGAGGGCTGTATTTCCAGCGCGGCACGGCGCGGCACGGCGCGGCGCGTGGCACTACAACCATCGCTTCGCAGCGCTCACCACGCCTCTCAACTCAATCAACCTGGATTTCCATTTTCTCCGTTCGCGACCACTTTTTCCCGGTCCCCGCGGCGCTGTTCGCCGCGTCCCCGCCCCGCCCCGCCCCGCCCCGCCCCGCCCCGCCCCGCCCCGCTCCGCCCCGCCCCGCCCCGCCCCGCCCCGCCCCGCCCCGCCCCGCCCCGCCGCGCCCGGCCAGGCCCGGCCCATTCCCGGGCAATCGGCACGGCCGGCCCACGGGGCCCAGCCCACGGGCCCAGCCCCACGGGCCCGCGGGGACGCGTCAAGTTTTTAACCGCATTACGCTACTTTGCTTGGAAATGAGCACCTCCCCCCTCCTCCCTAACTCGTACCATTTCGCCACATTCAGAACCGATTCATCGAGCACGCAATCAAAACGCCTGCGCCCGCCACCGCCAAAAGAAACCAGTCTGGATGTGTGTAAGCTCAGAGTTGTTCTTCTTTCCAAAACAGCGTTTTTTGATGTTTTTTCTACAGAACAATACTTTTTTTTCTGAAAAAGGATTTGATGGTGGGTTGCGGAAAACAAGGATCAAGAACTTCGGTCGGGTTGACTGGATGATGTCACAGAAACAATCGATGACGAGGTTATCATCCCGCAAAGTGCACCAGCCAATCAAATCACGGCCGCAAAATGTTTCGGAAAGTGTGGCCGCGCGAGGAGAGCGAACAGCGCGTGCGGCGGCGCGCGGTGCTTAGCGCCTGCGAACCAGGGGGCAGGCCACCCGCCGCGCTCGGGAGGCTGCCGCCGGGCCCACCTGCCTACCTCGCACGGCGTCCGGCCGCGCGCCTGGGCCCTGCGCGTGCCTAGAGGCGTGCCTACAGGCGTGCCTAGAGGCGTGCCTAGAGGCGTGCCTACAGGCGTGCCTACAGGCGTGCCTACAGGCGTGCCTACAGGCGTGCCTTCAGGCGTGCCTACAGGCGTGCCTACAGGCGTGCCTACAGGCGTGCCTACAGGCGTGCCTTCAGGCGTGCCTACAGGCGTGCCTACAGGCGTGCC